ACACAAATGAAACATCCATTCATTGATGGATGGATTCCTAACAGAGTATCAGTACTGTACAGTATAGCACAAAACAGTACAGTACAGTACAATGTCTGGTATGAGTAGGCAACCAGGCATTGCTGAATCTAAAAGTAAAAATCCATGAATTGATGTGAGCAAGTATTTGAGAATGTTGAACAACTTTTTTTAAGTTCTTGTTTTGCCTATATAAGATACGAAACTTAGGGAACACAGCATCTCTCTGGCTTTTCGATAGTCAGTTTTGTAATAGGATCCAATTGGAATTCCAATAGGCATGTGTTATTTGGCTTTTAGATGGCTTTTACAAGTTATCTCCAATTTTCACAGAAAAACACCATTGTAAGTCACACTATGTTTGGTTTAAAAGAATTTGCACTTGGAATAACATTTCTTAGATAGCCTATGGTTTTGTTTTGCCACTTTGTGCTATCTTTTTAAGCATTTGGTTCAATAAAAACAGTAAAGCCCTGGTGGTCTTAGAAGTCATATTTGGCCATTTTAATGGTTTAAGAAAACAATTGAATGATGGTTATTTCATCATTACTTAACTATACTGTATATTTAGCTAAATGTGTTGTAGTATTACTGCGTTCAGCCAATAGGAAAGATTTATATTGTACTGTGATGCCAAAAATGTTGTACTATGATGCCAAAAATGTTGTACCGTGATGCCAAAAATGTTGTTCCGTAATGCCAAATATATTGTAAAGTATGATGACTGTAAAATGAAGCCTCACACTAAATTACATGTAGAACAGATGTACCTATATTATATTAAATCATTTTACCATGAAAAGGTATAAGGTAAATGAATATAATACTCTTCTTTTGGAAAGATGTACATTTTCAGAAAATAAGCTTTTTATGGAGTTTTATCTGAATTTACACTTTTTTAACTGCAATATCGCATATTCTTAAATGGTGCACATATTTTATTTGAAGTGTACACATACATTTCAACAATGTATTCTTGAATGGTGGACATATTTTTGAAGTTTTTCAAAAGTGTACACATTTTAACAACGTATTCTTGAATGGTGTACACATTTTAATTTGAGTTTTCAAAGATGTACTTACTCATTTGAACTCATAAATGATGTATACTTTTGAATATTCTTGAAGTTTTTACATTTTAGCTGCATATTTTTGATCAACCATGTACACATGTATATGGTATATACTCATAATCTTTTAATAATTATTATGTTTGCACACTGGTGTGACTAAAGTGAATGAATCCACTTCATAAAGTTTCAATATTGATATAAAAGGGTGATATCCAAGAAGTTAACCATTTTGACTGAAGAACATGTATATTGAATCATATATAAATTTTTGCTTGTTTCTTTAAGAATCTCCATCCAGCCTCTCTTAATTCTTTTTGTGTAAACATGAGTTGGGGAATGCGTTTGAAATTTCAAATTATTCTGAATTTATGCATGAAGATCCTGCAATTTTATATTCCCTCCATGCAGCCACGGAGTGCATGAGTTTCAAGCCACGGAGGGCATGAGTTTTAAGCCACGGAAGGCATGAGTTTCAAGCTATACGATTCAAAAAGTGGGAAACTTCAGATCCTTGCATATAAATCACAAATGCAACCCTCATTGCAAATAGCTAGTCGATGGAAAGCAGGGTTATTTATCATTTGTCTTAAAAATATGAAAATCTCTCCACCAAGCTCAACTTAAATATATCTTGTATATTATTATAATATTGATTATTGTGTTAATGTTTAATAATGTTGTTCTTTAACTGTATATTGTCATAAATATAGTAATACATATTTTATAGAAAATATTTTGTGTTATTATTAGCTCTGCATCTGTTCATCTGTCCAATTCTAAGCTCAACCTACTTCTTTTACCGACTTCCCAGTGGGGAAGCTAGACATAGTATAGTACAAGCATAATGTGATGAAATTACATGGCTTTAACTTGTCAATGCAGATGCCCTATTATTTGGAGAAAATACTTTAACAAGTGATAAAGGAGTTCTTGAATTGCAGAGTACCCTAATCGTTTCCAGGATTCCAGAATGACTAAAATAACTAGACTTTGGAAATTGAACGAAGTTCAATTTCAGACTCCAGATTTAGACGATTTTTAGCCGAGTCATCCAGAATAAGCTGAGTCATCCAGAAAAAGATGGATGAATAAAATAGGAAGGTAGGATAGGATAGAATAGGAACCGAGGAACGATAGGATAGAATAAGAAAGAAGGATAGGATAGAACAGAATAGGAAGAAAGGATATGATAGGAGAGGATAGGAAGAGAAAGATACGAAGGAAGGATAGATAGGAAGGATAGGATAGGATAAGATCAGATAGGAAGGATGGATAGATTTTTCAATATTTTCGACTTCTCTACTCTTGACTTTCTATCAGGATACCATCAGATCGATTTTCCGAAATTTCAAAACGCCATAACTTCCGAACCGGAAGTCGGATCAAAATTTGATTTAAAGATTCCGATTCCTGTCAAAATTCTACCCCTAATTCATAACTCATACGTTAAATTTGGGGAATTTTTATTTTGACCTACTTTTCGGACACGCCATAACTTCGAAACCGGAAGTCAGATCGAAATTTGGTTTGCAGATTCGGATTTCTGAGAAAATTCAGTTCTTAATTCATAACTCAAACGATAAATTTGGAGAACTTTTTATTTTGACCTACTTTTCGGACACCATATCTCAAAAGTGGGTCAAAATACTTTCTGACGGCAAAAGGCTAACACTATTAGCACACTCTTGGCTACATGTATACACAATTTCGAGGAATATAATTAAAGTGTAGTGTCAGAATCGCAAAAATAAGGAAAACCTTTGGATTTGACCTAGATTTTGACCAAGGTATTTTGATGTCAAAATGTTGAAGCTAGATGGCTTTTGAGGTCCCCTTCTTTTAAAAGCTTTCATTAAATCAAGCTGAACTCAGTCTATGTTTCGTATTTCTCACTTCAAAAAAATCTTTTTTCACATTGACTTAACATGGGCACCAAATTTAGCGATTTTTGAGCTTTTAAAACGACATAACTTCGGAACCGGAAGTCGGATCGAAATTTGGTTTGCAGATTCGGATTCCTGACAAAATTCTACCCCTAATTCATAACTCATACCTTGAATTTGGAGAACTTTTTATTTTGACATACTTTCTGGACGCCATATTTCAAAATCGGTAAGAGTAATAAAAAAACGGATGGCACACACATAAAAGGGCTGTTTCTAAGCTACATGATGAAAAAAAGACGAAGACGTTTCGATAAATAACGACGAAGATAATAGACAGAAGGTTGAAAATGTAAGATTTGACCCAGTTCTAGGATAGGATAGGATATAGAATAGGAAAGAAGGATAGGATAGGAAGGAAAGGATAGGAAGGAAGGATAGATAGGAAGGATATGATCAGACAGGATAGGAAGGAAGGATGGATGATTTTTTCTATATTTTCTTAGCTACTCTTGACTTTCTATAAGGATATCATCAGATCAATTTTTCTCGAAATTTTAAAACGCCATAACTTTCGAACCGGAAGTCGGATCGAAATTTGGTTTGCAGATTCGGATTCCTGAGTAAATTCTACCCTTAATTCATAACTCAGATGTTAAATTTGGAGAACTCGTTATTTTGACCTACTTTCTGGACGCCATATTTCAAAATCGGTAAGCGTAATCAAAAATCTAATGTCATACCTTTGCTTTGGCTTTTTCTAAGCTACATGTTAAAAAAAAGATTTAGGAGTTACGATAAACAACGACGAAGATAAATGACAGAATGTTGAAAATGTAAGATTTGACCTAGTTCTTGACCTTTGACCTAGATAAAAATTTGACCCAATTTCCGAGGAACTAGATTCTAGACATAAATTGACTGAATAAAGATCTTTATTGGAAAACTTATGACTATCGAGAAAACTGGGAAAGAAAAATAATAAAGAATAATAAAGAATACTGACGAAAACAATAGACTCCAGATTTACATCTGGAGTCTAATAATGATGATAATATCTGAAACAATTGGGGATAGAAAAGAAGTGGTGCATTTTCGTTTCATGGTTATGGTGATATGGAACATGAATACTGGAGATGAAAAAAAGAGGGCATCAACGTTAACTACCTTTCAGAAAAAAATAATGAAGCATGAATAACCGACAAATAAAATGTGACCTCAGTGGAAACAGGAAAGGCAACACTAAGTATGCCCCAAAAAAATTTTGGACTAATGTGATAATATCACTTAACTTGTGAATAATCTCCATTTAAGCCTAAGTCACATTTGCCTTATTGCGGCCGTAGCTTTACAAAATCAAAGTGGAAAATCTACATCGTAATACATACTGCATATTTCTCTCAATTTTTGGAAGCTACGGCTGCTGTATAGTTGCTGTAGATCAAATGTGACTGAGGCATTAGTGTGTGATAAATGAGCTCAAAAACTATTTTTGTGTGGTCAAATTGTCATGTTGATATGGACAATCATTTCTGGAGTAGTAAATTGTTGAAACATTCTCAGTGACCAGTCATGTACAAGTATGCCTAGCATTAACTAAAATTATTGCAAATGGTAAGAAATTGTTACAGATACCGAATACTAAACACTCTCCATAAAAAAGTTGGAAACTTTAACAATGTCACCACTTCTGGTGGGGACATATCAAAGCCTAGTAATGAAAGGACAGACAAGGAAATAGGTTAACCATGTGGGACAAAAAGGTTACGGCAAAGGGTCAAGGATTTCAAGTGTAGCCAGCTGAATTGACTTATGTTTCCGTTAGAGATGGTGACTAATATGACCATTTGTGAAGACTAAATTAAATAATGATTCTCTGATCACAATCTTTTTTAAATAGGTACAGAATTTATCTGTTCCAAAAATAGAATAATTTTCCTCTACAAATGTCAATATTTGGGCACCATCCCTTCACACACACCAATCCCGGGCTCATCCATCCAAGCAAATGAACAAAAATCATAGATTTTCTTAACTAGAATAATTTATTGACGGTAGAAAAGGAGTGAGTGGGTTGAATGTAACATTCACCCAGTACAGTATCATGTACGCTTGTTGTGCCTCCGGTGGGTCGGATGGAGAGTGCTCCATTTTGCTACCAATCTAAGTAATACAGTAATACAGACATGCAGCAATACACCAACAGTCAAATCTGGAAAATGCACTACTTTTTACAAACATCAGGCAATCACTCAACCGATTAATATTCAGAATATTATCCATTTTCTTAAACAGTTAAGTGAAAGAATGAACTTTTTTCAAGAACTTGCAACTCATATTTTGTGATCATTTTTCGAATATATCTACAAAATCTAGTTTTTAGTTATTCTACTCATTAAAAGATTATGTAACCTTCAACAGATATAATGTTAAAGGGATGTCGTTAAAGGGATCACATAACATGAAGCTGCTTTACAATGTGTTACATCTTATGTAATTCAAGACCTATGCATGGCTAGAAACCCACCTGATATATTTCTGAGCACAATTCGGTCGAGTTAATACCCATGCACGGGTGGCATTTTCCAGTTGGGAAAAGAAAACAAATTGTCTACATTTTAATGTTTTAATCAATTAGCTATGCATTTATTATTCAGTTGTTTAGCTATAATGCCTAAGAGTAGGGAACATTAGTTGAAAACATGTACAGCACACTTGTGTCTTTTACTTTGAAATGAGCCAAGACCTGATCAGTTTATCATGGATACCCTCAACACTACATTTACAGTGGGGAGGGAGGATGTTGACTAAATAGAATAGCTAGAATACCACACCCCCTCCCTGTGAGGTAGTAGAATCATGTCAGGGCATCCCCAGTTTCTATCTACACAAATTCAACTGAATCACATACTATCACATAGCATGTCTTACATTGAAAATTCATTCATTAAAATATCATTTTAATCAACACAGTGATCTATCACTAACATTTCATTGTTATGATCACAAGATTAACAACAAAAGTGCAGCATTTATGCACAACAAAATTACATCTTATATAAAAAAAAAACAGTTCATGAACTGCCTTAAAATTCCTCTAACAAAATAAACACAAATTACTCTCCAACTAAAAGAAACCACAAGCATTTTAGTTTCTACTATTGCAAAGAGGCCCAATGAGGTACAAATATGTATAGTGATCATCAGGAGGTAGGTAGGAATTCTGAAGAGTCTGAAGAACTGACCCTTTAGGATTATAAGCCTTTATTTAACCTTGGTATAGTTTGTGTATATGGCAAATAGGGTAAAACAATGGCTTATCATCCCATGGGGAATGGTTTCACAGAGTCTTGATAACACAAGTATACTGTACACAGGTATTTTATATTCCAAATTAGAAGGGATAGTATATCTAATTTTATCAAGACCTTGTGGATTCACGAAATTTTGCAAATCGATCTATTCCGTATTTGTGAGAGAAGATAGATGTTTTCTTAAAATATATGAACTGAAAACCTTCAGCAATTCAGCTCTTCAGATTATCATAATCTTCATTATTAGGGTCTGCAGAGAGACAATTGTGATACATAATCCATGAACACACTTGGTAGTATTTATATATCATACAATAAGCTGTGACACGTATCACAATTGCCTGTCTATAATTTCAAGAAAAGATATGTGATGAACAGCAAAGTTGGGAGAAAAACAATTTATGGATTAACCTTGTTTTAGCATTACATTCATGTTAATTTCTGTTAACAAACTGATCGTACAGAATCTTAATGGGAGCTTAGATTCAACGCTTTATGTACATGTCTCCAAACAATATTTACATAAAAACGTGAACCTATAGCTTTATTTGTGTTACATGTTTTTTTGTTTTCAGTTCTTGGCTCATTTGACGCACTTTCTCTCAGAGAACCGCCATCCTAACACCTAGTCTATATACATTATTGGAGGGGGAGTCGCTGAGCATGCAGAACATCTAACACAGACTACAGTACAACTCAAAATTAACAGGCAACACTCAACTTCACAATGGTGTCCCCTTTTTGTTACATCAACACAAAGTCCATTTGACTGAAAGGAGCCATCATGTAGTGCCTGAGTGCAAACATTGATTTTACGCATTAGGTCTGTTAGTTTTAACTTGTACTGTAACTTTCAGAATAGCACAAGGGCAGTATCTCAAATTATAGAAGCCCAAGAAATGTCAAGATCATTCAAAGAAACCTTGTACAACACCTTAAAATATCATTGTGTGCTTGAATATTTTGAAAAACTGACCTGTATTTGAACAATTTTAAACACTGAACTTAACACACAACTCTCTGTGAAGTGTCTACATCGAGGTCTGCACAGTCCTTTCGTTTAAAGCTGTGTGGAACCAAACTCACTATGTCTTCAGACTTCTCAGTTGTAAGAGTTATGGATGAATCATTATATTAAGTCTTTAATAATACACAAATCACTAAATTAATAGAACCAAAAAATACCATTGGTAAACGCGAACTACAAATAGTGACAATGAACATTTGCTCTATGTTTTGGGGGTTATGTCTACTATAATAGAACTATCTAACAGTGAGGTTTGCGAACTCCCCATATTATTCAGTTGTAGCCATTAGATACAATAGTATACTTAGATTAGATATACATGTATCTGTGCAAAAAGGCATCAAAATGTATGCAAGTAGGCCCCAGCTTGGTCACCTACTGGCATTTCCATATATGGTCACATGGACCTTATCTCCGACCCAATTGGTCAATCAATCGCCGCATCACGGCTACTCTAAAAGAAAGCATCATCGTTACAATACATAGAATACTTGTGGAAAGGAAACCTTGTTTTACACATTGATGTGTCCAGCCCAGTTCTAGTTAGAACCACTGCTACATTTGACAGATAGGTGGCAGTTAAGTGCTAGGTTATCGTCAAGCGTACACCAGAGGCGGCTATTTCGTATGTCGTATATACCCGGTAGAAGTGGCAGTCAGCTCCTACTAGTACACTGCCAATTGTATACTGTATACATTGTTCAGATAGTTTTGGTATACTAACAAACGAACGTCAAAAAAACGCCGCTCATTCACATCTCATAAAAATACTAACAAAAAAGTTTCTTTCAACAAGTATCAAAAATAAACTTTATACTTTGATATTACAAAAACTCCGGCCATAGTATAATGCAATGTCAACACCGGCCTGTCTCTAAAAAATTGATTCAACTCAATAATTCCTCTCTTTTTTACGTTTTTACATCTTTTATATATATAAATATAAAAGTTTTAATACAAATCCTCCAGACAGACAATATCACAGAAAATAGATGTCACCAGAAGTGGGGGAAATCATCCAGTCTAATCATGTGGATTATTTCCCCAATTTTAATATCATTGAATATCCAACATCAGTGTGACAACATTTTCTCTGACATTGTCTTTTATCTCGACTGGAAACTCCTTGGTTGATCGCTTAGTCCAGTCTGGCGCTTATATCTGGAGGCCAACAATTTGATGCCTTTGTTCACTACTCCTCGTCAAAACGTCGAGCAAATCCTCGTCAATATGCCGAGTAAATGTGGGAAGCTAAAACTTGAGGAAACTAAGATACATTCTAAAGTATACACTGTAATTGACTTGAATGAGTACCATCTTTGGTATGGTGTAGAGGTACTTGGGTTGTATGTTGGCTCAACTATTGAGATGACTTGATGCCCCCTCCATTACGTGCTTGAGGGGGGACACCAGGACGGCGAGGATTCCCCATCATTGGGCCAGGACCCATTCCAGGTCCTCCAGGCTGCCGCATTGCTAGAGCACGTACACGTCCAATGGCATGCTGAAAATAACAAAAAAATCAATTTAAGTGTTGAAATAGTAACAGTGTTGGCTTATTATTCTGTTTAATAAAATTAAGCTAAGCCACATAAAATAAAGGCATTAACATGACGAAGTGTCTACACCTTGTTAGATATTGCAAATTGTTACAGACACCAAACTCTGAACGCCGATTACAAAAAGTTGGAGACTATAACAATATATCACCACTTCTTGTGTTCACATTGTTAATTGAGTCTTATATGTCAGCCAAAATCTTTACATTCTGTCCAAAACAACTACCTAACATGCAACAAAAATGCCAAAAATACAAGAAATTCTATAGCTACCTGAGTTGCCTGGAAGTTTCCGAAAAGCTCTACAACCGCATCATTGCTGCCATCGTCTACAGGGGGTGTGCTCTCACCACCCTCACCATCTGGAGTCTCAATCTCAGGCAGACGTACCATGGCACCAGTCATGCGTTGGACATCACGTACATTACGTCCGCGCTTGCCAATCACGTAACCAACTTTGTCTTTGGGCACCAGGATTTTTGTTTTTAGGCGGACATCTTCCATTCCAGCAAATCCTTCAGTTCGAAGCTTATCATGAACGAAATAGCTAGCCTGAAAATGGAAAGTAATCTTTTGATAATGAAAAAATGAATTGATTTTTATCATATTTCTATAAATCAGTGACTCGGTTTCATTCATAAACATGTTTTGTAATATCATCATCTCTGCAATAGCACTTCCAGAAAACATGTATTTAATCCTATGGATTTATCAATCTTAAGCATGCTTGTAGCAACTTACCCTCCACTGTGCCTCAGGGGTTCCTCTAATGGTGACTGTCCTGTCCCCAGTAGGATCATCATCCTTTTTAGGGTCAATCTGAAAACAAAAAAGTTAAATAAATAATTCCAATCCAATTGTTACAGATGTCAACCACAGAATGCTGTTTACCAAATACTGTCCACAAAAAAAGAATGTCACATTCCGTGTCGACATCATAAAAATTCAAATATCTTATTAGGCAATCAAAATATGATTATTATATTGAAGAGCAAAGCTGCAGTTCAGTCTGTCCACATTATAGTACTTGTTTTAAGTCAGGGATAACTTTGTCAACATTGTACACATTTGGAAAGATGTATCACATGAAGAATTACAAAGATTCAGACACTAAGTGACATGACATGTTGAATTCAACCATGCAATTTTCCCGAAATTAACTATTATTTTGTACTTCATAATTTTGTCCATTGCAACTAAATGTAAATGTATTTTAGTAAAATTGACGAATCAGACCACAGACTTGCTTTAATCCATTAACCATGTCTAGCAATCCTAGAAAACTTACCGTGACATGGGCATTGGAATCCCTGATAATTTGCTTAATGTTGGATCCACCCGTGCCAATAAGTGCCCCTGCACTAGTCCCTGGTATGATCACCTCCACCCTGGTGTCAGGCTCAGGGCGTGGCTGCACTGGGGGAGTGACCTGCCCATGTGGGACTTGATCTTGCCCCTGGGGCAGTTGTTGTTGTTGTTGTTGACGATGTTGTTGTTGTGCCATCTGTGGGTAGAAACCCCGTCCCTAGGACAGAAACAAGAGCACATGTGATATTCTATATAACAACTCTGTGTTTGATTTACATACTGTAGGTTGCAATAGGATAGTTTCTAAATAGCAGAAAAATCAATGAAATCTCGTGCTGCCATCTTTTATTCAGCTTTTAACTCTGGCTAGAGCTCCATTCACTTACATGCTAAAATCTTGGAAAAGTGGCTTAATTTCATGATTTATCAAAGTGTGTTTGTTGAATCTGTATAAAACTTGAATGATATACCACATGATGACCCTGTTTATGAACATGTTGTGATTAAACATGCTAATGTTGATTGACATACAAATAATCCACGGTTTTAAAGAATTTTAGCATTGCATCTATGGACATTTGGCCCAACTTTTTTTAAATTGTCATAGAAAATTATTCAAATTACATAACTGTGTAAATCAAAGCTATTTTAGGAGAAAACATTCCACTGAATTCAAATATACCATTTAAAAGAAGGTAATGTAAGTCATTAGAGGTCTAATATGCAAGTCTCTTAAAATCTCACGAAAAACGAGATTTAGCGAGATTTCAAAAGCTATATGGAAACTATACTATTGAAGCTTAATGACAAGTCTTGTTAGCCTTTTAGACTATTAGTAGCAACCTACTGACTAGCCATCAATCCAGTGTGAACTTAAAGAGTACATACTCGGCAAGTCCAGAAGATGAAAGTAACATTAATGACCTCAGATTGACTATGACGTCATAAAATCATTTTAAGATGTATAATCTTTCAAAATTTCACTCTAAGTTAAATATAGTTCTAAATAGATAAGAGTAAATGACACAAGGTATCTTAAGACATGACACCATCCTGAAACACAGTTTTGGAATTCAATTTCTAGTTCTGATATCATTCTCAATTCACGTATAAAAGGACTGAATGTTAACCTCAACTATATATTGGATTATAGCAAACATTTTTCACATCAGTTCAAAAATCTCTCCCAATCCTAAACATGTATCTATTTGCCTCAAAATAGAATTTTTATCATGAAATTGCCTTTTTGTATGCAGCACCTACCATAAGTCCATACTGGCCTCCTCGCATACCATATACACTGCCACCCATCATTGCAAGGGGAGAGACCCCTGGAGCAGGCTGGAACATACCACGTGGCTGCATGGCAAAGAACCCTTGCTGTAACACAAACATTATCTTATCAAAACATGTATCTCTCTAATTCTTAAGAGTAAGAAGAATTTATTACTATTATTGGGTTGTAAAAAGTTACTGACATATCCAGAATTGTTCAAATTATATCCCAAGCAGTGAAACAGAAATAACCTGCAGTAATCAAAACTACTGACCACTCTATGACCAATCAAAATTGAGTATTTACACTATGTTACAAACAATAATGAAGATTATCCACTCACAGCCTGTAAATCATTGCTGAAGCAGTCCCTGAGTTTTTCACTGATTTTAGCCTCTGCCTGAATAACATTGTCTAATTCTCCTCTAATAATAATCTGTCTGTCTGGGAAAGAGCTGGTCAGATCCTGGTAGCTACAATTAAACAATTACACATGTTCTTTAGTCAAATGTGTTATAAACGCAACATAAAATAAAATGTCATAAGCTCGAAATATCAGCTGAAAAGATACAGAAAAATCACAAAATGAAGTATTTGATCTTGTAATAAAACGAGATTAAACTATTAATTAATAATATCATTTATATAAAATTAAGAATGTTTAATTAAATAAGAGCAAGCTCAGTAGACGAAAGTAACATCAATGAATTCAGATTGACTGGGACGTCATAAAATCATCATAGCTTGCGTCATTGAATGTGTTATCGACCTTTTCCCCTGTACAGATTATACAACAGGGATCTCGCCAGGCTTTTAGAGTCCGGCGCCCCGCCGGTCTCTCTCATGTTCAGACCTGATAGCGCCAGTGTCTAATGCTAAAAATGAATGCCGCCGGTCTCTAATTTTCTGGGATTTTTTTTTCAATGGCACTTTTCATCCTCTTTAACTTCAGTTTTTGAGTTACAACTTCTCAAAACATAAGATAAAGTGTTCACTTACCGTACAGATTCTAAATTTCCAATATAAGGTCTTAAAAACAGGTGATTTTCAATTGAAATCATCGTATCATCAAGAACATTTTTGTTTCCTTCATGTTGTATGAAGGGAGACATCTATTGAGAAAATAGTAGCAATTGATTCCAATAAACATACTCCCTCCGATAAAATTTGGCAATTTCCATTTAATCATGTAGATTTAAATAATTAAATCACGGGGAGGAACCTCTTAAACGAAACAGCCACTATATTAGCTTCATTTAGGAATGTGTTTAGTGGGAAATTTAAATTTGAATGTTTATGACAACATGATTGGTCAATTTATAACTTGATCTCATCACATGACTCATCACATGATCACTGAGAAGTTAGGATGTAAATAATGAACCACATGGTCTGGTACAGAAATGATTTTATACTCTCATAAAAACAGCAATTTTTCTCTAAAATGTTTGATTAGAAAACATATTTTAAGATCTTCTAAAGCTGATTCTGTTTACTTTTGAGTAATAAACATACTATTTTTGGAGGCAATTTTGCAACCTGTGCTGGCCCAGTGTTACATATACTGGCATACCACATGACCTGGTCAAGAAGGGGGGTCACTTTTTTAAAATCCACGGGGGGGGGGTTCAATTTTGGTCCAAAAATGGCAAGATTTTGAACTTTTGGTTGGGGGAGTATTTTATTCCAACCATAACCAATGTTCAGAAAAATGCATATATCATTTCATGTTTCACGGGGGGGGGGGGGGGGGGGGGGGGGGGGGGGGGGGGGGGAGGATGCGCGAAAGTTGGGGGGGGCGCGAACGTTGAATTTTTTCCGGGTTCTAAAAATTTCCTGGTGAGAACCCTGTACAAGGTATAGAGGCCCACCTCACAGGCCAATGCATTCCCTTTAAATTGAAACACAGATGTCAATGGACTATCTGTGTTGTGATTTTGAAATGCATGGAACACTAAATACTAGCATTTTTCATTATTCACGATGGTCTTGTCAAAAGTATTTACACAATACAAACACATTTTTGAAACTGGTTCATGAAAATTATTATAAAAAATTAAAATTCTTGGGATAGTTAACCAGAATGAATACTGGATACAGTGCAAGACATCCAGGTTCACTCAATTATATAACCAGCAATAAGAGAATATTTAAGTTAGAAGCGAACACTTTTGTGCCTGTTATGTGAAACAATGACAAGACCATGTGGATATATAATAACATGGGAACAGTGTAACTGCAAAACAGGTGAACTCCAAACATGAAATAATAACAATGAACATAATTATGCCACCTAATTCACCCATCAATACAATACTCCACACATAACTGTACTTGTACCATCCATATTACAATTTGTTTAACTTAAACATATCTAGGGGTATTCTCAGAAATGAGACAAGCTGTCCCTCAATACGTTATCAACTTGTTTCAAGACATCCCCCTATATAACCCCCCTAAACAATTCCCAAATGCTGAAAATCCAACACCCCAAAATAGAATAGGTGGCATAACAATACTTATGGAACATAGAGAAAATGTTGCCTGTCAATGCCATACAACATGTACTGGAACACTCTGTCTTGCCAGTAGCCACTGTTTGCCCCATGTACATACACATACTTAGAGACGGCCACTTTTGTATCAGTCTCTTTTCGCACAGCATTGATGTGTTTGCCATCTTTGCCGATAAGTCTGCCACAGTAGGGGTCTTCCCCAAGCATCTTCAGTTCAACTTCCCTGAAAAATATTAATCCAGTTAGTTCAAAAATTTTAATGTTTTTAACTATAAATATGGTTAGCAATTGTGACTGGTAATCAATCAGTTATTTTAGTATATTTTCCTTAGGTTTCAGCCAAAATAATGTGAATTTCATGGCTTTAGATTAGCATTTAATGTGCTACAAATTAAACATAGATTGGATACAAATAATTTGCAGGGAAATGTATCTCAGTCTGACGTGCTTTATCCACATAATATATTAAGCCAGGGATAACTTTGTCATCATTGATACATAACAGTATGCTGCACTTTATACATAAGGTAAGACAGGTAGTAACAGTAATTTGGTTATTGACATGGATGTTTACATAATGCCTAGCATACACAATGATCTCCTCAGGATTTTTCTCAAAATTTTCATTTTTACAATTCAGACAAAAAATTGTCAAAATATGCCAATTTTTCATGATTTTTCTCATTTTCAAGTGGGTGCAAATGGATGTTCAGATGGGTGCCAGCCTATTTTCAAAATCTCAGGTGGGTGCTGCGCCCACTTGCTTTAATGCTGGGGAGATCACTGATACATGTCTAATAAAAGACCATTTTAGTCTAGTAGTACTTTTACAAAAACTGACTGAAATTCTTACTTTGGAGGTTCTATAAGATTCTGCTGTTTGACAATTTCTTCTTGGATCACTTTAATGATCTCTTTGCAAGCATTTGAACAATTCTCAGGATTACCATATATGGAAATACCCTTTTCCTTAGAGCCTGTGTTTTCCTTTCGGTGTACATCCACCCTGAAAATAAAAAAGAAATCATTTAAAGAATTTGAGAGGAACATTCAGTTGTACATTCAATCCAAAGCTGGGCAAAAATGGGGTAAATGGTCTTAAAACTTATGAACTCTAACTGTCCTGTTTTGAATTTAATAAGAAGATGCTCTTCCTTTTCCTATCAGTTTGTAAAACCAAATCAGACTGTGACAACCAGTATTTGAGTTATCGCCAAGACACACAAATGAATAGACTAACAGCTTCTCTATTACCACTCACAAAACTGGGAGATAACAATACATGAGAAAACATTATAACCCCACCCAGGATTTTTACCAATTGGAAGGATGAACAACTACTTTTTATCCCAAGAGTCTGATTACTAAGGGGGGGGGGTTCTCTCATTGTCTCTTATTACCATTCTTATTAAACTCATTTCTTAACCACTTTTGATTGCTCCGTGATTTGTAAAAAGGAAGAAAGCCAGAAAGTAGTAAAACTGTGGATTATCTTTATTCATTTTCATTTTTCAATTGAGAGACATTTTTAATCTTCATTTTTACTATGACTCTCTGTCAAGATATTTTAAGTCAGAAGCGAATATTAGTCTTTGAGATATTATACGTCAGATATTATACGTCATTAGATGTTATCTATCATTAGGCAAGAGAGCTTAATGTTAGTCCTCAGCTAACACAATGTCAGCCTTTCATGTCTAATTTGTCTCATTTATTCCCTTGCCATTTCAAATGTAACTAAGCGTTACAGTTATATCACACCATTGTTTTGAATTAATCAAACAGAACAGCCTGTATTCTGATTTACCAGAATCCTATTGCAATGTATCTAATGCTTGCAAGCTTACATTCTCCAGAGATAAATGAGGCTTTGGATACCACAATGAACAACATGATTTAGTAGCCATAGTAATTATCTGGAATTTCTTGAATACAATTCATGTTGGTATCTTTTATTCTGTGTTCATTCAACTACATTCTACTTTATCAACATTTCGGATGCTATGTCTTAGAATTTACATAAAACTGTAGTAACAGGGTTCTCAAGAGAAAATATTAAGAGTGTGGGGCTAAAACTTTAGTTCAGTCACAACAAATCATATCTATCAATTGAGCAATTAATCATGGTTCTAGTCAAAAGGTTGTGGCTACAGGAACTCAACTGTAGATGGTGTTGTTTTAGTCTAAAAGCCAGAAAATACAGGGCTTCTATAAACTCTCTTTACAATTAGATTAGAACGTTTGTGTAAAGAGACTTTATGGACACTCTGTATGTGCTACTGTGTCATGTTTTGACTAAACTAATATACAGGGTGTCTATAAACTCTCTTAACAATTACATTAGAAAGTCTGTGTAAAGTGACTTCATGGATTCCCTGTATATAAGTAGGCCAAATGAATATAATTTTAATGTCATGGTTATGTTGATCTACCATGGCTTCAAAACTATTAATGTGCCTACTCCCACAGTTGACATTTCACATTCATGTAAAACGTATTAGGAGTAAGAATCTGCCTACGTAATATTAGATTATAAATGTAACACTAGCCATAGCTAAATAACTATTCCTAGTTAATTTCTAATGCCATGATAAATTGTTTCATAACTGAACACAAAACAGAGAGCCTAGTTCAGAGGACCAGGATAAATTTGGGTATCTATGACATCTCTAGCTTTATCAATGGCAGACTTGAATAAGATTCTTTCTAGTTCAACATTTTATAATTTTGGAACTTTTTGTGCAATATTTTGGGTTTTGGGAATTTTCAGTGCAAAATTTTAGAATTTGGTAATTTTTGTGCTATATTTTAAAGATTTTTACGTTTTTTTCATGGATGATTTCAGGGAATACATAGATATACTGGAGGATAACTTTTATGTTATGGAGGTGCTGCGCCTAAGAGATTCAAATGTGGGGAGAGCCCTGAATTTAGTGAATTAGATAAGTGAAACAGTACAAACTAACGAAAATATTCGAACAATTCATTGATTGTGATCAAACACACTTTTTAAAAATATTTCCACCACAATACATTTCATTGGCATACTTAATCAATTAAAACAATACAGAGGAAGGGCAACATGTAGGATTAATCAATTAAGGATGCAGTACCAGGTCAGCGTAGAAAAAGTTCCAGACATTAGATTTTGCTCATATTTTTTACAATGTATCACTATGATGTTATCATCATCCAAGTGCAATATGAAGAGGATTGACCGTCTGGTAATCACAAAATAAAAACATTATTTTACCCACCCAAAATGAATCTTTTTACTTTTTTGAGTTTTCAATAGAGCTGGCACCTTTCGAATCCTGGTTTTCGTATCCACTAATTGCGACTCAAGAACAAGTTTTCCCATAAAAGTGAAAGGGATAAAATATGCTTGATAAAATGTTTGCAATTTAATTCTTTTCTGGAAACACCATTATCGAAATAAACTATAATTTTTGAATAAGACTAAATGCGAGAATGACGTTCTTGGGAGCTAGCTTTCTCAAACCGGAAGTCAAACCTGCGCAAACAGACGTGAAAACCGACCCGGTACTGCATCCTTAAAACAAAACAGAGGAAGGGCAACTTGTAGGATGGTATATTGGAAAACCAGACAAAATGTAATTAGCAATAAAGTTAGATAGAAACGTTGGAAGGATGTTAATATGCTTCATAAAAAACATCTGAACAAATAGATATGTCAAACAATATTGCATTTCAATGATTCATTGTTGTATTCTGGGTAATGTCAAATATACTTATTGGAACAACAATTTTGCATTTCATCTGAAATTTTCAAATCTAAGCACACTATATGATAAAAATATTCAGAACTCTCTTCTATTTACCATAAGATTGTGATCATGGTATTGAACATCTTTGTATTTCACGACCTTCCATGCTGTTGGTCACACTGACTCTGTATAATTCAAGAGCACCAAGCACAGACTAATCGATCAGGACATTCACTTTCAGAAACTGAGGCAGATCATAATAGTACACATATATGTATATGTAGTGTTTTTCATACAAGCAATATCATAACTCTTATGAGCTACAGATTGCAATCTACATAATTACATTGGAGAGAAATCAGCTTATTCCAATGTTTGGGGTTGAAATACTCTCTATATATGATTAAACTGCAATTTCAACATTAATCGAAAAAGTGGTGATTTGAGAAAGCTGAAGGGTTATCCTGTTCCCGGACTATAGTCCTGTACGGAGCCAATACATTTGCCTGTACGATTACAACTTGGGAGAATTATCTACGCCCCTTCCACTTAAGAAACCTACCTCAATGCATTCTACAACTCAAAATGTAACTTCTAATATATTGGAACCGCCGATTGTCTGGGTTAGTTGGCAGAACGAGGTCTTTTTGTTTCTTATGGCTCTTTTGGTCGAAGTTCGATTAAGATGGCGGTTATAACGGAATTTCCCGAACTCTTCCGTAATAGCACGAACTTGGTTTTTCGTTACTTCACTTCCATGTAAAATGGATTTGTTTCCGGTAAGAAACATTGTTTAACCATTCGGTATACAGTTAAGAGCATAGGATGTCGACATGGCAGTAAATATTGAAAATATTGTCCGAAATTTTCGAAATTCCCTCTTACCCGAAACAAATCCATTTTACACGGAAGTGACGTAACGAAAAACCAAGTTCGTGCTATTACGGAAGAGTTCGGGAAATTCCGTTATAACCGCCATCTTAATCGAACTTCGACCAAAAGAGCCATAAGAAACAAAAAGACCTCGTTCTGCCAACTAACCCAGACAATCGGCGGTTCCAATATATTAGAAGTTACATTTTGAGTTGTAGAATGCATTGAGGTAGGTTTCTTAAGTGGAAGGGGCGTAGATAATTCTCCCAAGTTGTAATCGTACAGGCAAATGTATGGGCTCCGTACAGGACTATAGTCCTGGAACGGGATAACTGAATGGCACCTACCTTGCTCTTGATTGCTTTGTGATTTTACCAATGGTCTGTCCCCCACGCCCAATGATGGCTCCCACCATGTCACTAGGTACATTTATTCGCAGAGGATAGTCATTGGCCCGGTTGTTGCCATTGCCTGGACGACGTTGACGGCCATTTTGCATGCGGCCATTTTGCACAAACTCGACCTGAAAAAAATAAACTAGTGGATTATCAAATATAGAATATACAAAAGGTAGAAATTGAGATTTGTTCCATCTACAAATTCTGCCATGTCTTAAAACAGTGTTGCTCTCCTATCCTCATTAATTTCATGAGAGACAATATACTTAAAGCTTAGTTTCTCACCTCATTCGTACTGATCCAACAAACATGGATAGGGTGTGCCTTAATTAGATGTCTTGATGCAGGGTAGGAGTGAAATTGCTTAATTTGACGCATCTCACAACATAAGACTGACATAATTGATATTCATTTACCAAGGGACTGAACATAAGGTTTCATTGACATTTCACAGCTATGTTCTTGGGGAAACTGCAGTGAGTGAAAGTCAGTAAGTACAAAAAACTCTGGTCATATTAAAATCCAGAGAATCTGATGAAGTAGGAATGATCTACTATTTAAAGTTTATTATCATTTAGGGGAGGCATCAAAAGTTCGATGTCAGATCGGAAACTAAATAAATCTAGTTTTGACTCAGACCCCCCCTCCCCCCAAAAACTAAATACCGTGAAAGTTGATCGCTTACTTCCGGTTTGAGAATTTGAAAAATTATTGCTAAACACGATCTAGTTTTTGTTAATTCCTATCGTAATTTGCGGCTTTTAACAACTATTGATAGAATAGAATCCATTGGAATGATCTTGATGAAGAAAGCATCAGGTAAAATCTTTATTTTTAAACCATTCCAAGGCATTCTGAGTTGAAATTGCCAAAAATTTGAAATGTTGAAATTTGTCGGATAGCAAACTGAAATGAGTTTGAACCCCCTCCCCCCCTAACTAGATTTATTTAGTTTTCTATCCGACATCGAACTTTTGATGCCTCCCCTTAATTCAAAATGTTGGTAAAACTGATTTTCCCAATCATTTTGCTAAGAGGGGGATGCAAACCCTACCACGTACAGCTGAATTAAAATTCTGCAATATAAATCTTTACTAACCTTCAGTGAAGCACCCTGATACTGATAATCATTCAACTCCTCCACAGCTCTGAAAAACAAAGGGATAACACAGTTTCACATTTGATACATATATATTTCTCCAACATTTATCCATATACATGTACATGATACTTTAATTTTCAGGTGCTTCGTGCTTTATATTCCATTTCAAGCTTATATTACAAAGCTATAGATGAAAGACATCTCTGAATAAATCCAGCCTTAGGCGTTCTTAGTCAGTGGTTTTGATTTGGCAATCAGAGTTAACGGGCATTAAAAATAATCAACTGAAAATGTTTCAGATTTAGGGAGTAGTATCACCAATCAATCCTACTCAGAAATTTAGTATCACCAATCTTTAACTTCTGCTCATTTTGAAAATGTGGAGAACCTCCCCCCTCTGACCTTCTTGTATACATCTTAGCTTGTTCTTAGTGGCTATGTAGTCAACTGTTATTTTGAAACCATTCTTTAAATAACTCACTTAAGTAGACTGATAGATGCAACAACCAGTTAAAGTACTCATGGGTAGTAACAGGCTTCATAAATACCCATAATGCAAACATAGCATCATGGTTACTCTGACTTACCTTCCTTTAAAGAAAATGTCACTGTTAACACTAACATTTCACGTATTTACTATGTTGTAAATTCTGACATTTGCCACCAGTTTAAAGAACCACGTCTCAACCCTTTAGATTATAATATCAAGCTTTTTAATAGAACAAAATCAATTTCAAATTGAATTTATATAAAAATCTGCCCATAGATTTTTGCTTGGGATATTAAAAGAACACAAATGCAACAGGCAATTTTCTATGGCATGAAATGACTGAAATTGAGCTAATATTGCCTTAGATTAGAATATCGCATTATATTGATGTTTCTAAGTTTGATACTTGACATTTGCGTCTTGGTTAGAGTAACAAGACACTGTTGATCAGCTTTCTCAATTAATCAGTTTGTTTTCAGACCTTTATGCACTAAAAACGTTATCCTTGAAATATGTCAAGATTTAGACTAATGCAAGTCTGCTAATGCCTCAGTCACATTTGATCTACGGCAACCATACGGCGGTCGGTGGTCGTAGCTTCCCAAAATCATGAGAAATACGCAGCAAGTAGGATGTAGATTTTCTATATCGACTTTGTGAAAGAACAGGAAAAGTTCTGAATTTATCAAATTTTGCCAAGGACCTTCTTCACAATACAGACATACTTTCTCTGTTTGGGTGTTCAAAATGTTAACCATATCAATGGAATTTACTCCTGCATTATTTTACCCTATAACCTGATATGCTTTAGTGTTTGGATTTTATGATTTCTCTGCACTTACTCACTTATTGTACAGTCTGCCCAAGCTAAAAATGTCCCTTGCGAATTTGCATATACGCTTCACAAACTTACATGTATTGTTCAATTTCTCTAAAAATCTGTAAATCATCTGATTTTAGGCATTTTTATATGGGTTTAATTGCAGAAATATCAATCAAACACATTATTTTATCTTTTAATTTTTAACATCACCATTGTCAATTGGGTATTATGTTTACAGGTAATGTCTAGTAAAGCAGGCCAAGTACATGATGTTATCTCAGAGTTAAACTTATGAATGAGCACTTCCCCACTACATCATTCAAAAATTTACCACTTCATTCAAATATTTTTCAACTATGTGTATCTTGAAATTTCCTTATCAAACACTAGTGTCAGTAGAAAAAATTGCTGACAACAGGACAGGAATGAATTCATATTTTATACCAATCCTGGGCTTTCACTCTACTATACCTCTTAATACCTATGTGCCACACCAAAGACCCCCTTTTCAGCTTTATTCAATGTCAATTTCCTCTCAGGATTGAAGCCAAAATTGGGTGTGCTGCACATAACTACCCAAATTATTTAGAGTGAACCCCCAGGCGTTAAATATACTGAATTTGTCTAATAATTGTTACTTACTGTTGTGCTTGCTCTGGAGACTCATATGTGACGTTTACACAGTTTTCCATTTCGCCAGGCACTGGAAGAAAATTGAAAATATGAAATGAACATTTCCAAGAAAGTCTTCCCATAATAGGTACCTTCAACATGGAATATTTCTGAAGCCACTAAAGTCTTTTACCTCGACAAAAATCTTATTGATTCAACTTTTCTACTAAAAAGGCTTCTATGAACATTAAATATTAAGCATTTTAAGTATTCATGAAGTGAACACCTATTTCTTACCTCTTCCCGAAATGTACAAAAATCTATAAAATATGTCCTGACATTTCATAAATACATTTCATTTAAAAGTATTCTCAGAAAAGTAATCTACAAGAGCCAGTCTATGTCTTCCCACATACATTTCTTTCATCAAATATACCTTGAATGTCAAGGTCAGATTATTAATGGTCAATATTCTAAGCATAACTAATTGGGATTTTTTCTGTGTCACATAAAAAAATAACTAGACCCAACTCAAGATCTAAATCTGATCTTACAGACTGATTCTTGCATTAAATGTGTACTACTGTGCATAATAGTGAATTTAGAATTATCTATTTTAGCTTCTTCTGACTGTTTTCTATTATAATCTCATTCATATTAAATCATTGACAAACCTTTAAAATTCACTCATCTATGATATAAATTGTTGATCAGAGGATGAAATATCCAAGATTCTCTATTTAATTCATGTAAATATCTGTAAATGCCACATAGCAAGAGTACATAGTACATATACTCACATATTCCCATGATGACTAACTAACAGAATGACAATACCCAACATTAACCTGTTGGCAATTTTAATCAATTTCAATTTACATGTGAAATCGAATTTATGTTGAGACCCTATGAATTAATCAAACATGATGATATTTCTTACAAAATAAAGATGAAGAAAACATGTGTGAAGTATATGATCAATTTAATTCAACCAATTAAGAAAATACATGTCTCTCTCGATTACAAGTCCAAGAAACTTCAGAACATTCAATTTCACAAGAAAATGCCAAAAACAAAATCCGATACTAGAAAAGTTTTATAAGGGTATGACAATAGGTTATCTCAACCTTCAATCTTCCATTTAACAATGAATTTACCTACTCCATTTTTAACTGAGCTTAATTTTTTTCACAGCCAATTAACATTTTTCAATATTTGCTAAAAGTACACCGTGCCAGAAGATCAGGGGTGTTTTCTAATCTATCATTTGAACATTTATGAAGAAAATAGTGATCTCCACAGGATTTTTCCTCGAGTGGGTGAACAATTCTCATTTTCAGAATTTAGACCAAAATTGGTTAATTAATGCCCATTTTTCATGATTTTTTTCATTTTCAAGTGGGTGCAAATAGATTTTCAGGTGGGTGCAGGCCGATTTTCAAAATCTCAGGTGGGTGCTGCATCTACTTGCTTTAATGCTGGGGAGATCACTGGTATATAACAGTATAATCTCTTTCTGATTGATCAGCCTCTATCTAAAGCTTGGAAGGTAGAGACTGTGGATCCCACAATGGTATACCCTTTCATAATATATTTTGGCCAGGGATCAGTCTGATAGCACCCTGGAAAATGCTCAATGTCGTTGTATTTCAGCTTAACTTCCCTGTTGGTATACTTATTCCAAACTAAAAGAATCTCTTGATACTACCTCATGCTTATATAAGATAGTAAAAGCTGAAGTAATATTATCATGGCAATTACCACTATGTAGGCATTCACAAGTCAGGCCTTTTTGTGCCCATATGGTGGTATATCAAAGTACACTGTACTGTTCAATGTTTATAGTAATATGACAACTGTCATCATTGTAATTATTGACGTAATGAAGATTGGAAACCAATTAACTCAACATTGCCAAGCAACCACATTGATTTCTGTATTATACTGCTGTTCATAACTATATGAGATCATGTTGTGTAAGAATTGTGTTTAAAGAAAATCTTGATGATCATAATTAAGATATGAGCCTGGCCAAAGGAAAACTGGTCTTATCACAAAAATAAGAATCGTGCTACAGAGCCAAAAATGTGCCCAAGATTTAGAGGAAAATGTGCTAAATTCAAATCCGACTTTTTGTTCTATATATGCAAGGAAAAATTGTTAAGACATAAGCCATGGCTCATTTGAAAGGTATCTTTGTGCTTTTTAAGATAAACAAAAAATCAGAATATTGAAAAAATCTGTGATAAGACCCCTTTTCCTGTGGCCTGGCTCATATAATAATTGAAAAGCCAATTCTTTTTGGAGAGAAATAACATTACAGCATCAAAGTAATTTAATATAAAAAGAAAAAATGTATGCAGATAATTTAATACACCAGTTAATATAAACACTTGTGGACATATTTTCAGGTTCCTGAACATGTAAAGGCTAGGTATGTTTTAGTCTACATACCAAAGTCACATCTCTCAATTGCTCCAAATGCCGACACCAACCTCTCAAGATCGTCTTTGGTCACCAGAGTTGGTACATTCTTGATAGAGATTTTGTTACTGCGTCTGAAAGTACAAGTTTATGCAGATATGTATTATATGTTATTGAAGAATGCGAAGATAAATTCAAACATGTGTTGTAGTGTTGGAGTAAAAGGGTAGATCTACTACTGGACAGATCTCAAAATCAGCCAAATAGAGCATCGTCACCTTCCTAATATACAAAGGGTACCTGAAGTATCCGAGGTCCCTCTAATACACTATTAGGTAAAATCTTTAGAAAAAATCTCTGAATTTCTTAATCTTAGCAGATACAGTCACAAATCCAATGGCATCACTAATGCCTGCCTTGACGAGGTCTATCTTGTCATATTACTTAATCAAAACAATGGTGATGAAGCAAGCCACCCTTAAATGATTAATGATTCAATGAAATATTATTCATTCATTCCATGGCAGTCCTATTTACAAATACAGGGATAATGTATCATAGTTGTATAATATATCCAGTATTAATGAATTCCAGGTCACGACATAAGTCAGCTTTAGATAACATTAATCCTTAACATCACTTACATATGCAGCGTAAATTGATTAGAAATCTTAAATGTCAAGTCAAGATATGCTCAATAATTCGTGAATAACAGATCTACAACCAATTACAACAAATTGTAAAATTCTTGATTGCACTCCATGACCCCTGGTAAGACGAAGAAAGTATTGATTTATCAGATTTCAGAATATCTAAACTAACTATGACGATTGGATTTCCATTGATTGCTTATCTAAGAGTACACATAATACATGTATAATTTTATACCTAACCAAATTCAAGAGATTCTTAATATTACAAAATTTCCCCTATCTTTAAAAACTTGATATTGATTATGCATTAATTACACGCTTTTTTTATATCTATTGATTATATTTTGTAAAACTTAATATCTGACTTACACTAAAATCACTTCAACTTGCACCATCTTCTTCAATCAAAGTTTCTACATTTTGAAATTCCTCCAATAATTTTATACAAAATCCCCCAAAGTGTGACCCAGTGCTATTTGGTTTGCAAACCACATTTTTATTGTCAATTCAAACCACTTATTTAAGCATGGAAACCACAAATGTCTATTTGTGTTTATTGGAACTAGGGTAATACAGGCATATAATAATACCACAATACTTTTTCAGTTTTGGACAGATTTAGATTGACTGATGTGTATAATATGTACAAACAGAATCTTAAAACATAACAACCTTAAAGTGGATTAAGAATTCTGATATATATTAAAATTAAACTGAAAGTTGATTGAATGAAATTTCTCACTCATAACAATTTTTGTACAAAATTTCCAAAATATATATATATACTGTATATATCTTTTCAAAGTCTATAATAAATTATCAATACTTCTAGAAACAACTTTTTAAACATGCTCTTTGAAACAAGACAAAAACCTCCAAGAAAACTCAGGCAACCGAGAATTAAGAAATAGTGCAGTAAAAAGATCATATAAAAGAAAACTCAAAATCTTAAACTTTTGTTGTTTTTACCTGTAATTCTATGTCAATGTCCAAAGGTAATCCTTTCTTACTTCATTCAACCTAAATACAAATGCCAGATCAATGAAAGCTTACTCTTCCTGAAGTACAGTGCCTTTCTATTGATCTTTATTTCCAATATTATCAACAATACCTCATGTATTTGTGTAATAAGAAAATATTAAGATAGATCAGCCATCAACACAAGATTAATGAAATAGTGAAAACATGATCTATATAATATGGTATAATGAATGATGATATTCACAGTTGATTAAGGTATTATTTACCTTGTTCCAAGAAAATCAATATCATCTTTTTCCCTGTCCTATGTAATACATCACACAGCCACAGTCTCTTCACCTTATCAGTGTTCTGTTCTCCCACGCTTTTTTGAAAGAATGAAAGATCTCATTCTATATGTCTCATGCTCATTATGCTAAAAATGCTCTAAACTGGTCACAAATTCCCAAGTTTTGACAAGTTTCCAAAATCTCAGCTTGGCGCAGAATTAGACTCTCAAATGTCAGAGATTTTGAGTCAAAGATGTCTTATAAAAAGTTTAAACACCCTGGACATTTTTGTGACCTCCCTTGGCAAAAGCTGGCTACTGGCCTACCTGGGTAGACAGTATCATTGTAGTTTGATAGTGTAAGGAATTTTTGACACAGCCATTAAACAAACTAGCTAGAAATCTGTAAGTTGAAATACAGTACATGTTACTATGATTCACTTGTACAAAAGGTTCAATTTTGACTACCCTCCACTTGGTTCACTGGGAAGTTATCAGAAACAACTATAAAAAGCTTGTATCAACTTTACTCGCTCTTACAAATAAATCATCTATTTGGCCAAGATGTTCACGTCTGTGCATATGATTGCTTCTTCTTCTCTGATAATGTAGGGAAGGATTGGTTTCTCTCCATACACCCCGAGTATAGAGTTTGTTTTAAACAAACCATGGAAAAGGTTTGACAATTTTACAGTTTATCAGCCCTGCCCCCACTGTCAGTAACCATCAAAACCCATTAAAAGTCATCAATCAATTCAAACCCATCCTGCTGACATTTTCTTAAACAATCAGCAAGAAAAAATAATCCAAAATTCTGATTTTCTTTTAATAAGTCCTAGACCAGTCCCCCTTTTCTACTTTCAGGGGCTTCATTAGCAGCTTCACAATACCGCCTGTTGGTTTTCGGGACTTTTCCATGTTAAATCTTTTAATTTTGCCTGTTTTCATCTATTTAACCTGTTATGAGAAATTCTAGTAAAACCCCTGACGTTAACAACAGTTTGTTAAGTAGATAAGGGCGAGGGGGGGGGTCCAGGGCCTTGAAGCAAGACTCTCTTAATGGCCCAAATGATTGCTTCTTTCTCTCTGAACAGATCTAATTATATACTAAATGAATGTTCCTCTCTCTTACTATTCAGATTGTTTGGGTTATTATTGGACTGTTTCAATCTTGTTTCAATCTTGCTTCAAGCTATTGTGATCATCTTAACACAACACAGGGGGGGGGGGGGTGGGGGGGGGTCTCCCAGAGACTTGATGCAGGACCGTTGGATATGACTGGTGGTAGTGCTCTAGATTGTGTGTACTGTGGAGTATGGATGATCCTTTCTGATTGAGTAAGAATATCGAATATACTATTTTCTGAATATGAATTCTCCTGGGACACCACTTATGTTGCTGATGAAAATGGATCTATCAAAGAGAAAGAAGCAGTCACACCTGATGATCACACCTATTTAGACACAAATGACAACCAAACTTTTGCAAGGGTCCTACCTACACTTATTCTGAACTTATCTTGGCATACAACACGTGTGTTAGTCACCTACACTTCATAGCTAAATTACACCAATCTAAATATACCTCCCCAATAAACCTTACACTGCCTGCAAACTAGACAAGATATCTGATGATACAGCTGCATGGGCACCTATGTTCCCTTATCATACATACTGTAACATGTATGTATAAAGCACCTACCAGCCCAGTACCTGGGTTTGACCATGTACGCCTAATCCTGTATGTAAAAATATCTCTGTTCTTCACTACCTGATAAGACAATCCTCCTTTCCTTGATTTGAAATTGTAAATCCAAATTTTCAACTCCGTCCATTAATGTTTTCCAAGTTTCCTGGTTAATAAGCAAGTACCTGTACTTACCTGTCATATGCGTCCGCCATCCAGTTATATAGGGGTAGGGGAAGACGCGGATATACTAGCACAAACATGTACAGGGCTTAGTAAGTGCAATCCTACTGCTTCTGTCTAAGTATACTCCAAGCACAGTTTACATACAATCATGCCAGTCTGCAAGCCAACAGAGATGCTTCAACCAAACACACTTCAGCAATCCCATCAAAACTTCAGCAAGTTGGCTACCAACTTTAACATGATTGGTTTAGAGTGTATCTATGGAAACATGGTTCAGGACCTTTTTTGCTTTACTCTGCAACTGACTGGACAGATTGGGATAATGTTTCACTTACTCAGAGGTAAAATAAAACACAGGGGTGCATATAGCAGCTTTACAATAGGGGGAAACAAAATTTCATTTCCTTCTGTAACATTTTCAGTTTCTAAACATGTTTTACTACAAATAAAAAGACTGTAGAAACAGATGATGAATGGGAAATGGTAACATGATCTGATGACAGAGAAATTGTAAAAAAACTTTTGCTGCCTCATGTTGTTTTATCTTTAGACATTCAATCTATGGTAGACATTGTTTTCTGATACAGGAAATACCAAATCTTAATAGAAATCAGAATTTCACAAAGACCTGCTTTATTGACCAATTTTATCTTACTTAATATCTACCACACACCTAACTGATCCTTTTTTGAACCCTGTTCAATCTGTTACTGTCAAATAAATGTGTGAAATGATGAATAACCCTAGACAAGTACACATCTTTTTGGTAAAATTAAAATGCAACTAAAAAGTTTAGAAACCAACCAATATTTTTCTAGAAATTTCAAAAAGAAACAAAATTATAAGTGCCCTATTCTTACCATTGATAGTGCATTTGGTTTGGGTACTTTGCTATCAAATGTTACCTAAGAATCGCCAATATTTTCTAGATATCGGTTTTCATTTTGCATTTCTTTTTCATCCACTTTCTGCAATTTGCCACTCTTTATATGTTTCGATATTACTGTAAAAAACTTAGAATGGATAGAAGGATATCCTTGTTCTATAAAGTTACATACTAATTACTAATACTAATTGTATTTCAAACTAATCAATGTTATGCCTTTATACTTTATTTCCAGAGCAGACTATTCTATTTGATTATCAGTACAGTAGGGACTTCAAAATATTCTTTACACAATTTGCTCTCACTTGGGCATAATGAATTCTAATAATTTTACCAGTTCTAACTGAAAATACTCCAAGCCTGTGGTTCATATTTTTCTTTTCAAATGATATAGCTAGATGCAAGGTGATTTCCAATTCTCAACAAGGCCCAATACCCTGAGCGCAGTCTAATTATTAACTACCCTCTGCCTTCCCTAAACTAAATAACAGTTTAGCAGACCCACCCCCAAAACCAGTGCCATTAACAGCCCAGATCATAAATCATTTCAATCCTTTTCTCAACCAATCAGTGTGCTGGAAGGAACGAGTGCTAAATACGCTCATTCTGCAATGATATAAGATGAAATGCCCAGTTATTTCAATGCTTTTGGGAACTTACTGCAGTTGAAACATAGGTTCCTCTTCATGATATTCTGCAGCTTGGAAGTCCACATCTTCATCATAGTGGTCCTGATCTCTAGCCATCTTTACTGTTTCATTAACAACTATTATATAAGGGTTGTATATCTATAAATTTTCAAAAAGTTTCTATAAAATCTTGTTTTAGTATTCTTACCTTCTTTTTAAAAGCATGTAATGGGTATGATTCTCGACTAAAAGGATGATTCAGGGAATATGCCCTCTTGGTCCTTCAATAATATTGATGTGAAAAATGTTTTTTATTACTGTCCTAGTTATATGAGTATATGCACCTTTTCATGAGTTTTGATGCATAATGAACCATCTGCTTAGAGTCAAAATGAGATTCTGACAAAAAAAACATATAATCATTATCATAGAAATACTCAAATGGCAATATGTACACAATACGCTTAAGCCCATGAGAATTTAAAAGAAACCCATATATTTGTATATTTGGAGTATAACTTAGGTTTTTAAATTTATTCAAATATTTGAATTTCCCCAAAGTTTAATTGTCCAAAGGAACGGGACTGAAAAGTGTTATAAAAATGAACAATCAGTCATAAAAAGCAAACCCCAAATATCCCAAAATATGATCTAATGTACTAACAAACAACATCTAATACAATACCTCCCTACCCTACCAATAATGAACCATTATATAACAACACACTATATTTACTATGACATCACATAGTAATTGATTAGCAACATCTACTTTGGACAGCTGTTAAAAGTTAACTAATATTAAATATATGGATGATCTCTTACAGGGTACCATTGTCCATGATATCATGGCAAAAATCACTCAATAATATGATGCTGATCACCCAATTTTAACCCAGAATTAGAATGACATTACATGTTTGTAATAAAAAGTAAAAATATTTAACAATAAAGATTTTAAAGATATTTTATGACAATTTATAGATATACCAGTACAGCCTAAGTATTTAAACCTGTGTGTTTGAATTTACTAGCAATGTCTGATTAATTTTTGTATATATATCCACTCTCCTTTATAATATACAGTACAGACTGTCACTACGATCCAGATTCCTGATATTGGAGACAGTCGCCAAAGTCCAGTTTCCTTGTGATACTCCTAATTTTGAATGTTAATAAAAATTGTTAGTAACAATCCTCCACTGCGAGTTTAACAAAGGATCTGTAATTTACATGTAAAGTAGAACATGCATACACAGCTCACAGTTTCAGTGACAATTAGCACTCTCTTCACATATAACTATACAACGCAGCAATAATTATGTTGCTCAACAACGTCCATTACCAACAGCCTGCCACTACCTGCGTTGCCTTCTGCCAATATACAAATATATTTCACACCTACTTTTAAGCAAGTTTCATGGTAGCTCAGTTTCTACCTTTGTGAGAGTCCTACAAAAGCTACTAGATAAACTGACCAAATTCCCGCTGTTGCCACATGTTAAAAGGTCAACTCTGGAGGTTATACACACCTTAGGTTTACTACCTTTACTTTCTTTAGCATGAGGCCATTCATAAACACAGATAATTCATTCATAAACCTACATACACAAGGCTACTGTTAACTCTTTCTGAAATTATACACTGTTAAGTATATTCCTTGACATTATTACTTTGAATTTTACTAGAGCCGTTGAAAAATATATGGCTATGTCCCTTAAATTGATTTATGCTAATTTTCTATTTCCAACACTCCATTTTTGCATAAATTCAAACATTCCTAATATGGAACTTTTATTCACAGGCAATATACACTACAATGCAGCTAAACCCTCCAGGGGACTCAATGAATTTCAATCTTTTTCTTTCACATTTTTTGTCCTGTTTGACTTTCTCATACAATTTTAAGAGATCAAAAGGTAAGGGTTAGCTTCCTTTCCATATATGTAATGATGATCATATTTGACATAATGAATTGGTACGAGCAATAATTTTGGAACATATTAATATAGTGATGAATGTCAAAATTTGATTTGGCTTATGGTATGACCCTAGCATCTATAAATATATCGCATTCTGGGATTCACCCCCCTGTAGTATCTCTTCAAGTACAAGCATTAGATAAAAACGGACATAAATCAGAATATCAGAATCTGTTAAAGCTTATTCGTTGAAATGGTTTTCACAATATCATGACCAAAATAATACTCACTGATAAGCACATAAGTTTGGAATTGGGAACAGTATAATATAAGTAACTAAACATAAAATTTAAACCAAAATACATGTCATCTCCCGGGTCTTAGGATCTGGTAAAGTAGTCTCTTGAAGTATCTAGCAACCAAATAATCTGAGTATACATATACGGGTGTAAACTAGACTTGGTAAATATGAACAATGATAGATAAAGTATGCAATATATAAACTTGTTATTTCCTCAAACCTTAGTTTGATAGACAGTTTATAAGAATTTCCTATGGCATATCAATAATAAATATGATAAGTGTAGCTTTTAAAGGGCCTAGAATGGAACTTTTGGACCTGTTAACCACCTATTATTTATTCCATTGATTTCTTCCCTTTCAAAATCAGATACATCTAATATTGAGAAATTCAGCTATTTCGTATCATGCCACATATCGAGAGGCAATTTTCTCTATCTGAAAACATGATATAAATTGTTTCTGTTGCTTTAGTATTTCTGCATTTTGATATATCTGACAGACCAGTGATCTCCCCAGCATTAAGCAAGTGGGCGCAGCACCCACCTGAGATTTTGAAAATAGGCTTGCACCCACCTGAAAATCCATTTGCATCCACTTGAAATGAGAAAAATCATGAAAAATTGCCATATTTTGACCAATTTTGGTGTGAATTGTGAAAAAATCTTGTGGAGATCACTGCAGACATAAACGAGAGAAAGAGTTGTAGACACCACAATGAGGTGCTGCAACAAGTCATCTTTGTAAAATATTCTGTGGTCTTTTAAATAAAAAAGTACCCCTGACATCTGTAGCTGTGTGAACCTAGTGAAACTATCGCTAGTTTCTCACAAAACCAGATTTAGAAAATGGTGATGAATATGCATATGACCTATTACAAAAAGCAGTTTAATTTATATATCCAATGTTGACAGGTGGATGGACATACAATCAGATTCTAACAGATAGATTGACAACTCATTCTATAGGTTTAATGTGTGATCAATAAAAAATATGTGCTTGCTTCATCAGTTTCACTGGTACTCATCTAGTTATACTGACGATACGTCAGCGTAACAAGATGGAAAAACTTCCGGGCTTCATTTTTAAGATATTTTTATTTCTCCAATCTACAAGTCAAGTTGTAGACAATAATTTGGCTCAAAGTTAAGGAAGATAGTCTAGTTTGAGAATATGGAGGCGGTTCTATGTTTGGTATATTAATTAACGAAGACGCAATTCACATATTTAGTCCTTCGCCTTTGTTGCATTGACGATCTTCATGAATATTGGCAAGATATCTAACTAAACTGTGGTGTAGAATCGAGAAATAAAAATATCTTACCGAAAATGAAGCCCGGAAGTTCTTCCAATGGGACATAGTGGGAGTTAATGACTCATTCATGTATGTTGGGTTTAAGAAATAAAGATACTTCATTCTATTGAAAAGTGAAATATAAAATGAATTTTCCACATGTTTGAAATATCGCTTGTTTGAAATGCCATTGGAATAGCATAAATTGTAAACTCACTGAAAATAGAATTACGTAAATAAATGTTTTATCCCTTGACAAAGCATAACAGCCATTAGAATTCTTATATTATTTTAAATATACTTTAATCCTTTATGCTTACCTTCTTTTTGAGTTTGATGGCTCTACCTGCATTACACTACCCATCAGTTCAGTTCCTAAAACAAACAAGACAGTAATAGTAAGATAAAATATCACACTTTGAAGAGCAAAATGGCTATGTAATTTACCCAGAATGCCCAAAACCTAATCAGATACTAGTCTGATCATTTTAACTCAGGGTTCTCACTAGGCTTTTAGACTCCGGAGATTCTCTGGAGTCTAATGTCTTAAAACCCTCTTGTTCCAGAGTCTAAAAGCTTTTCCGGAGTCTAAAGTATTTTTTCCGGAGTCTTATTTTACATTATTTGCAGTAAAACTCTTGAGAAAATACGTAAAACTGGATACAAACAAGGAATAGGAAGTAAGAAACCTTTTAGAAATAAATATTGCGATTAAAATAGCAAGATAATCTTAAGAAGTATGTTGAAAAGTATACTTATAGGATATCTCTGATCTCACATGGGGGAGAAGTAGTCGCAATACAGCGAAAAAAGTAGTCACAATACCACGAAAAATCCGGGGTCTAAAAATTTCCTGGTGAGAACCCTGTAACTAGAATGGATTTAAGCGATTTTTCTGGAATTCTCATATCAAGATTTTTGTGGATCACACACGCATGCCATCGCCACACCTACCTGACAATGGCTATCAGCAAATATCCCCGTTATTAACAACTAGTGTTTGCGGTAGCCATTCGAGTCCCGTCTAACCAGCATGCAAGACACAGAACAGAATCACAGTTTTCATTGCATAAATTTGAGGTAGCAAGCATTTGCTACCGGCCACCAAGTTTTTGGAGCAAAATGTCAAATTTGCTACCACTAAGATGGACCCCTGGTTCTAAACTTTCATACGTAGAAACATTCTTAAAAATTTCAGATGAATCCATGAAACTGTTTGGCTGGTAACCTGTAAACAAGGCTCAACAAACAACATTTTTTGATGGAAAATCCAAAATCCGCCTTAACATTTACCAAGAATGCCGCCTTAACATTTACCCAGAATGCCCCAAAACTAATCAGTTCTAAACTTTTATGGGAAGAAACATCCCTGAAAATTTCAGATAATATATTATTTACATGGCCATGATCTCAATGGTCATGGTCAAAATAAGACCCTTACCATGCTGAAATAGCTTTTTCAGACCCCTGAAAATGTGATTGAAAATAGTTAAAAGTTAGCATTTCAAAAAGTCACTTCACAGAATATTTTGATTTTTTCAGAAAATGTGTCTAACATATTGCTTTAAATGATAGGAGCTTTGAAAATTTGAATTCATTTCTAGAAATAAAGAAAAAATCTTTTCTTTTTTTATGACCACAATTTTTGTTTAAAACAATTTTTCTAATTTTCAAAGCTCTTATCATTTAAAGCAATATATTGGGCACATTTTCTGAAAAATTCAAAATATTCTGTTCAGTGACCTTTCGGAAATGCTTACATTTAACTTTTTTTCTGTCACAATTTCAGACGGCTGAAATTTCAGCATGGTTAGGGTCATTTTGACCATGACCATTGTGATCATGGTCATGTAAATAATATATGGGAGTAGTGAAACTGATTGAAGGTTAAAGCAAAACTCTGTTACCTTAGTTCAAAAAATTCTAAAATCCACATAGATTTTTTATTTCCTGTTTGGTGTAAATTTCTGATAACTACCCCAAGACCTTAATAGGGTGTGCTGGGAGCTAATAGACTGGTGCCGCGCAACAGTCTAAAAGCCTAGCGAGAGTACTGGACTACATATCTGGTGCTGCAGAGCCCAGATATAAAAATAGAGGGAGTAATTTTGACGTTCAATGACAAGCAAAAATTCCTATTTCATCCATCATTCCTGGGAATGAAGAGATGAAAGTTATGCTGGAGGAAGTTGTCGGGTCAGCTCAGCTGATGGTGGCTGGTGTAACTGAGGAAGAAATATGTGTATGGATAGCGCCGTTTTTTATAACTTCTATTGAACGCTCCCAAGACAAGAATGCTGAATGGGATCGGGACCCCGGGGGGTTCAATGTATATAAAACTCGACGGGGGTCCTAGGCTGAAGCCTCAAATATCAATATGTTCCCATACCAGTCTGTCAAATTTCAATATGTTCCCATACCAACCAAAATAACGCCCAGAGGCCATACCAAATGTCCAAATATAGGACCAATGCCATACCAAATGTCCAATTATGGGACCAATGCCATACCAAATATCAAAATGTAGGACCAATGCCATACCAAACCAAATGTCCAAATATGGGACCAATGCCATACCTTAATTCAAAGTAAATGAAATATTGGATCAATGTCATACAAATGTGCAAATACAGGACCAATCGCCATACCTCAAATCAAGGACAAATGCCATACTGTAGTAATGGTCATAAATGAATCGAATCGAGCGTCCATTTCTCTTGGCGGCAAGTTTTGTATTGAAATCTTGAAAAATCTCCTCCTCATTTCCTGGGAAAAGGGCTAAAATTCAAAAGTTGAAGAAGGCCCTGGAAGAGAAGATACTTCGGGAAACGATCCAAAACAACTTCAAATTTGCAACTACTGGACCAATGCTATACCACGAATGTTAGGTAACGTATCTACAACGACCATTCTCATACCAGAAGAGCAAAAGTCCGACCATTGCCATACCTCAGAAGTCAGAAATTTCCGGGCATTCCCATACCAAATCCTAAAATATGGGTCCATTGCCATACCAAACATTGAAATAGGTACTCCACATGCGCCGCGGATCCCCGTCAAGGTTTATATATAGTGAACCCCCCCGGGATCAGGACAAGATAACATATCAATAATAATATCTAATCTAAAATACTCAGTAATTTCTATTTCTATGTGCCCCAAAGTATGATCAAATAGATGGAAATTACATGATAGCCCAGGACTATAGTCCTGATAGTAGGCTGGTATAGGAATTGGTTACTCACTTCGAGAGCCATGTTAGATTTTGAAACTTATGGCTCTCAAACGGAGAAGTGAACAGCTGATCAATAGTGACCTTTGAAATCGAATTAAGTCGATCCGCGGCTTACTTTTGGTCTCTAACTGCGTCTTACATCAGTATCATCAATCCGTGTAAGTATTGGAGCGCTGGAGTACTTCTTTTTCGATCAAGACTTGTAAATTGTTCATCGAGTTAAAGTTTTACAGACCTATTTCCAATATGGCGGTTTGCTAGGTGCGAGATACGCAACGAACGAAATGAATTTTGAGAATTAGTTAGGTTCGGACAACCTCCGGAGATTTACGAAAATGTCCGAGCAGAAACCGCCATATTGGAATTTGGCAGTAAAACGATTCACTCGACTAACAATTACAAGTCTTGATCGAAAAAGAAGTACTCCAGCGCTCCAATACTTACACGGATTGATGATACTGATGTAAGACACAGTTAGAGACCAAAAGTAAGCCGCGGATCGACTTAAGGTCAGGGTGCATGATGGGAAATTTTCTGCATTCCTCAATTGAGTCACATGTTATTTTTCAAACAAGAATCACTCCTTCCCCATATTGTCTTTATCTTCCAGTTTTGCACAAAGAGTGCTCTTATGTGCCTAGAAAAGACTTGTGAGAAGAATGTTTTGAAAAAATGTATAAAAAACAAGAAAATTCAGTGAAAAGATTCAGAAAATTTTCAGAAATTTTTTTCACTGAATTTTTTCGTTTTTTATACATTTTACAAAACAAATCTTCTCAAAAGGCTTTTCTAGGCACTTAAGTGCACTCTTTGTGCAAACCTGGAAGATGTAGACAATGTGGGGAAGGAGTTATTCTTCTTTGAAAAATAACATGTGACTCAATTGAGGAATGCAGAAAATTTCCCAACATGCACCCTGTCCTTAATTCGATTTCAAAGGTCACGATCATTGAGCTGTCCAAATGCTCCGTGGGAAAGCTAATATATCAAAATCCAAATAGCTTTCGCAGGAAGTAAGGAATTGGGTATTTCTTAGAGTAGGCCTATTATTATTGTGGACAGGTCATTGTGACACAGATTGGCAAGGTGCCAGAAAATGAATTATGCCTGGAATGTATTGAGATTTAGACACTTTTCTTCGTCATAATTTAATTTCGACAGACACTTGATACATACAACATCAAAAACGATAAATCGAATATGGATACACGTCTTTGTAAATAAAGGACGCCCTCATTTCTGACAAAAGATGGCCACATGAGGACGGCCATGTTGAATTTTTGCCATGCACACGCCGGCAAGAACGTAATCTAAATTATGACAGTATCTTCGGCATTGTAATATGTTTTCACTGAAAGTGTGGAGATGAATGGACTTGATGAATATCCTTACCGTTTAGCTCTTTCACCGCTAACTCTAACGTCTCTTGGTCAGGACAGTCCACGAAAGCGTACCCTCTTTTCACAAGAATATTTGAGCAGCTGAGACCGTGCTCGCTGAACAAGTTGCCGAGCCTTTCTTCCGTCACCTCCCGGTCCAGTCGACCCAGGTACAACCTGAACATTGCGCAGGTGGGGTAGTTGAAGTGTTTCACTGCCGGGGATAGTCGTCAACGGTGCGAAAAACTACCTATAAATTGAGACACATTTGATGTCACGGTCTTACTTTTCCACACGGAAGTGAGTTTATTTAGGTGCAATACGGCTGCGGAATAATATGAAAAATGAACTTTCCCATTAGGGGTTCTGATATTAAAATGAATATCGTTTAATATAGTTTAGACATTTACAAAGATCATAAAGCAATTGTACGAGCCTTCTGACTTTAACCAAGGGAACAATTCGCCAAACATAAACATGATTTATGATAAATGTCAGATACTGTTTTAATGTATCAAAAAATCTTCCCTTTGACATGATGTTAAACTAGTCCAAATGATACGTCATTTTGCGGGAAAATACAAGGAGGATTGGCTCCCAGGATCGAAACTCGATATTTTCCAACAATGAAAACGTCGAAATGTCGTTATTTTCTGAAATTAAAACCGACTATAAATTCAAAATAAACAGTTCAAAAGATTCGAACCAATATCTCGATCATTTCTTGTGAGTTTTGGAATTTTTCGTTTGGAAATAAGACCAAAATTCACGATTTAAATGTTGAAGTGAACAAAATGGCGGCTGTTTGAATTCGAATTTTGTATTACGACATACCCATATATGGGACAGAATATCGGTGGTGCACTCTGGGAGCCAATCCTCCTTGGGGAAAATACAAATATTTAAACCACGTGTGCCTTTGTCTCTTTTTGCTATATTTTATAATTCTCTGGCCCTTATCTGATAATGTCATTAATGTGATCGGGAATAGACAATTCATTAACATATGTTATGATAATACAGCTAAAAAGATGAAATGAATACAATAGAAATCTTATATATGATATCTGGCTTACAATAAACACTGGCACTTGTCATTGACCGTGGAGTATGGACACCTGTTTCTAATCATCTGCGGGTGCATATTTATTTGATTAGTTTTTGTTTGTATTTCTAACAATTTCTTGTTTGTAATTCTTATGCCTGGCACAACCGTCATCATGTTATTAAGTGTTTTTAAGTTTCGCAATGATCCTGTCATGACCGTGGTAGTGTTATCGTGATAGCCTGGTATAACCGTGACAATTCTATATTATATTGCAAGGCCTGTCATGACTAGTGTTGTCGCGATGTGCCATAATCGTACATCGATGCATCGGCAATTTTCAGTCGTAAACATTGATGCACATCGCGATGGACATCGAGAAGAAGATCGAGAAACGTGCACTGAAATACCGAACGCTAATGCACTAAAATACAGAACGCTGGTTCATCCGGGAACTTCTAGTAACGGTGAAATGAAAGTAAAGTAATTTTCTTTAGATTAATGGTTCATTTCGACTAGCTAAAACAGTTTTAAGGCGAAATAATATCAGAAAACATTGGGAAATGAAATAAGACATGAGAAAGTTAAGCGATATGCGTCAAAATAAGATAAGAAAGGGTGATTTTAAGCAAATGAATTTTTTTTAAAAACATCGATGTTTTGTTTCAGACATCGATGCATCGCCAGAATCAGCTTTGGCAATGTATCGATTAATCGCGACAACACTAGTCATGACCATGGTAATCTTAAAGCCTGATATGACCGTGACAATGCTATACTATATTGCAAGGCCTGACATGACGTGACAATGGTTGCAAGGCCTGTCATGACCGTGGTAATGTTAAAGCTTATATAACCGTGACAATGGTTGCAAGGCCTGCATGGGCGTAGCACTATTTTTCTAAGAAATACGCCACCACCACAGGAACAAGAGTTGAGTGAATCAAAAAACGAGTATGAAATTTGGTTGTATTTGGAGCGAATTTGCAACCATCTGGTATGTACCCAGCGTACCGGGCGCTACGCCCATGGCCTGTCATGACTGTGGTAATGTTAAAGCACAATAAGACCGTGACAATGGTTATATAAGTGACATCTAGTAGCATGAGAATACTGCAATGAAAATCTTTCATTGTTTATCTTCCATCATCCTCCTAAGCAGGTGTACATATTTCGTACCTCCTTCTTCCCCCCTGCCATAACCAATTTGGAAGCATCCAATTAAACTGAGTCACGTGATCTAATTATACACCGATGACATATACATGCTTGCTGTCGCAGTTTTGCAACAGCGAATCAAATTGCGAGTTCTTAATCAGGGAAATGCTAACTGCTTATAGCAGGGTGTAAAAAGAAAGAAGATATTCTGGATTTTGAAGCCCTGTGATCGGAGGATGATCTACCATCCAGATTAAAGATAATGTATCGTGGGACCCCTAGAGGAGATACGTGGCTTCATGGTAAAATAAATGAAATTGATGCAATCATCACTTGTTTTATTGGGATGCACAGTAGAAATGCCAGCCACAAAAAGCCACATATAATAATAAGTGAAAAGGTACATATGTGGCAGTAATTAGAAATAAAAAGCCCAAGACACTAATCTAGTAGCCTAAAAGTGCTTAATGAATAGAAAGAAAGAACATATTTGTATCTTCATAGAAAAGTCAAGCCAAAAGTAGAGCCAAACACCATCCGTACATCTATTCCAGTATTTAAGTTGTGCCCTAGAACTGTTTGTGGTGTCTCATGGCAAATAACTTATTAGACCAATCAAAAGATGGAAAACAAATTCTCCGTAAAGGTGCTGCTATACAAACCCAAACAACTTTTGAACAAACTTGTACCGACATAAATCAACAAATGCATGCATTTTCCCAACAGATAAAACACTATGAGTCGACCAAGACAAAAGAAAAATATGCAGAGTAACTATTTTGAATCTGATGGAGAGACCTCGCCCAGGCAGAACTACGGAAATTTGGATGAAAAATTGACGGGAATTTTTGAAATTGACCATAAAAGTTATGATGTTACTTTATCAGACACCAAATTGAATTGGAGTCCCATGGGCACAGGTAATTTCTGTGTGTAATTTTTGTTATATTTGAATTGTTTTCTTTCTAATTTGAAAGATTATTTCTTTCGGCCAGGTGGTTCACAAACATAATGTCACATTAGAATGATATATGGTGACGAAAAATAATTGAAAAGACGCATTATCTAGATAGTCTATAATATTTGGCATGATATTTTCTTGAATTTTAACATTAAATGTCTCAAACTTACTCGAGTCTCTAGCCAATTCTTGGCTAGAAGTAATTTCATCTGGAACACCGTGAACGCCATTTGAAAAAAGCTGGCTGGTTTGTCATAAATTTATCAAATATTTTAAAAATCAACAGGTAAATAAATCATTAATTAAAATGGGACCTGCCGAGCTTCTTGATGAGATATTGCATAATTTTTTCTAAAATTAAATCAAATGGCTCCAAGAAAAATGGCGATATTCGAAAACTGGGCGAAATGTCGTTAATGTCTGATATTAGTAACTGGCTGGAAATTCTAAGTTAGCGATCCAGAAGATGTGAACTAATACAATGGTCACTTCATGTGTGTTTTGTTATTTTTGGTGAGGTAATAACATAGATCCCGGCCAGATTCTTCTGTAGTAGGATCAGTAGCTCAATAAATATTCCTCAAGATGAGACACCTCAGAAAATTTCATATTTTTAAATCACGATTGTGAAGTCATTTCTGAAAAATATGAGACAAATCATACCTCATTCGAAGGGTCTTGTTATTCTTTAACTTTTTTATCACCAATGACCGTTATTCAAGCAATACTGCGTTGATAAGAGGCCAAACCAGTGATATTTTATCGCCAGAATCTTGTCTGTCCAAATCTGAATGGTGCTCCCGTGGTTCCAGAAATGTGATGTCATCAGTACAATGATATTTGGAAACACAAGAGTCCGGATCTCGTGAAAAATATTCGCCGTATTAAAAGTCAAATAACTGCATCCATAGGTCATTTACTCGAACCAAACAAGTAGAAATAGAAAGATGAAGATCTCAGCTATAAAATAAGTGAAAAATCTGTCACGGGGAAGCAGGTACCATTTTGTATAAGGAACGTTTTGAAAGGTGGTCACTTTTGTTTGAAATTTTCTAATTTAGTGACGCATCTTCTGTATTATTCTTTGATACTATGATATCCTACTACAAAACGATCTGGCCAATATCTGTGGGTAATAAGACCAAAACTCGCAATTCAAATTGTGATGTGGAAAAATGGCGGACATTTGATTTCAAATTTTATGATTACGTCATGACCCGTATACATGCAGAGATTTATCTTTGGACGAAGGTGGCAAAGAAGGTAATCTCAAACTCACCTTACAAAAAAGTATACCCTGTAAATCATATTTACTAGAATGAATGTCTCTAAGGCTTCATTCCAGCATATGCATAATGCATTTGCATTTGTTTTGTCACGAGTTTGAGCTCACATTTCGCTAAAATGAAGTTATGGTAATCTCGGCCAGGTTTGTATATTGTGGTTAGCTTTTTTCTGTAAGTGCTCAGAAGCAAATAATTCATGTGTGCAAAATATTCAAATAATATGATTGGTTTTAGCTTAGTGCCCATGTACACGATGTGTGCCATGTTTTCTTCTTTTGATTTTGATTTTAAATGGAGAAATTTGACAATCGAAATAAGTTAAATATTACACGCAAATATTTCTATCAAAACCAAAGATTTCATGGGTCTGCCGATAAACCAAGATGATAATGAATTTGATCAACTGAAAAGCATCATTATAGAGTTCAAGAATGTATTGAGGTATGAAATTTAGGTGTACAGAACGGGAATAAAACTGGTTAAAGGTAATAATATAGCAACATTGATCCAATGATCCTACGACTGTAAGTTGTGGACATTGATAACCTGGAAGTTGTTAAACGTGAATTTGTGTTTCAGATAAAATCAAAATTTACAAAAGAATGTCATTTCCTTTCATATGAGTTAACAATGTATGGCATTCAGTTGATACTGATATAGGGTAAGAAGTACAATATTGATCAATTTGTAGACCAAAACCTAATTATTTCATTTTATTTAATAAAATGTATAAAATAGTTCTTTGTAAATACATGTTGCTATCAATACTAGAAATAACATTGCAATTGCAACTAATATTGATCGACTCGTATCACGTAGAAACAAATAAATAAATACGAAACTGCATACAGAGCTATACAGGGGTTTCATGATAGCAGGCAATTTTCTCTGCTTGTTTTTCCCCAAATCACCTGTTGTTTTCTGGGAGTTTTTCATCTACTTCCATATCATTGATTTCATAAGTTTTCCAGAAATCAATTAATTGCTCTCTGACATTTTATGACCATTATGTACAAAAGCAACTAGGAAATACTATTGTCTTGTAATTGAAGTTTCTACGTTCTTCCATTTGAACGCTAATTGAATTTAATGTCTATGTTATGTTTACTCTTAGGTACTTTGACTCATAAGCAATGGGTTCTAGTAATCATTAAAAGTTAGCCAAAGGTAACAGGTAAAGGGTTGTTTTGTTTGTAAATCAACAGTAATAAGTGTATTCAGTTGTAAATCTTTGATCATGCAACTGTATTGATCTTATAATACAATATTTATACCACTTCTATAAATAAAGTAATGGTTGTCTCTATTTGAGGGCAGTCAATATTATGTTTATTACATTTTATTTTTGATTAGTTTAGTATACTTAATGAAGCCTTCAGTGCAATAAAAAATATATGAAGGGATCCATAGAGATTGTTGCTGAAACCTGGTTAAAAGTAACATAAAACATAAAAGTTAACCAAACAACTCATTTCCTAATTTTTAAGATAAGACAAAAGAAATATGCTAATGTTACATGAAAGAATAATATACTAAAATAGAGTTTGACAGGGGTTTCACTAGAATTTTCACAACAGGCTAAAAGATGAAAACAACAGGCAAAATTAATAGAAATCATAAATTTGACATGGAAAACCGTTGAAATGTCTGTTGCCTGCTGCTAATGAAACCCCTGGTTTGGGTATCTTGAATCTATATCTAAAGGCTCTAAATCAGAGTTTTTCGTTAAATTTTCACATTTCTGAATTGTAAGATAATCTCTGTTGCATATTTCTCTTTTTATATCATATAACATGATTCAACTAATCTAATGTTTTATCTGTGCTTATCATTTGTAAACTATGTGGTATGGTGCAATATTAAACATCAATGTTTCTGTGCAGTAAGGTGATATTCAAACATAATAATGTTTGTACATCTCTCCAGACTCGATACCCTGCGCGCAGATTATAGTTATAAACTACCCTCTGCTTAGTATAGACTATATTACGGTTTAAATGTCTATTTTGGAGCAAGTAACACCTTGAATAAATACATCTCTAAAGTAGACACGTGTCCTAATGATTACTTTAGACATGTGTATACTTGAGATATACATCCTATTTTCAGAAATATGTTGGAGCTAGATATTAATTGTGTTTACAATTAAGAGGTAATTCACTATAACAAGGTGTTTACACTTAGATTGGTGTTCATTTTAAAGGATTATTCACATATGTGAGGTGTTAAATCATGGTTCTGTATTAACTTGGATACTATAGATCCTTTATTATGTCACGGCATTCTGTGCTTGGTTGTTGGCATTCGGTATCTGTAACAAATGGCCAGTAGTGACATTTTGCATGTGAATGCCTTGTTTGGTAAATATTATAATCTCTAATTGTGATCTAACTTTTTTTCTGTCATATATTTGTTCCATATTTTATATTCCCCTTCTTTTGCTTTTTATTTATACCACCATGGATGTGATTGTCACAACAGTGGCATGATGATCGTTATGTGATTTTGGTGATGTCCCTCTTTTTGTCACAGCTTCATATTCATACATGTTAAATGGTTGAAGGTTTTACAGGTGATTAAATCTCTTTTGAACAATATTTTCAGTCATAAAGAAGAAAAAGTCGAAGAAGAAACACAAAAGTCATGATGATGACAATGAAAACCAGGTTTTGTTAAAGGATATATATGGAGTGAGAGTCAAATACCAAAAGCCTGGAGATGGGATGGTTCTTGGTGTGGAGGTGTACACTTATGAACGTAAAGATTTCAACAGATTGAAAGACAGGCCAATACTCTTAGGTCATCCCAGTGGTGAGGTGTGCAGTTTATGGGCAACTAGGATCGACCAAATCATATCAGGTGAGAATAGTTAGACCTGTATACACATATATAGTTAACACATTTGGAGCAACAAAAGTGTTCAGTGTAGGTAGGTGTTCTGAAGAGAGTTTTTATATAGAAGTCAATAGTGGAAGATGAAAAATGGCGTTTATTTAGCATTGCCTTGGGAGAGGTGTTCACTAAGACATGTTTTACAGTTTTTATAAGTTAAACAAAAATGTGACAATGCATCTTAAATATGGACTAAAAATACACTTGTATTCAAGATGCAGTATGTTCAACTGTTTGAAGTAGTCAAACAATGGGATTTATTGCCATTTATTCAAACAGAAATGTAATAGAGTAAGTGCTTAAGATAAGATAACACCGATCGCCAAAACTGACCTGACCATTTACGATTTGTGTTTTTCTGACCTGTCTGATCTGGCTACTGAATAAGGACTGGTAATATGATAGCATGAGATGTTTTATTACATAGATTGATTGAAATACATGTACCCTATGTGTATTTAGTCAAACTGCATTATTTGTAAAACCTGTCTTATAGTAAAACCTGTCTTATCCGAATGCCTCTGGGACTGGCCAAAAGTGTTCGGATCAGTAGGTGTTCAATGATCAAGGTTTTATAAACGTAAATCAATGAGAGAAAATAATTTTGGGACTGAGGAAAAGTGTTCCCTTTGTTAGGTATTCAAATTAGAGAGGTGTTCGGATATATGGTTTCACTGTACATGGAGTTAAGATGTTTTGAAGACAGGAAAAACATGAACCTTTTAGGGTGGTGCGTATTGAGTATGTGTACATAATTGATGATGACTCAATGCTAGCGTCTCATTTAAAAGGATGTCAATTACTCTGTGTACTACAAAGCCAAGATCTCATATTTCATATTGATTATATACCAACATACCCAGAGGAACAGAATCTAGTTCTATCTATAGTTGAAGCTACATTTTAAAGAAGGGAAAAGAAACTATTGCAAATGTACTGTTGGTACATAAATACTGCCATCGGGATCCTACCAATCGACTTCATTAACTCTTTGTTTAACTTTGCTATTTCAGGCTTCGATCAATTATAAGAATAGAATCTGAACTCCTCTATAGAATTGTATCTTGTCGGGTTTATTTTGTTAATTTTCAAGTTTTTGAAATCAAGTTCTTCACTGTGATAAGTTCTATTTCCTTTACATCTTAGATTTACTCAAAATTTCTATTTTTCTGCTGTTAAAATACTGTTGAAATGGCCTATCAGATTTACTTTATAATAGTTATGAGCATTATTAGCATTATTATTTACTAGAAAGGTGAGCAGCCAGTAGTAATCATAACTCCAGATATTGATCTGCATTTTGTGTAAAGTGAAAGCAAATCAATGAATACCTACCTTTATCAAAAGATTATTGTGTTATGTGTATGAAAACACTAGTAACACTGTACTTCTGAGTTCTCAAGGAGGATTGGCTCCCAGAGTGCAACACGATATTCTTCTTTTTATTATTATTTCATCAGTATCATTACATATTCATATTACATAATATATCATAAATCAATATCAATCATCAATCATACGATCATTATAACAATTTTACGATATTATAAGTTTCTTAGTCTCAACTCATGTTCCAACATACATTCAACATTTTAACTATATAGACCATATTTATATTTGCTAATCACATGTTTTCCAACCATTAACATAAGTTTAATTTTCCTTTCAACCCTTTTGTCCTCGTCTTTATATCCAAAAATAATATCGTGCTTAAATTCTATCCTTCTTCGATATCAATATTCTGTCCCATATATGGGCATGTCTTGATTTTGTTCACTTCAACATTTGAATCGTGAATTTTGGTCTTGTTTCCTAATGAAAAATTCCAAAAGCTCACAAGAAATGATTGAGATATTAGCTCGGATCTTTTGTTGAACTGTTTATTTTGAATTTATATTCGGTTTTAATTTCAGAAATAACCATTTCAATGTTTTCATTGTTAGAAAATATTGAGTTTCAATCCTGGGAGCCAATCCTCCTTAAAGTTCTGATATTTTAGAGATCTGGTGTGATATTTTCTTAAAATAGTTAACAGATACATATGAATAATTATGATAAACAAATTATTTTTGAAAGTATTTCGGATAATTTATTCTGTTGAATATTATATATATAAACAGTAAAAGTGAAATCAAAAGATTCAATTTGATAATTTCAAGAAATGGTACTCAAACCGGTATAAATTCAATATCAAATAGTTTCTCATAGATATAGACTCATAGTAATCAAATATCAACACTCATTCAGTATATTAGTACCCTGCGTGCAGAGTCTAGTTAAACTACACTCTGCCTAGTAGAGACCATATTACAGTTTAGTAGCCCCGCCCCCACGACGGGTACTGGTGACAGTTTGTGTAATAAATAACTTTTGACCTACGCGCTGACCTTTCTTCCACCAATCAGCGAGCTTGAAGAAACATACGCCAAATGCGTTTTAATTAAACATGCGCATGTCATTGGTCAATTCCGGGCTCAACGATGACGACAGAAGGAATGACCATATATAGAATGTCGGTCAATTTTGGCCGACGAACACTGATTGGCGCGGTGAGTTCACAGGTTTATTTTAGTTTGAAAGAGTGAAGACGAAGCTCTCTTTTAAGAAGTGAAGTCAAACGAATGCAAAGGGTAGTATATTAGCTCTCTCATGCTGATATTTGATATCAGCTCATCGGTAAAATGGTCTGATATTCCAGATATAATATTGGGAGGTTTTGGATACAGGGAATATCTTGAGGGATATGTATTTTCGTAATGAACAAATTTTTATTTTTGTATTGATATTTTCTAGGGTTGCCTGGTAGACTTCGGAAAGTGAAAGTATTTGTCCAGGCGCATGCTGGGATCAAAACTCGTTATATATATAGGGCACTTGTACACCCCATCCTTCTTGGTGCTAAAATAGAACAGGACATTACAGGTAAGATGATAAATAATCATATTAAAAAATAATTCCTGAGAAATTATATTTGTGCTTTTGACTGCACATCATTTATTAGGTCTCAAAATGGATGCAACAATTAGTCTTGAATCGTTAGGTGTCACCACATTGGTCCGGACCCCACTGGTCTGAAACCAAAGCGTCCAAATCCCAATAGTCCAAATAGGATTTGGACCAGTGGTGTGTCCTCATTTTTTACTGGGTGTGGGCTACCATTTTAAAGTTCTTCTAATCCTATTACCACCCTGTAAATTAATAATTATCCCAACGAACGAAGTTCGGTAGGGATATAGTGAAGCCGTCCGTCCGTCAGTCAGTCAGTCCGTCCGTCCGGAAGATAACTCAAATATTAGTCGACGGTTTCTCTTCATATTTGGTGGAAAGATGTATATTGATGAATAGTTTTACGCAAAAAAAGATGGCCGCCGCTTTAAAAATGATGGGACTTTTTCGTAAAAATCATAAATTTTTCATTCTAAACCAAAGTAATTAATACATGTAATATTATTGTTTGAAATTTTGGTAGTGTATTCACAACATCTATCTATTTCACAAATATTCCGTGTTTTTCATCCTGACCCCCAGGGGCCGTGTATGGGGGGTCAGGAAAACAGAAATTTTCGCTAATTTTTAGATCTTTCTGAAGTATACCTTTATTATACTCAAATGAAAGGCAATTAAGAGTAGATTGCAAATATTGTATCTTTTTTCTGATTTGAGCCTCGTAAAATTCAAAATGGCCATCTAATGTACGATTTCGCAATAACTTTTCGATCCCTTCAACATATGGCTATATAATACTCAAATTGAAGGAATTTGGAGTAGATCACAATACACTGTATTATTTTTCAGATTTGTACCTCAGAAAATTCAAAATGGCTGCTTTGCAGGAATTCGCAATTCTAAAATCTAAATTTTTCAATTTTAACCAAAGTAATGAGTATAATTGATTGGAATTCGGTAATTGATATTTTGTTCGTTGGGATTTGCTACTCCGCGGAGTTGCCATTATCTAGTTTAATTTTATTAAATGTCATTTGTCGAATGCATTAGTTCATTCTGTTGAATCCCGTTTTTGATCTGCTGCTGCTACTCTCTCACGCTGAACCTCAACATACATCCACTGACTACCTCTTTTATTACTTTTTCAGAGGTGATACACAATGAAACAATTAAACAAGAAATGGTACATCTCAAACTCTCCAATTATGACTGGTAAGTTATTCCCATGTAACTAGTTTTAACAGATTAAATGTTTCAATGAATACATCATATCACATTTTGTTTTTTTAAGACTAGATATAGTCTTAAAGATTATGACTTAAACAGCAAAACATGAACTCAAAATCATATTAACACAGCCAGTGTTTTCTCATGTCACTAAGTGAATCATTAAAAAAATGTTTACAGTAAAGCCTTTATATCCCAACAACTCTCTTATACACATTCAGTGTTTCCAGTAGGTTTGTCCAAGATTGCGTCCCTGGGACGTAACGATTTTCAAAAAATGCGTCTCCCCTCAAAAAACTGTGTCCCTTGAAAAAATGTTCCTGGGAATTCAAAGTCACGCTTTTACACTAACCGAAATAAAATTGATGAAATTTTGTATCGCTTTTGCTATTAATCAGTATAAATCAGTGTTCTGGCGAGTCTAGTATGTCATCGAATGATACAGATACCATCACTTGTGAGGTATAACTTATATTCAACCATTAGAAACATATTTTCTTTGCATATTTCAAAGCAATTAGCTACTGATTTTGCTTTAGTTTAGGGGCAATCTGCGCGAGGTTCAATTTTTTTGGTTCAGTTTCTTGCGCATGCGCATTCTTAAATAATGATCTTGTGATCGCACTTGACCAATAGAAAGTGGTTTAAATCGGGTCTTCAGCTAGCGGCCAATCGTAAGACTCGTACTGATTACTGCTCGGATATCGAGTATTGGATAACTATTTGTCCTATCACATGCCTCGTACTATTTTGATCAAAAATCAACTTCCGGGAAGGAAAGTTCGAAAGAAATTTTTATTTCTTTTAGAAATAGAATTTCCTTCAATTATTTAGTGGATTCACAAAGTGATTTACAAAATTCAAATTACGTTCCAAAAACGTAATTTTTTTTTTTAATTTACGTCCACCCAATCTTGATTTACGTCCTCTCCATTGAAGGATGCCATTAATGAAATCACTGACATTTCTCAATGTGAATACTTTTTCTTGGTCATATTAAGAAACTCTGAAATATGAACACCTGCTAATCTGAACACTTTAACGAATCCATAGTATTTAGATAAGACAGGTTTTACTGTATATGATGAGCCACTATAGATTCCTAAGAGAAAATTCTTTTCATTTTAGGATTCCCATGAAATATATAAAATCTTGATCAGATTAATGCTCAAATACTATATGTTTCTACATTCCTAAAAGAATTGAAGGAACACCCTGTATTTCTTGTATTTTTCAGTATTATCTGTGTCGGTGGAGATGGAACTGTTAATAAGCTTGTAAATGGACTCCTTAATAAAACCCAACAAAACCATGGAATTGATGTTAAACCAACCACCAATCCAGCTAAACCTATGATTCCAATTGGCATTGTACCTACAGGTAAGCCGATAAAATTAATTATCCTACACTTAGTGTAATGAAGGTATAATAACATTGAAAAATAAATTTGATATCTATTGGCAAAATGAATAACCAGAGGATATGGCCACGATTTACTCTGAAAAACCAATATGCGGAGGAAAATGAGACGATACACTCGACTTGTTGATTTATGAAATGAACATTTGTTCCAGGATCTTCCAACAATATTGCCCACTCAGTATTAGGGACAGATGACCCAGTTTCAGCAGTTCTACACATAGTCTTAGGTATGTATACTAAACTTTTATATTTCCTCATTTTAGTTATCTTTGTTATGTTGCAATAAATATTGAATAATTTCTCTAGAAAACAAATATTGTTTTGAAGATCACACATTTTTTCATGTACTGTAAAAGTAAAGTTTAGTATGTGCAGGCCTGTAGCCACCTTTTGCCAAGGGGGTTCACTTTTCCAAAAATTCCCATTTGACAACTTTGGCCCATAATCACTTGAAAAGTGCTCAGAATGGTAAAAAACTGCATTGTTTTGAAAGAATATTGGGCCTGATATCTATATGTTTAAGTTGATATAAAATTGTGATGATGGCAATTGAAGGGTGAATGCTGTGCAATATGCACCTGGCAATATGTCTTATTACTTCAATTATCAACCTAACTATTGAGGGATATGTGATGTGCTATTCTTGATCACATGATGCTACATTGACCAGTCAGAATATGGGGATCCTGGCAATGACCTATTAATATCTTTAGTATATTATCAGTCTTCAATATTGTAATAAAGTGTCTGACTGCACAATTGATATTATCCTGACCTTCTATCTTTAAAAATATGGTTCAAAACAAATAGATATTCCTGTTTTGCACTTTGTAGGTCATAAATGTCCAGTTGATGTATGCTCAACATATCACAATGAGAAGTTCCACAGTTGGGGATTCAACTTCCAGTACGGGTTCGGTGGCAATATTCTTGTTTTCGCTAACAGATACTCAAAGTTGGGCCAGCGAAAGGTTGAGGCTGCTTTCTTAAAAGGCCTAACTAAGTCTAAATTAAGGTAAGGAAGGTTGAGTAAGAAAGTTCTCCCAAAGTCTTGAGTTATAGTAGGGTATGTTGAGTTTGTCATTTTTAAGAGCCTAACTAAGTCTTGATTAAGGGAAGAAAAAGTTGAGTTATAAAACATTCAAGTAAAAAAGATTGAAGCCACATTCTTAAGAGTCTCACAAAGTCTGAATTATAGTATTATACATGTAGTATATATTGAGTTTGCATTCTTAAAAAACCTTGCTATTAGTCACTGTATATTAATCACTGTCTGAATAGTTGAGAAGTGTTTGAACCAAGATTTATTATGTATCCTATGTTTTTGACCTGGAATACATATAACAAGTGCTTGTTGTTTCAGGCCATATGATTGTGATATCCAGTACATTCCTAGTCCCAAGAATACTGAGAGTAATCCACTAGATGGCGTTGTATGTCACACAGGGTAAGGACACATTCTCAAATTGGTTTCAATCATTATCGGGTGAATTTAGTGAACTTAAATCAGACATCATAATGTCAGGTAAGATCATTTGTTTAACTGGCAGATAAGTAGTAGTAGGCATGAGACAAACCAAATTGAAAATAAAATGATACGAGTCTTGTCATGGAAATAATGTACATATTTCCAGGTGTTCTGTGTGTTTGGACTCATCTATGGGTGGATCTAACTTTGGAAGTGTCTACAGTGACTCCCTACAGGAATATGACCCTCTTGCCATCTCTGGGACCAGTAGTACCATAATAGGTAAAAAATATCTTATATTTTGGGGCTTTGAATGAGAAGGAGGCTTGGGTTGAGTGAAAGGGGTTGTCAAACTTCGGAAATCTTATCAGTGACTATCTTGGGGTAGGTCAACATAGACTAGGAAATATTGGATCCGGGTTAAAACAGATGAAAGTTTTTTCCCCATGAAGTGGGGATATTATAATGGAACTTGGAATATACAATGCAACTGATATGAAGGATAGTCTTGCAGTGAACAACAATATTGAATGTGCATTATTTACAGATCTGACCAAAGAATCTCCATGGCGATCAACTAAGGGATCGTACATGAACGTTGCTGTTTTCACTCTACCTGGGCTGAGTGAAATGGCGCCACAAGGCCTCAGTAAATATACACATCTGGCTGATGGGTGCATGGATTTGGTCCTTGTGAGAAACACAGAGAGGAAGGACTTTATTCGATATCTCAAACGTCATGGGAATTCCAAAAATCAGGTATATACATGTACAGTGTCATTGTTATATCACCACCACAAGTGCCACAAGTTGTTATTCGTCTCCAGATTTTTGGCGTTTGCCAGTTTGCTTCAGAGTTTGGTGTCTGCAACAAATGGCAGGTGATGACATTTTGCATGTTAATGCCTTGTCTGTTTGATACAAGGAAGGCCAGGCTACATGTATTTATAAAACTCGTACATTAACATGTATGAATTTGGTTTTCGAGGGATTAGTTCTCCCCTTCATCAATTGAGTGTAAAAGTATAAGGAAATAGTTTTGGTTCATGGAAAAATCGATTGAAATAGGGAGAGTAATATATAGGGGCCATAACATGTTCATGTACAAGTTCTCTTAGTCTCCCTCATCTTACATCAAGCCCCTGTGATATCCCACATTCTCATCCCTACAAGGAACGTGAAAAGAACTAAATAATAATGATAATACACTGATATACCCCCCTATGGTTATCTAGTGTATAAATGTAATTCTTGATCATAATTATATTACATGAATAAAAAAAGGGGGAAATAGAGTCTTGATGCAGGACTAAATGTGACATGGAAGTAAAGACTAACTTCAAAGAGGTTGATTATGATAAAAAATTATGATTGTATAACCTTACTGACATTACATGTAATACAATTAAACATAGGACATGAATTACTTGAGATGTTTAAACTATAAATAACTCTTCGGATATTTCATATTTTTTCCAGTTTGACTTTCCATTTGTCGAAGTACACCGAGTTAAAGACCTGAGAATACGTGGACGTTTGGGGACAACTTGGAAACATAAAGACTGGGACTTCAATGAAGTACAATACGAGATGAAGAAACTTGAGCTGAGTGTTATAAGTGAGAGGTCTATGGAGGTTGTGAATGATCTTAGTGATATTGATGATGATGATGAGGATATTAAGAGTTTAGGATCAGGCGCAGGGTTATCTGATGATGATGAAGATAATAGTAATGATCCAAAGGTAAGATACTCCATGATATTCTAGCACCCTGTATCTAATTTCTACTCTTTTACTAAAATTTCCCTGTCTCTGATGTCTGTCGATGACATACTTGTTCAAAACGCATATGTTACATGTATGTAAAAATGGCAGACACTGGTTCAAATCAGGTGATAATTTTTGGCTCACACAATATAAGAGCCTATGGGATCGACCAGGTATCTGTCTGTTCGTTGGTCCGTCCGTTGGTCCGTCCGTCAACACTGGCCGCACAAATTAAAACTGCTATTCGGATTGAGTCATATCCACATTCATTTTATGCATATCCACTACACTGTGTGAGCACAGAACCGTGGGTCCTTTATTTTTGAATTAACATCCCTCTTAAAATATCTTAGACAGCTAATGAGTGTGACTCAAATGATAAAAAGCTTATTCATGTCTGTTTGCTGTCTTCTGTATTTTTACACTGATTTTGATTTCACAGGCACAAAACAACATGCGACAGTCCTACTCAGCACCAGTGTACCGTAAAACATTCTACGAACAAAACCGTGAACGCAGATCTAAAAAGACAAGAGACAAGGAAGAAAAGAAGAAACAGTCGGAAGAAATGAAGACAAGGTCTGTTTGGAACATGGATAGTGAAATTCAGCGAGATATAGACTTAGATTTTAGGTGAGTTCATTTTAATGTTCTTTTTGCCCCCTCCCCTTTTATTCTTTTTTCGTTCTGAAAACAGTTGAGCTTTATGTGAGACACATTATACATCTGAACTTTTTCTCTTGTGTGTTTTTTCTCTTGTGTGTTTTTAAAAAATTTTCAAATATACTTGTGGCGTAACTGTTCTGTAGTTTCTGCAGTTTTTCTTTGTTAATTCATGAAATATCCAATTGTGTTAAATAGCTGATTTTTGTATTTACAGAATCCATCCACAGTTGCTTCTAATTTGTGGCCAGGGTCTTCATCCTCAGACTCCTAGGCAAGAGGCCAAGATGGGGTGCTTACCAGCTTTCTAATCAGCTACCAGCTGCATTGTGGTCAACATGCTGCATTGTGGTCAACCAGCTGCATTGTGGTCAACAAGCTGCATGGTGGTCAACAAGCTGCATTGTTGTTGATAACAAACTTTCACTACACAAGTCTTATTTATATATACTTAGCAAATATGCTAAGATGCTTTATGTGTGTACTATGTACATTTGGAGAAAATGGGTGGATTTTCTGAAATATATTAGTGTTAATATGGAGTCACATCAGACACAATCCAAAATAGTTTATGAAAAGGGTAAAATGTGTACAGTAATAAGTGTTAGTGTACATACCCGGGGACAATGTTTGAGAGAGAGATTCTCTGTTAGCCTTAAGAAATTCTGTGCATGTACAGTATGTAGATGTATATAATCTCAGCTATTGCTTCAGATTCTAATTCAATTTTCACTTTTTCTATTCCGTCCATTCCAAAGTGTCATACTATCTGCAAGCTAGATTTATGTAGAAACCTACATTCTTAAAATCTGTATTTTTTATAAAGTCATATTTTGCAAATGTGATATATCTTCGCTTCATAATACACAATAATGTATATTTTTTATATTGGCACTGGTGTGATGCCTTGATTTGAAGAATCATGCACACAGAATGTGTAGGTGTCCTTACTATGAAAATGCGGTCTAACTGTTAAAAGAGTTGTATAATTGGCAATGTTTGCAGCTTCAATAATAAAGGATGTTGCAAAGATAACAACACAAAAACTGAGATATGTTAAATCAAAATATCAGATATACGACTATTAAAATTCAATTATTTGCACCAAAATATTGCTAATATCGTTGAAGGGTTGGAGCATTATTTTTTATAGTAAGGGCTCACTTGTGCTTGTCTTTAACATATCTCATCTATTCTATACTATATGTACATTTATATCTATTTGTTCTCTATATAACTGATGTATAAAACTTAGATCTGCACCCAGCTTCTGTGATATACTCAACTACTTCATAAGCAGCTTTAGATCTGCACTGTATAGTAAATATAATATAAATATAATATCAATCTTTATCCCATAGTTGAGGTCAGATCTGTAGAATAACACGTATATATATTTTATTTATGATATTTTGCAAATGCGTGGAAAAAAACAATATCTGTGGAATACGGAGAATATTCCACAGATATCACTTTTTTCCACGGATTTGAAAACTCTCGCCAATGTGACGTGCATTGTTACATGGCTACATGTTATATGCTTACATGGTGATTTCATGACGTCACAAATATGGACGTCACAAATATAGTTCAGAGAAATAAAACTGAATGTTGTCGTGAAATGCTCTGGAAGGTGAAGTATAGGATGATTTGACCTCAACTATGGGATAATTAGAATATCCTATGATTTTGAGGGATATCATTCTATCCACGAGTTGATATCACTATATCTGGATGAATGAGCGTAGCGTAGTTTTTTAGTGATAATATCAACTGCCCCTCAATAGATTTAGGTCTGCACTGTGTAATTTATATCTATATTCTGAGTCTCAGCTATATTTGAAGAACAAAGAAATCTGCAATGTGTATTTTGTATCTTTCAAAGTGCACATGAATATACATTATATAGTATACAGAGTGGCCCAAAAATATAGTCAATTCATTACTTCAACAATATGTATGATCTACTTTTAGAAGGTAAAGATGGGATTTTTTGTGTGGAAGAATAGTTTTATATTTCTAAGATCCATTAGACAATTTATTTTCATGTTAGCTTCACTCGATGTCCAAATTGGTGCAAAATTCACTCTTTTTGTTGATTAATAACTGAATGATTTTGCTATTGTTCTTTCTTTTGTAGTTATCTGAAGAGCAGAATTATAAGAACCACTCTAAAATCACTGATTGAATTTTATGGCAAAAAAGTAAATTTTGAGCTTAAGTGGCAGAAAACAAAAATTGTAGTGGATTAATAAAACAATGCAATGCTTCTTTACCACGTAAAGCTCCCAGCTTTCATAGTAGTTATGCAAAACAACAATTTGCATTGGATCTCTGAAATATCAAAATGTGTATATTTTAGGACCACTCTGTATATGTTTCAATTTGAAAGAACATAACACAGCACTGTATAGTTCACATATATCTTGATATATATTATATTCATGGTAACAGTACACAGGTATATATCACTATGTATATCACATTTAGGTCTGCACCAATATGATGGAACATGTGTCCCAAGGGTATTTTTCTCCCTATTTTTTCTTCCAATTTTACCTTGTACACCTTCTCAATAATAGGGAGTCTAAGCTTATATAAAATCAAAACACCTGCCAATACGTATGATCAATCGCCTATACAAATGCATCACTTAAATATTTTCCGTTCATGTTTAGGTTGTAAAAAACATTGAAAGCTTAACCTTCCTAATAAATGGATACTGTACTTATAATTGGATTTGTAATTTAACACTATTTTTAAGACAGATCTGTTTTGTTGTACATAGCTAGTCATGAAGTGTATTTTCTCAGTACATGTATAACTATAACAATCTGTTAGGTTTTTAGTTGGTTTTATACTTTGATGTTGGCCTGTGATATAATTATGTTTTACATGAGTAGTGTCCGTCCAGTAGGCTAAAAGATGTAGATGTATATTAGTATACTTTTATCTAAGTTTTACAGTATAATATACATTGTACTTATTTATATCTTTATTGTTATGAAATGTTTATGATGAAAATATCAATACAATACTTGACTAAAGTCTACATTATAAAACTAAATATCTATAAAATGAAATATTTTGTAAACATATTTGTTTTAAGATAATTTTGAAGATTAAAAAAGAAAAAGCATTGGTTTTACTTTTCAGAGGTTCAACTTGTAACATTTTCCTGATGGGACATTTACAAAAAGTTTTTAAAGTAAAAGATTTTAAAAATTTCCTAAATAGATTGTTGCTCATATTATTCATAGATATAATGATGCCTGGCATAATATATGAGAGAACAATCAACTTTAGATTCTCATCTTCCGATTTACTTTTTTTCCTTGAGATTATTTCCACCAGCAAGGCGATCAGAGACAGTTATGTTTTCCTTGCAGATTTATATTCTTTATTTTGATGTGTCCCTCAACATTGATATTAATCCTAGAAAATATTCTGTTTATAAACTTACATTATGTATTATATGTATTATAAAAGGACATGATATACCATGTATTGTAAATGTGATATGCGCAATAATGCTGGTGGTGCGATTATTTTTCTGTAATGTATTATTATTTGTATCGATGCTTATTTTATGTGACAATAAATGTACTAACTAAAATTAAAAGTTGTTTCATAAAACATCAAGTTTTTTATCGCACTTTGAAAAAGTGCTATATTGCCATTGTCTAATGCTGATGGGCAGGTGGAAAGTGCAGGTGGACACCACATAAATCAAATCTTGTCATCAAAATTCCAGGAAAATCGCTAACATGTTCAACTTGAAATTTTAACAAATGCAAGAGCAGACTAGTGTCAAGATCTGATTAGGATTTGGATTTGCTGGCTAAACATTGTGGCCATTTTTAATCAATCGGCCATAACATTGTGAGATTGTGAAATTAAGAAATATAGACCAAAGAGCAGGGCTACTAGTTTTGAATACACCCCGCGGGGTCTAGGCACAAACGTTTTCTATACCCCGAACGACCGAAGGCTAAACGTTGTGGCCATTATTAATCAATCGGCCATAACATTGTGAGATTGTGAAATACCAAATATTGACCTTGTCCTTAGTATAGTTGGTCTCAATCAATCCCGCACTCATAATGAACAATAGAATTAGAAACACATATTATGACAGATTAATGGCTAACTTTGAGTGGTAACAGCATGTTTCCAAACAAAATGTAGTATTTAGCAGGATTTAATTCTACATTGTACTGAAACTGCCATAGACATAATGTAAATATTAGCATTATTTGCCTATTTGATTGATTTTCCCACTTTTCTTTACAAGAATCACAGAGGTACTACATTTTCTAAATCACAATGCCCTGTCTAGTCCCTAATTCAAGCATGGAATATCTAAAGAAGCATAAGAGTCAAGTTCCTAGAATGCAGGTTTTTATTTCACATTTATCAGCCTACGAGTATAGTATTCATCACCTAGGTATCCATCCATCAGTCAGTCAACATTAGAAGTGCAAATTAAAACTGCCATTCTTCTCAGGTCATTTGTACTTGTCTTTATTGAACCCTAGGTTGGTGGATGGGCAGCTGGGCGTCCCACTTCATCTTATTCACATGTTTCAAGCTGTTTCAACCATTGCCAAATTGATTTCAAATGTTTCTTTACATGAACATCTCAAACTGAGTGGTTTTACAGCATTCTGGCTAATTGTTAAGGTGACCATTTGGGATTTTTTTTATCTTGTTTGTAATGTCTTGTCTACACATTTGACAATTTCAAATTTTTCATTTTTTTTCTTTGTAAAGATCTCGACCTGGTTAGATTTTGGGCATTCTGGGTAAATATTAAGGTGGCCACTTTAGATTTTCCTTCCTAAAACCATGTCTGTAACGTCTTCATTGCCTACATGTTTCAAGCCGAACCATTTAATGGATTGATCTGAAATATTTTTAGGGATGTTTATTGGTATGAAAGTCTAGAAATGATTATATTGGGGGAATTCTGGGTAAATGTTAAGGCACTAAAATACAAAATTATTTTTCCAAATGAAAGATTATAAACTGAAATTAAACCTTACAATTACAAACAAGCATTTTAAATAATGGATACCCTTTATTCACATCTTCTTATTTACAAATGTACATCTGTTTACAATATTTACAAAATGACTTTCAAATATATTATTTGCTCAATTCAGACAATTGTTTTATTTTGATTTTATATTTATCACATAAAGGAAAAATAAACAATAACAAGAAGTGATTTTATCTCTTGTTATAACTTGTATCTCCATTTTTGATAATTGGATAACTTTTTTATTCCATGTAGAATTGCATCAAGTCTGGTGGTAGAAACCCCTGTGTATTTCCCAACTTTGTTAGAAAGTCTGGGGGCAATTTATGGTTTGAGGCAAAACTACATTCAACAAATATAGAGAACATCCATTTATATATACTTAAGTAAGAACAAAACTTCAAAATAATGTCATGGGAACAGTATTAAGTTAACTGAAGCTATTCACATGCAGACATAGAAACCACATTGTGAAGTACATCAGCCTGCATCTAAGAACATTTGTATCTTTTTAAGATAAGTTTGTAGAAATGGTACATAACAGTGTATATGTATATAGCATCGTACAGGGAAAGTATCATAACTTCAAGCTCAATGATTAATGATCAAATCATGAATATTAAGCATAGCCAATTAGCCCCAGTTACAATCATGAGTACACTGTACAATAACTTGTCCATCAACCTCACAAATATAAATAATATACTAATGTAGTAGGCAAGCCAGAGGCAAGATGGGACCGTAGTAAGACCATTCAGTCTCTTTTTAGAATGACTCATCTTGCCTAAGGTTCCCTTATACCATATACTAATGGTAATAATTTACCATATATACAGATAATGAGAGTACAGGGTGTGACATAAACACTGATTTATTGAAAAAGGTTCAGTGACATGAATATCATGTCCTTTGAATATCTTCAACTTCAAAGATGGTTATGATTGAAGTGACCTGAATCCTTGTAAATCAAAAAGCATTCAATAATTGATAATCTCAGAAGCTGTGGTGAAATAATATAACTGATACATTATTCGACTTTTTCAAATTTTTATAGCACACCCTGTAGATTCCCATCAAAATATCGACTTTATTTGAGGTAGATGCCAACTGCACATCATCCAAATCCAAATTAATGGTTTACACTAAAAGACCCATTTCCACAACCTACATACTAGTATATCAAATGAACAACAACTTTAACTGACTCGCTAATGATAAATATTCTCAGATTATATCTAAAACCACTATTTCCTACATTAATTATAATGTGGTATCAGTAATAAGCTACAACTAAAACATATTTTTAGGTTGAGATTTTATTAAAGGGGTATGTCACCAGAAGAATTTGTAGAGTTCAGAATTCTTAAGTCGATCGTTGTTTATGTTTTACTATGAGTTTTTTCTATAGTAACAATATTAGATTTAGAGATTTTTTATTGCTATGAAAGTCCCGTTAATATGCTACAGTTTGGTACTAATGAGGTATACAGAAGCTAATTATGCAAAAGAAAGTGCTTATGCAAAATTCAAAAAGATTGCTCTTTAAATGTCTTCAGTAAACTTTTATTTCTATCCCATTTTGTTTGTTAAGATTTAAACATAACGTATTACTCAATGAATTCTTCATTTAGACCTTGATTGGAATAAGAATTAATTTTTGAATTTATAACTCAAAATTAGATCTTATTCTATCAAGAAATATCATTTTGATGTTATGCGTTATCTCAATACTGCAAAATCATCATGTTTTTTAAAAAATATTCTTATTAGACACCCTACGACAGTGGACTAGAAAATATGAGGAGAAATTCTATAATGTTCAATATGTTTTTCCTCAGACATTCTCTTTATATCAAAACTTATTTCTTCTTAAATGTCATAGTATTTTTTCCTTCCACCTATCAGTTATAGGGTGTCCTAAACTGCACATTTCCCTTTATTACCCTGCATATCAATAGAATGTCACATCACCATGCTTCTCTAGAAACCCTTGCTGTACCCCTAACCTACATTTCCCCAACATTGTGATGTTATGTAACAAAGAACCCTCTTGGTAAGATGATCAGTAGGGGTGCAACTTAAGGACTTCACAGTATTTCACTCGAGAGCAGCAGGCGACTTTGACCAATACAAACCAAAATCTGCCTGTTTCACATTGCTTTTTGCCTGCTGTTATGGGGTTTTCACCACAGTTATGTCCAATACCAGTGAAAGGGTCTCTTCATATAATGGGAGCCTTTTTGAAGCTCACCCCTCCCCATTGCTCTTTTGAGTGTTTTTGAAGCTCACCCCTCCCTATTGCCCTTTTGAGTGTTTTTGAAGCTCATCCCTCCCTATTGCCCTTTTGAGTGTTTTTGAAGCTTATCCTTGCCTATTCCCACTTCCAAGCATAGTGGTGATGGCATTTTACTGACAGGCAAGTCTGTGTATTCAGTATATATCCTGTCTATATATATCCTATGCATAAATTTGTTTAACTGCATTTCTATTGGAATTCAGCACATAAAGATTAAGGAAAAATTACTTAAAATCTCTATGAGGCATCTGAGATCATATCTCTTTTACTCCTAAGTTCTACTATTTATCTCGGTTCAATTATCGATGACAGTATTCTATGACATTGCCCATTGTAACTCGATATATGATTTGTAACATGTTTCTTTAAAATATACATTGTAACTTGACAATATGTAGAGATTCACGTTAAAGTTCTACATGTTTGATAACACACAGTAAAATCTTACACATTGTTGTTACCAAGGTAACTCATACATGTGATGTTAATAAACATTTAACTTAAACATTAAGATGACATATAAATGTACAGATGGTATAGTAGTAATACATACATTGTACAACATTATGTGACCCTCAATAAAATGCTCATGTTGGAACATAGAGCTCATGCTGAAACATTGAGCTTATGTTGAAACATTGAGCTTATGTTGAAACATTGAGCTCATGCTGAAACATTGAGCTACCTAGTTACAGAGATACCAAATGGGCCATATAGTTACCATGGTAATAATGCTAACTATGCATTAAAAGCTGCCATTCAGAGTTCGTAGATTATCATTGAGCATTCATAGGACTTTATCGGAGCTCAGTCATATCACGTTTTTGGGAGTCTATCCAACAATGGGAACGAATCCCTTATGTTTCCATAAACCCTCATTTGGGATGCGAGTCCCATTTTTATGTTCAACATAATCAGTTTACACTTTGAACTGAGCTAGTATTCAATTCTGGCTTGTGAATCTGACTTCATGTTTAACATATTAAAATGAGAGTTTATTCACATTTTTAGCTGTGAATCACATTTATGTTTCACATTTCTGTTCACATATTGGTGTGATGCGTGGTATTGCTGTGTGGGTGAATAATGTGCCAGCTCAGTCTGTATGTTCTTTACGAGCACTACAAGTTGGACTGTCATCCACATAATCATACTGAAAAAGAGAAATATGTAAGCATATAGGGAAGCCAAATGTCTTTCATTTTTTACAGAAAGTAGAATCATAAATTACATTGAATAAGATATATATAGTTATTGTGAAATGTTACATTACATGATGTTCACATTTTATAATAACAAGGAAAATTCTGAAATATAGAACTATTCAAGGGACACTCGATGCCCTATCAACCATATGGGTAAAACCTACCATCATCTATATTTGTTGACCTCCCTTTAAGAACCCACTTCATTTTTCAAGTTTCATATGATAAAAAGTGAACACTCAAAACGTCAAGATTCCAATTTACTGCAAGATAATCAGAACACTCTAATGTAAACACTTTTAGGCAGTCCTAGCAGTAGATAGGTTATGGAGAGGATTAACTGTCTCAGTGTCACTTACTATTGCGAGTTGCCGGCCTATATTGCCCATTGTGATACCACCAGAGAAGAATATACAGGGAAGCCATGACCTCACATAGAGGAAATCAGGGGAGGTATATCTGCAATGAAATCACATGGGATTGATAAATACAGGAACTCAAATAATATTTGTGTATTTCATTTATAGATGATTCTAATTACGACCAAGTGCCACTTTCCTTTTGCTTAGGAATATTTAATTGAGTTTTCCTTATTAAGTTGAGATGATTTGTTTCAAATTCAAATTGCTTGACACAAATACAGTGGCACTACTTTATGATATAAAAATTCAAAACTATTTAAAGCAATTTACCTGTATACGCCTTGGTAGACGAGTAGTTGAGTAATAAAGGTTGCTAGAACAGCTATACTGACACCTAGGCCAAAGCCACTTCGAGATCTATCAAACAGCCACCAAAGTGCTATAGACATACCAGCTAGAGAGAGCGATAGCTGGAGATTGTTTGCAAAGTCAATTTTCTGTGATTTGGTCAAGGATTATAACAATTTATATCATTAGTTTCTGAAGCAAAATATCCCACCCCAGTGCTAGGGGATTAAGCTCCTAATAGAAGGAAGGAGTCTGGTCCCAGAAATCTCCTTGAGGGTTTTTGTGGTGTACAGAATCATATAACATTTTTCAAATGAAGACATTACCATTTCATTGTAAACAAAGAAGTAGTGTTTAACTAGAAATGTTGTCTAGATGTTCACAATATGGTTTGAGGTTCTTGGTAAAACAACAAGATTCTACAGAACCTTTTTAATGAATTTCATTTGATTTATTAGTTAAATTCTCTGAGTATAAAGGATACAGCACTAGCATGGTTGATGCCTACGAATACTGCAACACAGCGCATCACGCTGGACCACTCCCTCTTGTACCTATGGGGCTCTCCAAGCTTATGGTCCAGGCATGGGTAGAGAAGGCCTATGATAGCTGAAAGTACAGGGATGAGCATCATGTAAATGAAAGTAAATGGACAGAAAAAATAACACAAATATAAATGAACATAAAAATTAATGTTTAAAACAACAAAATGAAGTTTGGTAGTCTCAAGGTTTTTTCCATCAAAACATCAAACCAAGAAACAATGGCAGGGTCTTCACATTTGAGATTGTTTGGTGTTTGTATTAGTAATAACAGTTAGGTATTGTATTTCCATCACCAGTTAAATTGAACCTATCACGAGATATTCAGGTAACCGGTCATTTAAGTTCATCGCCTCTCAACTGCTTTATCTTGTACAGAACAAAGAACATTAGCCAAAGTTAATATTATTTTGTAGCTTATTTTAAATATATGCAGACTTAATAAATTCACCTCATATCTCAACCATGTGTATAGCCAAATTTAAAGAGATGAAAATTTGAGTTTAAGGCAATCTTATAAGGTAATACTGTATTATCATTAACTGAAATAAATCTGAATGAATGTCTTTCTGTAAACTGAGGCAATGGTCCATCTCATTCATACCTAGCTGAGACCACGACCTCGTAAATAACAACACTTTTGTAATAGTCTAAACAATTCATTTTTTGAAAACTGATTGCAAGATTGTTGATCAAAGGTTCACTGCACTTTGTTTCAATGTAGACCATATCTCAAGTTACATTTTCAAAGTATGTATTACAAATGTCATTGCAACATTATGTATTACTGATATAAACAATGACCTGACTTAACATGACACTACATCCTATTTAATAATAAATGATATGACGCCACTACAACATCACACCACACAATATGATCTGTTTTCTGTATACTCTCAAACAAATAAATTAATAATGTCTACCATGGGCTTTCAACTAGACAACTTCCTTAAATAAACCGTTTTTATGTATTCTTGTGTTTTTCCAGGTGCTACTCATTTCACTCATTTTCTCTACATATAATTTAAAGTAATTGGCATCGTCCGCACATATTTGATTACAAGCCTCAAATTCATGACATGTATGTAAGTTTAATATCTTTTTTTGCTAATTCAGCTTTTTGGATCTAAATGTCTGTAAAAACTGACCATTAAGTCTACAGTGACCATAAATTCTACAATGAACATAAAGTATACAATGATCATGAAGTCCACCATGACTATAGAGTCTATAATGACCATAAAGTCTATAATGACCATAAAGTTCACAATGACCATAAAGTCAATTATGGCTTTTTGGAGAGAGTGACTGCCCTAAACAATGTCATATTCTAAATCATGTAAATAGTGGCCTGATCCGTGGCCAATGAAGCTAGGCCACAAATAGGATATACCCTGGATCACACCATCATGATCAGCCTCAGGATGAACCATGAGGTGATCAAACACCACGTGATTTCAAACCACAATTCAATCATAAATTCATAATTACCAGCACATGAAATCTCTCCCTCTTACACTTATTGGATTTTCTCTTTAAAATATCACCTATAATTTTCTGGTGGTTTTATATGATTTAAAGCATGGAGTCGTAAAATTCATAATCAGTTCCTTGTTTAATTCAATCTTTTCCTCTCATTTCAATGTTTTAAACATGGTCATTTTGATGCTTTATTTCCAGGCATTAGCATACTAATCAACTATGTTCAGTATCCAGGGTATGAAATCTTTTCTAGATCTAGATCATTATTGATTAGACACAACATGGATGTAATTGTACTATTCAAGGTCATGTTTAGGGATAAATGTAATTAAAAAAATATCATTTTGATACTACTTGACATGAATCTAGAATGCATTCTCACTTACCAGTTTGATTTTTACTGTTTCAATGGGCTTTTTGGGTTCGATATTTTTGTATAATGGCATCATTTGATAGAATATTTTGAAAGCATTAACATTCATTATGATTCAATATTTTGATTTCATAACATTCATCAAAATTTCATTCATTGTGATTCAATATTTTGATTTCATAACATTCATCAAAAGTTTATTAAATAACTCCACCATTTGATAAGATTTTACCTTTTATCTTTTGGAACATATATATTTGAGATAATAAAGATAGGTTGGTGGGTCAATTGAACATGTTGCCTCTTATAGTATATAGTATATTTTGTTTATTTACATTATTTGTTTATTAATTGCCTCTTATATCTCTGACCCAGATTATGGAGATGATTGATTCAAAAAAGGAATTCACTAATTTTTTATTTTAAGATTTACCCGAGAGCATCATTTAAAAAATATAAAACAAAAATATTAATTAAAGTACAGATGTTAAACGAGGCATTAACATGCAAAATATCACCACCTGCCATTTATTACAGATGCCTACCAATGAATACGAAGTAATTGCCGAACACAGTCCACAAAAGAGTTTGAGACTATAACAAAATGTCACCACTTATCTGGTATAAAGATCCAAAACTAACAAAAGACAACTGACAATGAGGCACATGAAGTTCAACTAACTTATTAGATTATAAAAGAACCATCTGATGTTGTGGACTAAATCATCCAAGAATCATACGACACTGAATCAGTTCATTGCCAAATTCTTGAGATAAGATAGAAATGTTGTTATATAACTGAATAACAAGAGAATTAAGAATGTATGTACTTTTAATATCAACTACTCGAATGTGCACCAATATTACATACAAAATACGACAAAAATGATAAGAATTGTAACTTTGAAGTATAATTATATAATAATTAGGACATATTTTGTGATTAAAGTGTTATTGGTCAAAGTTTAAAACAGATAAATTATTTGTTTATTTCTGATGAATCATTAGGAACTTTAAGGACATTTGTACCTATATAAGGTGTATGAGGTGCATCTACTGGTTATTTATGAATGGACAACAATATTGAATGGAGGGGTCTGTCGCATATATTCCTTCATGCAACAGAGTAATGACAGTGATCACTAATGAGAAACCTTATGCCTTTAAAACTTGCACCAAAAATAACAAGGCACGGACATGCTAATGTCACTACCTGCCATTTGTTACAGACACCCACCACCAAACAAACATCATTTAGAAAGTCCTTCTGGTGGTGACATAAAAATTAGATGGGGTTGAGGCAAAAATGAAAGACAGCACATTCATGTAAGCATCATTTGAGAAAGTATCTATTAATTTAGTTATATATTAGAGCAGTTTTGAGATTCCCATGATTCTTACGCCTGTTTTAGTATGATAGGTGGAACTGTGAGGCACATAAAAAAGGTCGAAAGAGTGTCAGAACTGGAATAAAAGGTAAAGATTAAGCTTAGAATTTTCAATAGAATTTCAAATTTGAACGTCATGTCTGAATCACATTTCTTGATTTTTATAACTTGTCGCAGAACTGCCGAGAGTTATGAACACAGGTCTACGTGATACTGGTTTTGAAATTTGATGCTACTTGCAGAACAACTCTCTAAATAATCTTTGAAATATGATTTAACCTCATAAAAGGTTAAATTTTCTATCTTTGAAATATGATTTAACCTCATAAAAGGTTAAATTCTTTTTTTCAATAAAACTTTTGTACAAACAAGATTTCATTTTATTATATCACCTTGGGCTTTGTAGAATATCACTTGTGAAAGATGCACAGGTATTCAGAATTACATACATGTATTTGTAATTATAATGATTGCCAAATTCAATATATTTTATTCATCGTCTTTAGGTTTGTGACCATATAATATATCTTTGTCATGTACTTTTAATCTAATTTCTTTTTTAATTTTCTAATTTTCTTTTTTAATTTTGCTTTTTCACAATCAAAATGACTTGTTTCAATGAATAAATTTTATTGCAATACAAACATTTCGTGTGTCAGCCAATTTCATTTTAAAATTGAAATATTTGTTATTTTGGCTCTAGAAATTCTTTAATTGCTAACATAAAATGTGATTGAATCTCTTCTTAAATAATTAGTCTATCAAGTGAAGCAGGTGTTTCAAAACTACTTTAAGCTAGTAGAATTGCCCAAGAGTGCTAGCATGTTAGATGTTAGGCTTATGGGTGTTGTAACCATGAGATTAGGTGCTCCTTGTGAGTCTTGTGATTAGTCATTTTATTAAAGCACTATGTGCTTTTTATGTGTTACATTTTCTAAAGTGATTACTCTTTCTTTCGAACTCTAGCAATATTTGTTTTTTGGAGCAGATATTACTGATTTTAAGCTATTAAAATCCGTATCTTTGATTGTTCAGTTATATTTTTTTTATAACACATTCTTCTGTAAAAATTGGTCAAAATATGTGATAAATGCATGATAAGAATTTCCCCTTTCAAAGTATCTTTCTCCTATAGATAGTCTGCTTATCATAATATCTATTTTCAAAATATCCATTTCTATTACCTTAAAATACTCAGATGCGAGTTGCCAGTTTAGGGGGAAATAACATGGCAGCCTTGGCAGGGTATAACAAAGTTCCCTTAAACTTGAATATTCATCGGTTTTAGTAGTTCAGTTTCCAATAGTACCCTTATGTATCTGATAGTTGTACAAATTAAAACATGTCCAGTAAAAGAAAATAGTATCTGCCCAACACAAGAAAAGATATTTCACTTTTTGTGATTTTACAACATGGGGTCTATGGGGAATCTCCCCAATCTAGAAGTCACATTTATAAAGAAAATTTTCAAAGTTGATGAACTGTTTTCAAAACCACATTTCAAGATGTAACTTTACATGTAGATTCCAAATATGACATCAGTTTGACTGAATTTTGAATCTTTAATGACTTTAATCAAGATTATTTCTACTCGCATCTAGTCTATTGAGGAATTTTAGGACCTTCCTCGTGACAACAACAAAGGACAAATATTTATGAATCCAAAATCCCTACAGGCCTACAATAATTTCATATCTTATAAACTTTGGACATACACTAAAGATTCGTCAAAATATGGACATTGATCTTTTACAATTTGTTTATTTGTCTGTCCTGAATAAACACCATGTATTTTACGTTCCTAGTTCATAATCATTATTATATTGGCTCCTACTTTATATTGAACCTCATTTACATTATAATAACTTTCATCTGGGGACCGAGAGGGGATGGTCAAGCTAGAGTACCTAATAATCCCCTTTTATTTTTCTAAATTCTCATTTAGCCTATCTAACTTAGGTATTTATTTACATCAATCTGGATTATTTGTTCATACTGCCAAACATCTAAAATTCAATTAAAATGAATCCTAAAATGTTCTCTGAGAAAATGAGTCCGCAAGTTTCAATTTTATCTTTTCCCATGTGAAGTCCCAGACATATTACAACTAGGAACCAATCATTCATTACACAACAGATAAAGAAAGATTCAATATGAACAAGAAGGGACTGAGCAGATCGATTTTACCTGATATGGTAAAAAATTAAGGCGAAGCTCTCTTTTAAGAAGTGAACTCAAAGGAATGCAAGGTTAACTGACTTAGCTGTGGTGCCTGATTTGTTTATCATGTTGTATTTCATGAGAAGTATATATAATGCACTAATAGATGAGAGTAAAACTAGCATGTAAAAGTGTGTAGGGCAAATGAGTTCAAACTTACTAATAAATATGTAAGTACAGTGCCATAAGGGAGTTAAGTGACCTTTTATCTGATGATAGGTGGTTATGGAAAATGAAAAATAAAAGTATTCTAAATGAACCACACATCATGGTCATATTTCTAAGGTGAGATTAGAAAACTATGAAAAAACAAGATCATAACATTTTATTTTATAAAAAATAGATCATCGAGGCAATATACTACAAAACCAAAGTACAATAATTGTTGTCTCAGAGTTCAGAAATGAGAATTTAATTCAATACTGTAAAATTTGATAAGATTTTCTAAGCTTGATTCTAAGTGTTTCTATTATTTCATGATAAATGGAGTTTGCAGGCAACATAAAAAAGATAGATATATTTTAATCTTTTGTTGAATAAAAAAAAACGTTACTAACCTGCAGCAGTTCCACAAGAGGGCGCCACCCACCATGCTGATTTAATGCTGTCAAAGAATTCCCGGGGAAAGTGTATGAAATTTCGCTGAATTTGAAGTAGATTAAGCACCAGACAAAAGAACACTCCCAAAGAGAACAACAACCCAGCCCTCAGGATAAGATTTGTTACAGTCAATGTCATGGTTTGTTACTATGTAGGCTTTTTATATTGCACGATACATCAAGCGTTCTGAAAAATAAAAGAAAGTTACATATTATATTTAGTTACTGAATTCCAAAAATAGATTATATTATCAACTACATACTTTTTTTACAGATAAGGGTTTTATATTATCTAGCACAATAAGGATTGTGTCATTCAATAAAACCATGTATAACAAAGGCCACAATCCAAAGTGGATAATAAATGACAAATTTGAATCATAAATAAGAAGAGCGCTCGATACCCTTTATATTCATGTACTTCTGTCTAAAATATAAGAGATTTCAATAAATAAATTGTTTCCAACAATAAACCAAGATTTAATGATAAACAATTTGTTTAAAATAAAACATGCATTTGTTATAAATGGTCACGATCATACTTTGCTCTGAATGCATGCTATGTACGCATTCGCAAGTACTTAGGGGTGTGCTGACTTCAAGGTCGAACACCAGACATTTATCTAAAATAAGTCTTAGGATGTGATACATCTTGACATTTCATATTTATTATTTGATAAATGATATATAGTAACGTTCAATATTTCCCATATAGTATAAAATCATGCACAGTGTCTTTGGTATTTCTGGAAATACATTTTCCAAAAATATTTTTATATATCCAGGACATGAATATAATGGGGATTCTCCTAAAATTCAAACAACCATTTTTAAGGAATTCTGAGCGATAAGAATAACAAAATATTGCTTCTGGGATGAGATTGAACGACTTTAACATATTCTTTACTCAACCTATTTTGTAATTTAACAATCAACACCAGTATACATACCATATTTAAGCAGATATCGGACAAATTAATAAATATATTGTTTTGATCCATAAAATCATTGATTATAAAACTGAAAGTGTGCTTTCTGACGTTGGCATGGAAATATTTCAAATTTTTCCATGGATTCAATTTTAAATGCTTCAAATGATCTTCAAATGCTTACTATGATTTCTATTTCTAATGTTTTGACTTCCCCGATACATAAAAAGAACATTATCACCATTTGCTCGACTCGAAAATTGTCATGAACAACTTTCAATCCTCAGTCTAAATATGGCTTTTCAAGGTTCAATAGACCACTTTGAATGGGCATAGTTCAAAAATAGAATCATCAGAGAAGGTTTTAAACCATGAAATCGACTCTGAAGCCAGAAGAAATTTTTCCGTCCTCCGTCAAACTAAGGTGACGTATGTTATTACTTCATGGAGCTACTTCGACCATGGGGTTATAATTCACATTTCCTAATGAGTAATCTTGGATTAGATCTAACATCTCACCCCATGATGAAGCATAGAGCCCATGGATGAAGTAACCCCACAGGCAAACTTTGACGTAAAACCACAATCTGTATTCATCATCAAGTTATAGGCCTATTATAGACCCACCTATTTTCCAATTTAAAGTGACGCATCTTCTGAATTATTCTTTGAGCCTATGATCCTACTCTGGTCTTATCGTATCCTACCGACCACTTTAGACTGTGGTCGTACGCCCATATTATTAGTAAGCCTGTCTTTCTACAATGTCGGAGAATGAACTACGCATTGCACTACTAAATGACCTACCTCGATACATTCCAGAGTATTTTAGAATTATTTTTATGTTGTTAGATCGCCAATTGTATGGGTTTATCGGCAGAACGAAGATATTTTCGTTTTTGATAGCAATATTTGTGTGTAATATTTAACTTATTTCAACCGTTGAATTCCTCCATTCAGTTCCCGGCATGCACCAGTCATAAGGGAAATCCCTGGGGAATTCCCCTTCCGACATTTTGAAAATTGCTGATATATTTCCGATGTAAAAACTAAAATCTCTTCGTTCTGCCGATAAACCCATACAATTGGCAATCTAACAACATAAAAAGAATTCTAAAATACTCTGGAATGTATCGAGGTAGGTAATTTAGTGCAATGCGTAGTTCATTCTCCGACATTGTAGAAAGACAGGCTTACTAATAATACGGGCGTACGACCACAATCTAAAGGGGTCGTAGGATGCGATAACTCTGGTCAACATCTGTGTGTGAACCCCTAGACTGTATCCTTCGTCTGAATAAATATTCAGACTGTAAGTCACCTATTGTAAAATGTGGTGTTGTATAAATGTTACAAATAAGTTTGTTTAATGATAAAATGATTACCTTATAAAGAACTCACAATATTATTTTTTCGTATATTGTCCTCTTACTGAAGATATTCATAAAATGTACAGACGCTTCTTGTAGCGAAGCCATTGATTAGGTCAAGCCATTTTGGCAATGCCAATTCTCACGATAAACGAGATTTAGCCAGTGACGTCAGTCTATTTGTAAACAAATAACACGTGGAGCGGGAGCAACATTACGGAAGCGTATTGCTAAATTCCATTTGTGCGGGAATTTATTAGATCTAGTCATTTATTATCATTATCCCGATTAATTTTCTTCTTTTATAGTAAATAGAGCGGAAATATTCATGAAGAAGGCCGAGGTAATCAAGTGGTCATGTGTTGTCAAAGTTCAAAATTTGCATATCTCGTTTGGATCTCGTGAACTCAAACGTCCTTGACATTGATAGCGCGATGTACTTATGAACACATCCTGAAGTTTCGGTGAGTCTGAACATTTCATTATTTTATATCAACTTGTACCCGCCTTATACAAATATGTTTGCTTCTAGTTTAAGATGAACATCTCTTCAACATATTCACCAATTTTCAAGGTGAACATTCTTATAATAAACGAGAAATTAATGTGCAAAAAATATCACCGCGATTTCCATAGGAAATATATCAATCATAACAGACCGAATATTATATTCGGTCTGTTGGATACATACTAGAGTCAATACGTCCAAATCCAAACAGGGGGGTAAACACGAACGGGTTCCAAATAATGGCAAGCAGATCATTGAATTGAATAATAGTACCTCTACTACCTCTACATAATATTTATAGCCTGAAAGATACAATATAATGATGTATACCAACAATCTTACAATAAAATAATCAATAATGATGATTTAGGTGTTCGGAATTACCCCCATGCTAGTGTTTGGAATTACCCCCACAAACTCTGTGCGTTTAAATAAATAGATGTCAGTAATAAATTATTTAAATTTGGGTTTCTTGTAGGGCTGCCATCGAACTCAAATGTCAGTGTCGACAGTCGAACTCTGCTGTCGAAAATATTGTCGACAATCGAACTTTCCAGGGAGAAAAAATCATCGGGAAAAAAAGAAAAATTATTTATGTTGACATTTTTATCTGGTTCATTAACACACTTTATACACTATCGGGGAAAAGCTTCATATAACTTATATTCATATTGGTATGTAATTGCCTAATATTGTTACTAAATGCCAAGTTAATAGAATATTATAGACGAAAATGGGACAAATACCTGCAATGTTTCGACCGGGATTTATTTCGACTGCTCGGGCGAAATCTCGTACAACGTCTCGCAAGAGAGAAGAGAAGTCATGAAGGGAACTTCCGGGTGAATTTATTTTTTGAAAATGAAATGAATGTGAACAATATTTCCGCAGAATACGCGCACATAACACGTTGAAATGTGTATTGAAATGTATTGGGGCCATTTGGATATTTTCAAGTAAGTATTGATATCGTTTGCTGTCGACATGACGGGAATTTTGTCGACTTCGTTGTCGAACTTGCATTTTGACTGACAAGTCGACGTTCCGACTAATGATGGCAGCCCTAGTTTCTTGATATGCAGGGGTGACAGGATCCAGTATCATAAGTTAAAGGTATCATATAATGATATACCATCAATCTAATAATTAAAACAATTAAGTTTAAGTTAAGTGTTTGGAATTACCCCCATGCAAGTGTTCGGATTTACCCCCCAAAAAAACTCCTGTTCGGAATTACCCCCCTAAAATACCTTGTAGTAAAAATGGAATAACCCAGATATTTTTTACAATTTTTCGTAATTTTTTCTGCAAATGCATTCTACAGTGGATTATACACATAATATATATAGAATCATAGCATAGATGTGCAGTACAGCCAAGCTAACTACATTTTTTGATGGGGGTGTTTGGAAATAGACGTACTGACTCTATGTGAACCCCTCTGGAATGCCCCCTTGGCAAATCCTGGCCGGGCCTGATCAAATGTTCGACTGTAAGGCTATTTCCCGTTTGTGAAGCTTGATTTTATCCTAACTTTCATAAACCAGGTACGAATTTTCATATAAAATTCAAAATATTTAGGCCGGGAAATAATTTTAGGAAAAAATCATAAAAAAATGAAAAAGTCAAATGAAAAATAACCCATTCTTCAGGCAATTTACGAAATCAATCAGTAATTTAGATCAAATTGAATCATAAGTCATATTATACAATAATGAATTTACTCACCTGATAAAAGCGATGGCACTATCTGTACTAAAAGAAGGAAAGTGACCTAAAACAGAACAAAATACACAGCTCTTCCGTTTACAGACTCTCGGGTGATCATTCGACTCGGATGACGGATAGTTGGCCAATGAGAGAACAATAAATTAGTCACGTGGCAAAATATGAGCTCTATCATAAAGGTCATAGGTCAAAAGTTGTCACGTGCTTTTGAAACGTCCTTCAACTTTAACCTTGGTAAAAATGGCAACTGGGAGTGTATTTGCAGGAAGGGGCCGTTCTGGTTCCAAATATATGGCTGTATATGACGAAGAGGGTCATGAAAGAGAGGTAATGTATATCTGTATTCATGCAAGTACATTTTGAAATCATTTCATCATCAGATTCCTATGAATATGCCAGTAATGACAAGTAAAAATTTTGCAAGCCCATTTTTTTGATTTTTGAAAAATTTCTGCTGATTCAAGAAGTTCTTCACTGCACTGAAGATTATTTTTTTATGATCTAGATCTAAATCCTTTATATCATGCACGGGAAGTAAGTCATCACCCTCATAAATACTCTACAGTATACAGGTATAGACTCTATTTAAAAAAACTCTTTGGGGTTTAGTTTTAGAGCTTTGATCATTTGTCGGAATCGTCGATGTCACTTCGACATAGGACATTTGCGTCATAAATCGACATGAACATACCTTTATATCCCCAGATACTTTTTTCACTCTTGTTGAGCTGAATATGACCCCTGAATTAAAATAAAATGTCTGTCATTTTATATTCTCATTTCTAGAACTTTTCGCGCATGTGCTAAAATTGAAGTGCTTCATTTTTTTGTTTACCCCCAGCTTCCCTGGGTACATACCCACAAGTAAAGAGGATTGCTCCTCTAGCATTTTCTTGAATACAGCAAAGAGCATGTTGCATGTCATTATTGAATCATTCATGACATCTAGGAGTAAGACATCATTTGTATTGATTATCTAGACAAGTATAGGATAGTTCTGAGTTTAGAAGAGCATTTTTATGATTTTGATGAGCCAGTTTCTGTTTTAAGGTTGAGACGAGAGAAGATGAGGAACAGAATGTTAAGCTTACTGAGACTATTGAACTGCTACTGGCTGCAGGATACTTTAGGGCGAGGATAAAGGGACTTTCTCCCTTTGATAAGGTATGCACAGAAAAACAAGTCAGAACTTGATATGTTTTTTAAGATTTGTTATTCATGGCTAAGCATTACTTCAGATCTAGGTAAGCAGCTGAAGGAATATTATCTAAATGATTATTTTTTACTATAACTCACCCAAAATCAGTTGATTCATTTAAATACAAAATGCAACTGATTTGGTAATGCCACCTCATTTTGAATTTCCTTGGAAGCAAAAGTAATTTTTTGTATTTCATGGGTGAAAAAAGGAATTTGAAAAAATGGATAATTTGTTGTTGATGATTTATCAGTTTCTTGAGTAGCCTTAGCTCATAAATCTTCATCGCCTTTGCAAATTGTTATATCAAAATCTTTCACAGGTGCTATAATCTGGTGAAATGTGGATAAGTTATCTAAACCTTTGATTAATTGTTGAATTTATTGTTTGGATTTTTGTTATTCTCTTCAGGTTGTGGGTGGCATGACATGGTGTATCACAACATGTAACTTTGATCTTGATGTGGACCTGCTATTCCAGGAGAACTCTACCATTGGACAGAAAATGTAAATGCAAAGCTGTAGCTTAGTGCCGATGTTTATATTCAGATCTATATGATGTTTCTTTCTTATATGCAGGATTATGTATCTCATTTTTTTTGTTTTTTGGTAGATACTGCTATCATGTGTAGTTTGTACTTGGTTCTGTAAAAATTGTATAGATAGATCTAGTTAAAAGTTCATCGATAGGTTTCTCTGAAAAGTTTTCATTGCAATATGGCCTTACAGAACATTGAATAAAATATTTTTTCTGATACCCATATAGTTATTTGCTCTAAGCAAAGTCATCTTTTTCCAGTGCCCTCACTGAGAAGATTGTTGCTGTTCTTCCAAAGATGAAGTGTCCTCACAGGATAGAGCCTCATCAGATCCAGGGTCTTGATTTCATTCACATCTTTCCAGTTGTACAGGTAGGTTATCTTTGAACAGTCAACCAATGAATCCCTTTGTTATGAACTAATCATCCTTTGTATGAGTATCACATTGAATGTTACATATTTTACTTATTCATTCTCATTAATTGAAAAAATAGAGTGAAAACAGGCTATTTCTGTAACAGTATCATGACAAATTTAACCCTATTACATATTTTATTGTATTATTTTTTTTTTCATGTTATCAATTTATTTCTAATAATAACATGGATAAACACAATCTGCTGATTGCTAAAGTTTTACAACATTAGGGGCAATTTAATTATTAAATTTAATTTTATTGTAGTGGTTGGTTAAACGTGCCATAGAGACAAAGGAAGAGATGGGTGATTATATAAGAGCATTCTCTGTGTCACAGTTCAACAAGTTTCATAGCACACCTGAAGATGATGCATTTAATGCTTTAAAAGATACAGCGATGGTTTCTGTTAAGGAAGTCAAGGTGATGGCTTATTATGTATTATTTACAATTTAATATTTTGAATAATGCCATGATAAAAACATGTAAATGTGGCACTTGGAGTGTCTGCAATTATTTGCATGATTCAGTTCAATCGGGCGCTTCCAAATTGGATATAGCAGGGGGGAAGAAGGAGGTATAAATACTGAACACCTGCTTAGGAGGATGTTCAATATTTTTAGACTAGTTATGGACATTTTGTATTCACAAGTCAAATATTAAAATTGTAAATTTGAAAGTTGGAAGAACTAGTTCTTCTGGTACATGGACTAATGCGCCATCTTTTATATAGCTGTTCTAGTTTATTTGGTTAAATTCATGTTTGTATTCTATACTCCAGGATGTATACAAGCCACAGCGGAAATATAAACGTCATGACATGCACAAAATCAAGGATGAAGCAACCAGAGTACAGACCACTCTCTTAGAGTATGGAAGGTTAGGCCTATTTTAAAACTACACTCAATCTGTGGATTATCTTTGATGAGATTTTCAGATTTAAACCAAATTGTTAAGAAATGCTGATTTTCAGCTTGATTAGCTTTTTTATGGGGGGGGACACCATACATGAAAAAATGGATGATGTGTCCAACTTTTTTGATGTTTGTGATAATTAGATTGTCTATTAGCTCATCACTCTATTCTATGATTTGTCTTGGGTATAATTTATTTTGAGACACCCTTTAAAATATGAAAGACATCACTAATTCTGATATGAGTGCATCGCTAAATTATTGTAGGGTAATGCAATTGCAAAATTTCTTATTTTTAACCGAAATCTATTCTGATTGCGTTTTTATGGAGCATTTTGTCAGCATGTGCTTACAAGCATTCTATTTATTACTCACCTGTTCCTAACTGATCCATCAATATTAATCAAAATTTTGTACGATATGTTTTTATAGAAAATATGGTACAGCAAAAGAAACAAAAAGTGACAGGGAGGATGATGTAGCAGCCAAGAAAAAGGCTGTTGCTGCTGGTCTGGGGGAGGAAGAAAAGACACAAGAAGAGCTAGAGGCAGAAGAAGAGGTACATTAACTCGCAATTTGCACACCATTGAATCCAAGTCATGTTTCCCATACATTTCATTTTCAGTCTCATTTTGGTTCAAAGGAATTTCAATATAAATGTTAACGCAATTTTTTTTTAATGCAGCTTTTCTACGAATATTTCATTTATAGTAATAACGAAACAAGTAATTTACGATACAAATTGGAAATGAATAATAACAATGAATAAGATTGTGTTTGATTTTAGCGACGAATCAATGCTTTGATGAGCGGAATGTCTGCAACTGGAGACCATGAGGTACAATTTTCCATTTATTTTCGTTAAATTCAATAGAGATCAATACAAATAACTTTAAAACATGTTTCGCACATAACATATGCACATGTATTGTCTTGAACTTAATGTTATATATTTTGGATATTGTGTCGGTATTTCTCTCTGTGATCAAGTAATGTCCATTTAAACGACAGTGGATCTTTAAACAATGTACATTGTATTAATATATTTTCAAATTTCATTCTTAAAGGGACGTTTGAAGGTGAGGTACTATACTAGAACTGGGTGTGGCTCTTTGTTTTTTGTTTTCAACTTCACATATTTTCTGTATGCTTTTGATTGACCATGTGGATGCCATAGGCCAGGGTGAATAAATATGATGTTAGACTGACATTTTAGTTTTTATGAATTGATATGGAAATGAAGCTTTGTTTTATATTCATGTTCACGGACTTGAGTCAACGTTTCTTTCGAAACTTACTGCCATATAATTTTACCAGGATTGGAAACAAGCAGCCAGCGCTTTGGCAGAAGGTTACTTGATCACTTCTTTATAATCAGGCATCGTTGGTCAACTCTTGGAAAACCTGTGCTTGTGATTGATCACATCTTGCTATTTGATTGGTCATTGTATAGACTGATTTACAAAAACTCTGACTGGATCTTACCAGTCAACAAGAAACAGTCAACTGAGGCTAATAGATTCAATTACAGTTATAATTTTGAGTAATAGGATACTATAGGACTCTTGTTAATATAGCTGTGCAAGTTCAAGTCACCAAGATGAGCTAAATAAGGCGAGAATAGGGAAATAAAAAAGGTAACTTTTTTCATGGGATTCCTGTTTCCAATCCTGGTAAAATTATATGGCAGTACTTTTGAAAGAAACATTGACTCAAGTCCTTGAACATGCACTTGTTTTGCATGACAACATTGGGGTGAGTGAATCAATGTTTCCTTTTTATTTCTTTATTTTTTTTGTTTTAATGGTTTTATCCATTCATCTTAAACAGAAGTATTCAATGGCTAATTGTTAAACATGTATTTATTTATCCTGGCCTTAATGCAATACATAATTGTAAGGTTTCATCTTAGAAATAGAGGAGATAATGTTCGTTTTAGACTGCTTCCTTTAACTGATCTTGAAATGCTTCTTATCTTGCTTCATATCATTTGACTACATGAGCTAGTTTAATAGTGCTCAGATGTGGGGTGTAGAGATATATGTTATTATATAGTTTTTAGTGTGTTTGGTTTTTAGAAGCTTGTAATACAAGATATCTGCTGTACTCCCAGTTAATTTTGCGAGTTTTAATTTCGCGAATTTTGAGAAAACACGATATTGCGGCTATTAAATTTCGCAAATTTCACTAAGTACACCTAATACTATGTCTTCTTGGTCAACGACACGCTGCACCTTAACCTCTATTAAATCGTAATTTTTTGGTTTATTTGATCTAATAACAGACATTGTTAGTTAGTATCCCATTTATCTACTAAAAACACTTGACAAACATTTTACATAACACAAAATGCAATGGAGTCTCAGGTAATGAAAAATTTCACAAATCCCGGGGATTTAATTGACATTTTGCGTAGATTAATTTTCGTGATTTTACCACATTCTCAAAAAGTGCGAAACTTAATCGCACACAAAAAATACTGGGAGTACAGTATGTTAAGTTCGCTCATGCTTTTTAAACTAACACTGGCAATTTAGATTCTGGATGGCACATATGGAAATAGTTTTGAAAGGAAGAACACAGACAAAGTCCTGCATCAAATGTTGGTTATTTTATTTTTGTTTATAGTTGGAACAGAACTCTAAGATAGCAATTTGGAGAGCTAATCACTTTTTGAACTAAAACAAATAAAATATGTCGTGAAAGATGAATTGTAAAACAATCAATAAATATGATGATGATATGGTGATAAAATTTAACACTGAATGGCAAAAACTAATTAAATCAGGAAGTGAAATACTTGATAACATTTCATTAACCTGTTAAACTCATTACCCAGAATACTGTAGTTGTATAATAATATGTTACTTGTGCAGCAGTGTTGACCAGTACACAGATCACTGCCTGGAACCTTCATTCTTTAATGTTATCATGATTTTAACTTATAACTTATCTTTTTGCTTATAGGGTAGACTAACAGCAAGTGCAGTAGGGTCCTTAGTTGGTATGCAGTCAGCGGAGATTCAACAAATGGCCACTGAATATGCCGAAAAGGTAACTTTTTGTTTTCGTTAAAACTTAATGTGAACAAATATAGATTTATTTTATGTGTGTGTATATGCACTATCATGTCCAGCTTTGTGTCTATTATCCAAGTGAATTGAATACATTGATTCAAATTAAACTTAAGTTAGCTTGAACTTTGCGCTAGTTTGGATAAGTGTCCGAGTTAACTTTAACATTCGTTTCATATAGCTCCCAAGTGTTAAAAACCAATTGGGATGTTTTTGTCAGCTAGCACAGATAACCAATAGCTATATATTAAAATGTATGAAATATATTAAAATGTATAAAATTGCAAACTTTGATATCAACACAAGTCACAAATGAGTTAAACTATTTTACACTGTGTCTGAGAGTGTTATAACTTGAGATTTGTTCCTTATGAGTTCTAAATCTCTTAAATTGAATTACTTGAGGTTGCTGTTTGTTTCATAAAAATGAAAACATTTAAAATGATTGAGTATGTGTTGAAGAATTGAGCAGAATCTGTAACTGTAAAACAGATTTTGAGTTTAGTATTGACAGAAATGGTTAAAAATTTCCACTTTGTCTACATATTGCCACTCAAGGATTAGGGAGCAAAAGTTCTTGAAAATTGCTTTGATTTTCAATGAATTCCAGTTTTCAATACACTGTTTTACTATAAGTCTTTCGTCACATATGCAAATTACTTTTATAATGTAACTGAACATAATACAGCAAATATGCTAACAAAAAGACATGTTTATTGAGACAAACAAACAAAATTACAATAAAATAAACAAAATGGAGGTGCTCGGTTGATTGTTTAATGGCTTGGGTAGGCAGGGGCATGGTAGGCAGGGGCAGCATGTGGGGCAGAGTAGCTTGCAGTGTCACAGACCTTGGCGTAGTCGTTGAAAGCTGTTCCCTTGGGGCATTTGACGTGGAGGGGCTTGCAGCAGATACAGGCCTTTCTGGTCTTGCTGTAGGTGTCATATTTGAAGTCACATCCACACTGGATGAAACCATATGGGTTGTAGTTGTCCTTGAAGAGTCCACTGGGGTTGCCGTAGCATTTGCCGTCACATGGGTCTGGAGAAGAAACAAAACACAATACGTTCTGTCCAGTATGATTTGCCCATGTCAATGGAAGATAATTGTAAAAACTCTTTTAATTACAACATCTAAAAGAAGTGCTTTAATGCCTTTGATCTTTTATTGTTACATCATTTGGTTTCCATAGAAACAACAGAGACACTTACTGTAGCTGTGGGATCGGTATGAGGGTTTGTAGTCACAGAGTCCGTGGCTTCCAATCTGTCCCTTGTTGCAGAGATCTCCCTTGCAGAAATACCACTGGGCTCCGTTAACGTACTGGCAGTTGCTGTAAGGGTTGACACCAAGGGGAAGGTTCTCTTTGTTGGCACAACCTCTGTACACAACTGAAAGTAATCAAATCCTCCATTAATACATCATTTTTCAGTTATTTATTATAGTGTGTTGGAAATTTATATTAGATCATATCTAATGTGAAATAGTACGTATGTTTTCCATGGTTTGTGATATTTTGAATAATTGTTTCAACAGATTGATGCCTTGTGTGAACGTTTTCATTAACAGGTGTTCTGTATGATATAACCACTTAAAGAAAACTTTGCCCAATATTGATTATGGTGTTGTAGCATATGGTAACTTTTGGCAACTTTTTTTATTCAAAAATTACTAACTTCCGTTCTTGTCTCTACGGATGAAACATGTTCCTGAGCTGCATGACCATTTGTCAAGGCTGTCAGCGTCGTTGTAGTTTGATAGGGCACATCCTTCATAGCCAGCTGTGGTGGATCGCTTCCAGTAGTCAGCCTGGTGACTGTAGCCTGATGGGGCATAGTTGCAATCAAAGCATCGGGCTGGAAAATAAATTGTTGAAATTTACTGCATTTGTCTCATTTGCTAGCTCATAACATGTTTTTAGATTCCTATGTGTTTTGGTTTTTCATACGTGTGCCTTTATGGTTGTGGGTACTGCTAAATGTATAAGATCTATAGAGCTTCAAGTTCGATCTATAGAGCTTCAAGTTCGATCTATAGAGCTTCAAGTTCAATCTATAGAGCTTCAAGTTTGATCTATAGAGCTGCAAGTTTGATCTATAGAGCTTCAAGTTCGATCTATAGAGCTTCAAGTTCATCCCACAGGAAAGTATTAACTTAGCTTTAATTACCTGATTGTTAGATACTATTAACAATTCCAAATGTAAAAATTTAGAAAAAATAAGTTGATTTCATTGTACTAATGACAGTGGCTAATACAATATAATCAAGTTTTTGAATTTGAAGATGTTTGATGGGAGTTCATGTTGCTGAATTGTACCATTTTCATAAAATGATCAATGTGTAAAATAAGTGCAATCCTCAAATGAGTGAATTAGAATTAGTAGAAAAACAGCATGCAATATTTATGATGCAACTAGATTTAAGTTACTTTCTCATATGATGTGTTGCTTAGAAACAAATAAATAAATTGAAATGGAATGGAATAATAAATAAATAGAAGCAAATAGATGAAATTGAAATGGAATAATAAATAAATAGAAGCAAGTAGGTGAAATTGAAAGAAATAATAAATAAATAGAATCAAATAGATGAAATTGAAATGAAATAATAAATATGAACAACTAGGTAGACAACAAAAGAAATTAATGACATAAAAATAAATGATTGATTGAATCCAAATAAATCTATGAATGTACTTACATCCGTATCCCTCAGCAAGTACAGCAGTAAGGCAAGCAGCCAAGATAAGTGCGCTCAGCATCTTTGGTTGTGTTGATGATCGGTGAACAATGATTTCCTAACATCAAGACCCTCCTTATATACACATCTCCAAAACACATGGACCCATTTGTTACATAACAGCATGAAGTATATGAAGTTCTGAACGTATGATACATGTGTCAGCTTGGGTTAAGATATTAGAAAAATGGTCACAAATGGAATGATGATGTACAGTGACCTAGGTCCAAGGTTATAGGCCTATAATACATGTCATTAAAGTCACATTCTCAGCAAAACATGATATTGTATAAAAATAGATTCTATTGTTTCACAAACAATTATGAAATTCATCAATGATAGGCATGCACAGTCTGATACTATAACAAAATCATAATAAAAAGTTATAATGAAAATATCATTAATTTTGTGGTCTATCCAGGGGGAGATATACTAGGTATTTAAAATGTACTTAAAAGTACCTAAGTACTATCTACAGTTTCATGGTTTAGCTGTCTTTTACAACTTGGTTTAGGTAGTATGGGAGCATAATAAAAATGTTTGAACAGAAATAGTTGAGGATGTGACAATGACAGTGTCATTCTATGAAAACATGATAATATGTTCTCCAGGGATATCATTAATCAACTTGTCACCTTCATTAATGAGATTTTAATTACTCTTCCTTAATTAATACATCACCTGTTAAAGCAGGTAGAAGATTCATTTAATTAATTAAGATATCTAATTATGTTTTTTTAATTAGTGAATTGATATAATTATGATGTAATAGTTCAGTATTTATATTAAGAGTCTGTATGTTTTGGAATTTATATATTGTTACTTCAGTTGATCATAGGGACTGTTTATTCATATCAGATGTATTACGGTCACCAGCTATATAGAGTCTTTTAACTTTTGGTGCTTTATCCTGGCATCTGGGATATTCAAACAATATATGATTACGAAACAATTTGAATAGAATAACTTGAGTTTTTATGAACCACCAGAAGTTGTGACAACTTTTGTGTGGATGGTATTCGGTGGTTGGAGTTTAGCAGTTGGCGTCTCTAACAAATGGCAAATTTACATTTTGGATGTTGATGCCTTGTTCATGTTTTGCCATCCTGTAGAAATATGGTCAGGTGACCGTCATGGATAAGTTCCATTAATATCCAATACTCCATGTTTTCAACCAGCTGCTATCAAAGGGAGTAACTTTTGTAAATATTATAATTAATGGTCCTCCTTGGAAAGTGACAGCCTTATGTTACATGTACATAAACAACATATTGCGATGACAATGTGCTACCCTTCCTTAACACATCCAACTGATCATAGTTTTCCAGGGCTTTTTACTCAATTTCTCTGTGTTAGTTGAATAAAGTATATAATTTTCTGATTTGTACAGCTATGGAGATCAGGCATCACACTTATGTATTCCTGTGGTACTTTCTCATCATTGAACTTTTGTAATTTTAGTACTTTGTGTTTTTTGTTCACTGTAATGACATGCTAGATTAGTCTCTCACATTTACATCCTCTCAAAGGAATTCTTCAAAGGAGTGTGCCTCTTGAATAAATGACAATTTCACAATGACCATCTATGGAATATCTCCACCATGTAGACCAAAAATCTCAAGTGCATATGTTTCTTCTCATCTCTTATTGCGGTAGCTGGGTGTTGAAAAGTTCAAATTAAAAACAAGACAAGGTCAAAATGCAATAAAAAGGGTGTGTCTGATTTGTGTAGGGTTACTCTATTTCTGCCATGACCACTTTTTCCTACCTTCTCTCCTAATATTCTTATACAAAATTGGTCTCTCCAGTTCCGAAGTAACTGAGCATAGCTCCAAATGAAACAAAACTGAAAAATCCAGTTGAAAATTGACACCCCATTGTTGCATGAACTTGCCGATTGTAATCATGGTAATTTTGCTAATGTGAGGGACAACATACATGTGCATATCCATTACATTCACATGTGAGTTACGCAATATGCCAAATTAATAACACCACAAATGAACTCACAATTAGGATTGTCCTAAATAGTACCCTTTAACGTAGTCAACATAATGTGTGACTTGCTCTTCATCATATTTTTTAGTCTTGGTTAATAAAAGGGAAATTTCACTAAAATGAAATTTGAACGCTTCACATCCCACATTGTACATTATCATTCTCATATCAATGTTATGTTCCAGCAAGCCAAGATGGACCAGGTTGACAGATCAGAGAGGGTTGGGGGCAAACAGCAGCATCAGAGAATGGTAGCCGCCCTACAGAAACAAATAGAGCAGAAACAGACACAATTAGATGAGGTAATAACACTACAACCAGAATTGTTGAATATCTTACTGAATAATCAATTGGTTTGCATAAATCCTACATGAATTTTTTATCCATGTAAAGAATTTTTTAAATTTACAAAATATAGAGTCTTGGGGTATTTTCTAGGTGCGAGCAAAACATGCTAGTTTACACAGCACATATGTAGAAACACAAGAGAAGCTTAAAGAAGCCCAGGGTTACAGTCAGAAGATTGACGAGGAGATGGACAAGCTTGGTGACCTAGAGACTGAGGAGAATAAAGGGTAAACCAAAGACCAATTCAGAATTTTAATGAATTATAAGTTTCCATGTACTTCTAACTTATGTTGAAATATTTGTTCATCTCTGTTATGTAGTTTGAAGTTCTATTTGTAAAATAAAATATCTAGTGAAGATTGCAGTACGATGAATATAAATGTATGAAAAGAAATTTGAGCCTGATGTGTCTCATAAAATATTATCAAATGAAGAATTATTCTTGTGCAATTTTGTAAATTAGGAAAGAAAAAATCATTAAAGATAACTTTGTATAGGTGTACAGAAAATATTTTCTGAAAAATCAAGTGCATTAATTAAATGTTATTGATTGTTAGAAATTTGTTTTAATGGTTGTTTCAGAGTTTTACAAAGTCTAAGAGATCTTGTGGCTTTGAATGAGAACTTGAAGAAACAAGAGAAGGAATTTAAAGAACATTGCAAGGTATATTGAAGACATACCCATCATTATTGGACAATTGATATTTTAAATGGTGGTCTTAGACATAGTGTAATTTGTATATTTTTCACTCTCCTTGTATTAGATGGCCGATGTTGGGGAATTCATCCTTTATAATTATCTGCCACATTGTCCAGGTGGTAAAACTCTGAATCCACATCAATTGCAAACCTCTATTGACCTCTTAAAGTATACTGGCATTTCATAATTTAACAAAGATGAAGTAGAACAAATTTACTGATATGTATAGAGGAATATGTCCAGGTCAGAAACATGATTTGTGAAACGAGTCCTGAAGAGGAATGTTTGATCATGTTAAGATGATCATGTGATCAACAAAAGATGATTTACTGTAGACACTAATACAGAAAATATGTTGTGAAGAACATTGATTCATATTGGTAAAAATATGTGTACTGCAAAAAATAATTTAAGAAAATATCTGTGAACACGTTTCTGTGTTAAAGGAAGAAATGTCAAGACTACAGGGCAAGATTGAAAAGTTAAAGCTGAATGCTGGGGAAGATGAGTCCGAGGATCAAGAAAGGAGCAAACTCATTGATAGACAATACCAGGCTGATAAAGAAAAACTACATAAAATTAGACTTTTACTGGTAATTATCATTGTACATAAATGTAAATGTACCCTCGCTTTAAATTCTTGTTAACCCCCCATTCCTGCATGCTCCACCCCCCCCCCCCGCCACACAGAGTTGGAGTCCATAATGAAGACTGCTGCACAGACTTGATGCAAGACTTATATATATATATATACATTGTATATAATTAGCACAAATGTTTCTTCAGAGATTGCCAGAAAATATGAATGAATCGATAAAAGCACAATATCTTTGCGTTCAAGGTTCAAATCTACAATATTTTATACATTCGGAGAAATCATTGTAAAAAGAAAACTTAATTTTACATGGATGAGACCCTTTAAAATGATTTAATGTTTTCTTTGTTTTGTTATTAGGCAAGGAAAAACAGGGAAATAGCTGGTCTGCAGAGGAAGATTGATGAGGTTCCTTCTAGAGCAGAACTATCTCAATATCAAAAAAGATTTATAGAACTATATAATCAAGGTAAGTGACGAACATGAATAAATTGTATGTAGGTTATGTGTACAGGTTTAATATAATGTACAGAATTGATATAATGTACAGGTTTGATGTACGGGTTTAATGTACATGATTAATGTACATGTTTAATGTACAGGTTTCTGAACAGCTTGTGCAATTTGCAACATTATCTACTATGGCCATGGAGTGAAACATGTCATTTCATGGAGAATTGGATGGCTCACACTCTTTTATCATTCCTGTAGTACTTGTATAGTATGCACCCATTGCACTCTCTGGTTATCCCATTGAACAGAGTTCGGAGGGATAAAGGGAACGCCTCTGTCTGTCCGTACATATGTATGTACGTACGTGGCTACTGAGCAACCATTTTGAAAATGGTGGCCTTTCCTATGTATGTTATTTTACGATATTTGCTATACATTTACTCTCTATTTAGCATTTTAAGGCAGATATTTTGGGTTTGCAAACTTATTAAGTTGGCAAAATGTCTCAAAGCACATGCACAAACAGGTTATGTTGAATTATTGATATGGAAATATATCTTCCTTGGTCATGCACAGAGCCAAGGGTGTTCTGGAAGTTCATTTGAGCCACACCCCACTTCCAAAAAGTGGTAAATACAAATAAAAGTGAAAATAGCAAAAAGTATAAAAATAATTTTATTTTACTGTTACAGTGGCAGGGAAACATAAAGAAACAAAGCAGTTCTACACGCTCTACAACACACTGGATGATTCCAAGTTATACCTAAATAAAGAGGTATGTATTAAGTTTATTTATGAAGTTCTTATATAATTTTTGAATTCACTTCTGTTCCCCAATTTTCCACTCTCTAATCCAATTTTATTTTCCTAACAATTTCATTTAAGTTACTCCTTAATAAATAAAAAATAGTGGAACTTCAAATTTCACAAAAATAGTGAAAATATTCCAAAAATATCTTCCAAAACTAGTGAAAGCATTTTGATAAAGTAATTTATTCTGGTGCAAAAGAGAATTGAAAAATGACAAATGACCCCCCATCGTGAAACTTTAAGCCTCTCAATTCCCTATACTAAGCCTATATATTAATAGTCATAATTTGTATGTTTTAGGTCAACCTGCTGAATTCCATCCATGACAACTTTGCACAGTAAGTAAAATTGTTCTGGTTTGAGATCCTACCTAAATGGTCAGCACACTTGTATGTATTTTTCAAAAAAAGTTCTGGCAATTTCATTTTAAAATATCTTGATTTCATGATTTTTGATTTTTCACTGGGTGTAAGGTGCTCTCAAATTTTCACTGAGTTGGTCCAAAGCTTTGGAGATAACAGCATTAAGACATATGCCTGTTGATTTATCTTAACTGCAACGTTAATATCTTTGTTCTTTTTATCATATGAAGAAGCAATGTTGATGACAATATATTGTATTCCAGAGCAATGTCTTCCCAAGCCAATAAGGAGCAGTTCCTCAAACAAATGGAGAATATTGTGGATGGAGTTAAACAAAACAGACTTAAGGTGAGCTACTTTCACATTTATCATACACATGCATGTGTCATAGTTAAACTGAATTCTTAATATCAGATTTTAGTCTTACTTTGTAACCTTGTGAACCACTTTCCCAGTCGCATTACATGATATAACGTACAGGTTTGAAAAAACGTAGTTAGAGACGGAGGGGGCAGAGAATTAACATCAGACTACACAGATAAATTAAGTGAGATTCTGGATATTCTGTTTACTATTGCTAATGTTTTACCATTTTCATCCACTTCGTACTTTTCCCTTATTTCCTGTTCCAATTCTCTTTCTGTATAAATTAAGATACATGTATTTCTCTCTATGTTTAGGTTGAGAAAAAGCGTCAATTGGAAAAGTCACGACGAGATGAACTCAATGATGAATATTTAGATTTGGTAGAGAAACAACGACTTTACTTCAAAACTGTTAAAGATTTCAAAGAGGTATGAGTACTTAAAGGGGCAACAGAGACTAGAAACACTTGAGAGAATCTTTCTAAAAAATAGTCCCAATTTCCCTTTTTTCTGACAACATTCCATGATGTCATGCCTGTTTTTTAAAATGTTGAACAGTTCTGACTTTATTTCATGACAATCCTTTGATTTTTAGGGTTATTTGGTAATCATTTTGAACAAAGGACATCATGTTATTCAATTCTAATAAACATTAATATGTCCTTTCTTTGATTTGATTTTGACATTTTGTTGGACATACAGTACAAGTGCATTTTCTGGATTTTCAACTTTGAAAATTGACATCAAAATGTTTAATATTAATATACTGTATTGTCAGTGAAATTTATCTGACAGATAGATTCATGAAGTTTTTAGATGTAAATAATGTATACAATTCACTTCTTCACCATCCATTCAAAGTCCTCAAAGACATGAAATCATACAAAATAAAGAATTAACAAATTGATATTTTATGTCAGGCTGTTGGATGTATATTTAGAATTGAATTGCCTCCCCTTTGGATTAGTATTACCTAGTTATAGTCAGGGTGTTTGACTGAGTGGTCCGCAACTCGTACAAAAGGCTGTGGTATGTACTTGTATGTCTATGTATAAGTGCACATAAAAGAACACAGGGCTCCTTCAAGGAGGGGTTTCCGGGTCTATCTTCCATGTTAATTATTATGTAAATTACGACTGTATATATACGGGACATACCTAAGAGGTATTGCTCACCTTCATTGGTGGTAAACAAAATACAATACAATACAATACAATATAGACACTGCAGTATGAAGCATAAGAACAAGTATTTATTGAACATCACAATATTTTACTCAAATTAACATCTTTGTTTTTGGTTCTTTCAGGAATGCAGAAAGAATGAGATCCTGTTGTCCAAAGTGAAACCATAGTATATCTTACATAGACAATATTAAATGGTGATACCAATGTTCTACATGAACTCAGTACAAAATACATTAACATACACATGTACACTGTACAAGGTTGTACACATAATGTGGACTGTTCCTAGACTGCAACAAATGGATTGAATGTTTAAAAAATGCAAATGTATGCAATGATAATGGATTGCTCTAACTAGAGCAGAACAGGGATCATACTATATGCCAAATGCCTCAAAATTATAATGCAAGCCCTATAATGTCTCTCATTCGAACTATGGAATAAACAGGTGGTCTGGTGATGGATTAAGTTTGAACCTCATACCCGTTACCCGATATAGCAAGTAGAAATAATTATCATTACAAATAATACAATTAATGAATATTACCAATTGGAAATGTGTTTTGCTCTGAAGGCACACATCTAACTAAAGTTAATAAAATGTCATGATTATGGATGATGTATTACAGAGTGGGTTTGTATAAACAAATTAGAAATATATATAGCCCCCCCCCCCCTATAGGGCTGCAGTGTGGTTCTTACCTGCTCGACAGTAGGCCCATGGGGCTACTGTAAATATTAAGAGTCTAGTGTAAAATTGAAGTGCCTTGCCACATTGTCGAAAATGAAAAACATGAAATTCACCATTGTTGAATATTAGAGAAAAAAGTACTTTCATAAACATATTACCTTCATTTTAACGATTTTTATTCACAAGAAAGCTATGAGTGTACATATAATTTATCAACAGTGGCAACACTGTGGCGAGTGTAATTTGATTGCCACTAGTACTTGGCAAGTGACCAAAAATCCTAAGACCCACACTGGGATGTAAAATTCAACTATACACTTCCAATTTGTGCAGTTTGGACAATGGAATTTAATATTTCACTTGTGCCATATGTTCCACCTCATTTGTCAATGAAATTCCATTGAAATCAAGTGTCATTTTCGCACTGGATCAGCATTGAAATGACGCCAAAGTTATTGTTGATTATTGCAAGTGAAGTAGACCACCCTGTAAATCTTTTTTTTTATGTGTAAATCTTCACAGTGAACTCGCCAAATTATAGATACAATGCACATTCCTATAAACAAAAAATTAATCCTCAAAGCCTTTATAGTTTATTTCCTATCAATTGATACCATGGTATATGAAAGGAATTACTCAGTACATATGTGCAGTATTAGTTACATTGTAGAACTCAAAATTGATGAATTATGTTCAAATATATTTATTTATATAAACACAAATAAGTTGTCATGTTTATTTGTGAAGCCTTCCTAGGTTAGTCTTGCTTAAAAGACCCTGTACTCCCCCCCTTTATCCTTCTCTCTTTATTCTTCTCTCTGTATATTGCCAGGTAAAGAGAGTGAAGGTGACGGGGGGGGGAGTGAATACAGTCTTTGAGCAAGACTATTCCTAGGTCAAAACCTCAAGCAGTGGTAGCCATTTTACTATTTCAGGATCAACAGGTGAATTTATAGTCATACTTTCTTGTTTAGTATTTGATGAAGTAAAGGGTTATAGTCTATTACTAGTATTTATTAAGCAGGGAATCAAAAAGGCTTTGACTGTAGGAAAGGAAAACTCACAACTGTAAATGTCGACACTTTATACCATCAAACACCAAATTCAGGAGCTCAAAGAAATGCCAAACTTCATTCCATATTAAAATAAAATAGAAGATTTGATGTATGAGTTTAAACCTGATATACATTCAAGTTTAAGTCAACTACACTTTGTTTGGAGACTATCAGAGGTTATCAGAAATTTAAGCCTTGAAGTGCATATGCTAGTCTTGCCCAAGTCGGTATTTTTTACTTATCTGATCTTGAATAGAAATCAGATAGTAAGAGACCGACTTGGGCAAGGCTATGCATATGCATGTTCATATTCATTTGATAACATATGGTTTACATAATGTAAATGGATAATGAGCAACATACCAAAAACAAAACAAGCCCCTATGATTTGAATTATATTAGATCAAATAAGTAAAATAGACTACAAAATTCATAAAATAGTTGAAGGCAAAATTTCTTATCAAATGAGTAATTTATATGCCCCAATAAAGGTACAGAACCAATACCCTGTGACGTGTTTTACAACAATTAATTGTATAGCATTAATATGAAGGCACTCTTTATGAGCATTTGTAGATTTAATTCAAAAGATACTTGAATGTGAATTATGTACGCATTTAGTATGTTTGCATCATAAAACATACTGTATACATTTTAAGTGTACTTTACGATGTTGAAAAAGTTGCCTACTTGCCCATCTAGCTGCACAGTGGAAAGGTAATACTATTTTCTTATTCCCCAAAGAGTAAATATTATGCAATGATTGTGATGACTGAATTGACGATGAAAAGATATCATAGTTGTTGTTTCACTTCAATATGAAAATGATTGGAGTTTCTTGAATGGGCGTTGCAAAAAACAACCTCACTATGTAACTCTCATGCTCTTTGACTTAAAAGCCTCAAAAGCATCAATGCTGGATTAAATTTAAAGTTTCAATTTAAATTTTTACATTGTTTGGTTTCTAAGCAATTGGTAAAATCCCATTTCAGAGACAATGTAGATTTATATACTCTGCACTGGCGGATGCAGAACCTAAACAATTTTGGGCCCCATAAACCAAAAATTGGGCCCAAATCTTTCTGGGGCCCTAAACAATTTTTCTAGGCCCACAAGGGGGGGGGGACGCCACCACCCATCCATTTGGTACCGCCAGTGCTCTGTGTAAAACTGAAAGATGTTGGATTTGTTAATAAGTTGTTAGTTTTATCTGATCCCGGGAATACTTTTCCAATTGGTTCGTTCAGTGTTAGTTGAAAATGGAACTCTAAATGCTCCTTCAAACTTTTAAAATGAAAATTTTTGTTCCTTCAAAACTCATTTAAGATGAAATGGTGACTTGAATAACCATCAAGTTATGGCTGCTGAAAGTTCAATAAAGGTTATACAGGTATGATAAAAATCGTTGTAATATTTGTGTTTTGAGATGCATAAATCTGACTCTTAATAATATTTTCTCTATTATCGCCCATGTTTTAGTTCTGAGCATCGAATATATTGGTTATTTGGTTTTCTGTATAAAAAAGCCTTTTCTCCTTTTCTGTCCCGTCGCAGCGCCATCTAGTGTTTGATAAATGAATCAATGTTTATTCTCGATAGGGTAAGTACTAATATATCAGGAAACATTTACAAGTTTGGTTAGAAACAGAATTTTTAGAGATGGCGGAGTGATTTTTGAGACTATGTAGAGCAGAATAATTTTCTGAAACAGGTAGCTTTACGGTGGTAGCTCTCTCCAGATTCAGTTATCTCAAAAACGGTGTGGTCACCGTATGCTTATTTTGTAACGGCAAGCTAGACAAGACTCCAATGAACACTGGGCACTGTTTCGCTGAGCTAGATCTGTGCCCATGAATATATTATGAAATGAAACGTTATAATGGTCATCAATGGGATTTTTTACTGCAATCTTGACCCTATTAGCAACAGGGTGGTGACAGTACTAGGGTGGGAAATAGCGTTATTTTTGTAAAAATTACACTTTCTTAGCAATGTGTACCTTGCATCTCTTAGAAAAATCAAATCATCCGAAGAATTAGCAATTTAGATTTTCGCTGATTCAGCATTTTTTATTTTTTACCTAAAAATCACAGGTTTTGACCATTTTTGGCCTGTATTTTGTTACAGGATAGCACAAGAGGGCTGTTAGTGCTGGTTTTAAGAGGTTGTTGACAGGCTTTTATCAAATTATTACTGAATTTAAGGATTCGGCCATTATCATAGCATGTAATACAGCCTTTTCCTTTGTGTCTGAATTTTTCTTGAAAATATATGACAAAATTGACACATTTAACCCCATAGACTGACCAAATATGGCTGAAAACAGTTACTATCATGCATGTAATTAAAACAAGAACATTGCTTTGCAAAACTGATATGATAATTTAATATAGAAGCTCATTTACTGAAAATTAATCACTAAATAATGGCTAATTTGGGGTAATCTCTGACCGAAAATGACTAGATTTGACCATTTTTTTGTTTCATGGTTCAGTGATTTTGGCAATAAACATTATGGAAGTACGAATAAACGTTTTGACATGCTAAATATTGTGAATTTTTGTTAAGCCATAGCGAGTAGCAGTATTTCTATTGCAAAAATGGTCAGTTATGTATAAAACTGCATGGCCCTAAAATAAATGACCCCGGGGTTAACAAAGCAGCTATAAAGGCTCTTCTATTGGTGCGATTGGGCTTAAATTGCACAAAAAGTCTTGAAACACTCTAATGTTTAAGAAAAACAAGATTTCTGGCACAAAATCATTCAACCGTGTCACTATTAGAATATAGTCCGGAGTAGGGATACTAGGCTTTGTATAAAAAACCTCCTACCCACGTACCCTCGTACCCACGTACGTGAGTCCTGACCCAGTCTTTAAAGAGTTAAATTTTTAAATGTTTAAAACATTATTCAATCTCAGTTTATCCTGAATTATAGATGAATTTATGCATCCATATGCCTTTATTTATAGGTCTGACATCTCTCTAGTAAAATAAAATAAAGCCGGAATTGCATAAATGTTCATTATTTTTGAGCTATTTGATTTATGTTTTTGATATGTCGAAATGTTTTTTGTTGATCGGGCAGTCTTACCTGTATAACACATCAGTGCTGATTAGCAATCTCCTAGCCTTCGTTCAGTGCAATCCGTGCCTCCTGTTACCTCATGCAGATTGTAAATGTCCCGGGAAGTTTACCCTTGTCCAAAAGTTGACATCTTTTTAAAAATATATTTCTTAGAGTTTCCAACCAATTAAATTCACCACATTTTATTAGATGTTTATTTTAAATGTTATTAGAATTCATTCTTACGAATATTATACGTTATTAACGTATGTTAGTCAAAGATTTGGTGTCGTTGTTGTCCATTGTATTCACGTTTTACGCGCAAAAAGCTAGAAACTACAAAGCTGAACTTTTATCATTCAAACCATTTTTACGTCAAATCATTGTCAAAATAAAACTCTACTCTTCATATTACCTAATCATGGATCAAACGGCCATGAATAATGTCGAAGTTTACAAAACCAAACTTACACTCCCCTGCATAAGTTTGGCAACTCTAACTTTTAATTCCATCTAAATGATTCACTGAACTAGTGCGCACAATTATCCTTAAATTGTGCCAAAAAGCGATTAAAAACGAATATAGCGATCGCGCGAATCCTTCTACTTTTCAAATATTTCGTTATTAGATTATTCATGTTATTTACCTAATTTTGTTGCATTAAGTCTGCCGGACTTGAGCCTAGATTATTGGCCTTTTACATCTACTGCAGACCTAACTCAAATTACATCTAAATTACATATGGACTTACCTTAGGCATGGACCTATATCCTGTTCAATATAACGTATATAAAGGCAATCTAGGAGTATAACAAATTTCCAATGTGAATATTCAGACTTCTTCCGGGAAGTTTAGGCGGCTAATAACTACACGTGCATGACGCGTGAGATTCAAACTCAATAAAACGTGGATCTGCGCATCGATCTTTGTAACGTTATTTAGATTGTCATAGATATAATTACACTTCATTTATACAAAATTCTATATACATTATGGTAAATTAAAAGGTATAGGACTATTAAAAGTATGACTGACAAAAATACTAAATATATGCGCTTGGTCGAATTTGCGCCAAGCAATAGATTGGTTGTACACTGTAAGACTGCCCGATCAACAAAAAATCGCTTCGATATATCAAAAACAACACTCAAATAGCTCAAATGAACATTATGCAATGCCGGCTTTATTTTATGACGAGACAGATGTCCGATCTAGAAATAAAGGCATATGGGTACATAAATTCATCCATAATTAAGCATACATTGAGATAGAATAATGTTTAAAAAATGTTAAAGATTTAACTCTTTAAAGACTGGTACGTGGGTACGAGGGTACGTGGGTAGGAGGTTTTTTATACAAAGCCGGGATACTAGCGGTTACCATTGGTTATTTGGTTTTCTGTATAAAAAAGCCTTTTCTCCTTTTCTGTCCCGTCGCAGCGCCATCTAGTGTTTGATAAATGAATCAATGTTTATTCTCGATAGGGTAAGTACTAATATATCAGGAAACATTTACAAGTTTGGTTAGAAACAGAATTTTTATAGATGGCGGAGTGATTTTTGAGACTATGTAGAGCAGAATAATTTTCTGAAACAGGTAGCTTTACGGTGGTAGCTCTCTCCAGATTCAGTTATCTCAAAAACGGTGTGGTCACCGTATGCTTATTTTGTAACGGCAAGCTAGACAAGACTCCAATGAACACTGGGCACTGTTTCGCTGAGCTAGATCTGTGCCCATGAATATATTATGAAATGAAACGTTATAATGGTCGTCAATGGGATTTTTTACTGCAATCTTGACCCTATTAGCAACAGGGTGGTGACAGTACTAGGGTGGGAAATAGCGTTATTTTTGTAAAAATTACACTTTCTTAGCAATGTGTACCTTGCATCTCTTAGAAAAATCAAATCATCCGAAGAATTAGCAATTTAGATTTTCGCTGATTCAGCATTTTTCATTTTTTACCTAAAAATCACAGGTTTTGACCATTTTTGGCCTGTATTTTGTTACAGGATAGCACAAGAGGGCTGTTAGTGCTGGTTTTAAGAGGTTGTTGACAGGCTTTTATCAAATTATTACCGAATTTAAGGATTCGGCCATTATCATAGCATGTAATACAGCCTTTTCCTTTGTGTCTGAATTTTTCTTGAAAATATATGACAAAATTGACACATTTAACCCCATAGACTGACCAAATATGGCTGAAAACAGTTACTATCATGCATGTAATTAAAACAAGAACATTGCTTTGCAAAACTGATATGATAATTTAATATAGAAGCTCATTTACTGAAAATTAATCACTAAATAATGGCTAATTTGGGGTAATCTCTGACCGAAAATGACTAGATTTGACCATTTTTTTGTTTCATGGTTCAGTGATTTTGGCAATAAACATTATGGAAGTACGAATAAACGTTTTGACATGCTAAATATTGTGAATTTTTGTTAAGCCATAGCGAGTAGCAGTATTTCTATTGCAAAAATGGTCAGTTATGTATAAAACTGCATGGCCCTAAAATAAATGACCCCGGGGTTAACAAAGCAGCTATAAAGGCTCTTCTATTGGTGCGATTGGGCTTAAATTGCACAAAAAGTCTTGAAACACTCTAATGTTTAAGAAAAACAAGATTTCTGGCACAAAATCATTCAACCGTGTCACTATTAGAATATAGTCCGGAGTAGGGATACTAGCGGTTACCGTTGGTTATTTGGTTTTCTGTATAAAAAAGCCTTTTCTCCTTTTCTGTCCCGTCGCAGCGCCATCTAGTGTTTGATAAATGAATCAATGTTTATTCTCGATAGGGTAAGTACTAATATATCAGGAAACATTTACAAGTTTGGTTAGAAACAGAATTTTTATAGATGGCGGAGTGATTTTTGAGACTATGTAGAGCAGAATAATTTTCTGAAACAGGTAGCTTTACGGTGGTAGCTCTCTCCAGATTCAGTTATCTCAAAAACGGTGTGGTCACCGTATGCTTATTTTGTAACGGCAAGCTAGACAAGACTCCAATGAACACTGGGCACTGTTTCGCTGAGCTAGATCTGTGCCCATGAATATATTATGAAATGAAACGTTATAATGGTCGTCAATGGGATTTTTTACTGCAATCTTGACCCATCATCAAACAGCAATACTCTTATTAGGTCAATTAGCTTGGCAGTGGATCGCTTGATTTCTATTGCAGCTTCCACTGGAACTGCATTTTTAACTTGACAGTATTATGGATTTCACCAACATGGCCAATTATTACTTAGTGTGCACAAAGCTATCTCCTGAGAGATACAGTGGGGGACATAGGCTAAGGGTTAAGTAATAGTAAGCTGTATATAGAAGAGACAGGTAAACAATTAGGATTGAAAAAAATTTCAAAAACTTGCCGTCTTGGTACGAGTTCTCCTTACTGGTATCGAGTCGTACCACCAAATCTCCCAAGAATCTTCTCCAAAGTGTTTTCGAAACGTATATTGTTGAATATTTCAAATCTATATCCTAACTCTTCGATAAGACAGCATAAAAAAACACCAACTGTACGAACCTGCAATTGCCCGGCAAGTTGAAACTTCCGGACACATGGAAAGATTGAATCTTGTAACGATTGATTTGATTGGTTGTTATTAGAAGTTTAAAATTCCAAGAAAAATGTTAATTTCACCATTTAAATTGGGTTTAAAAAGATATTTTATGAATCAGATGTTTTGATAAATAATTATTAAGTAAACCTTTTATAGTTTTGTACACTTTAATTGATTGTTATTTCTAGGAAATGAATTACATTTTAGAGAACCAGATAGGTGTCACTGGTGGCAGTTAGCAGGAACCAATCAAATTCCTTGTTTCAAACTTCCATTCAACACGGAAATCCGGTACCCTTTGCATTCGTTTGACTTCACTTCTTAAAAGAGAGCTTCGTCTTCACTCTTTCAAACTAAAATAGACCTGTGAACTCACCGCGCCAATCAGTGTTCGTCGGCCAAATTTGACCGACGTTCTATATATGGTCATTCCTTCTGACGTCATCGTTGAGCCCGGAATTGACCAATGACATGCGCATATTTAATTAGAACGCATTGGCGTATGTTTCTTCAAGCTCGCTGATTGGTGGAAGAAAAGTCAGCGCGTAGGTCAAAAGTGATTGATTACCCAAACTGTCACCGGTACCCGTCGTGGGGGCAGGACTACTAAACTGTAATATGGCCTCTACTAGGCAGAGTGTAGTTTAACTAGACTCTGCATGCAGGGTAGAAATCCGGGTAACTTGCCAGGCAATTGTAGGTTTTCAGAATATCTCGCCTCAAGACGGCTTTATTCACTCTATATCACTTGAATGTGGTTGATTCATAGGTAAGAATTGAGAACTATCAATTTTGGATCAACTCTGCATTGTTTTTTGAAAATTATACACAAATAATGTTAAAATCGCCATGTTAACAAGTGGCCTAAATCCTAGTTGTTCACCTGTCTCTTCTATATACAGCTTACTATTACTTAACCCTTAGCCTATGGTGGGGGACATAAAGAATTTTACAAAAGCTATGGAAATTACATGCTATCGCACATGTAATAAATTCTTACCTCAGTGTATTCAGTGCTCTATTTTCTCCGTCCTAGTAAGTCCAGATATAGTGGAATTTGTGTCCATAATGACAAATAAGAACTTAAAAATTTGAAGTGGAATTCACATGTTAGCATGGGCTTTCAACTGAACTCAATTGAAAGCCCATGATGTTAGTGCCGACTCTTCAAATGTTGAGGTCATTTTGGAGCCCGATTACGCCGCAATGTGGATTGGCTCCCAGAATGCAACATGACACTTGTCAGCTTTCAAAATGCTGTTCTGCCTGGTGTTGCATTCTGGGAGTCAATCCTCCTTGGATCACAAACATGGTGATTCATGAAAACATTAGTTCGATTTGGTAGGGATTTATCCATCATTTGCAGGTATGAAGCTTTGGATTCATTTATTGTGCTACTTAAAGTGAATGGGAATTATTTTTCTACCGCTTGGGAGAGTTTGAGACACGAAACTTAGAATTTAGCTCATTGTGACAACTTTTGAGGGTTGAGATTTATTTTTGTCACCCACTTTAGCTTTGAATATGTTGATATTCCCAGTCCTTTATAAAAGTCTTTTGTAAAAATGTAAGAAATCTTGGAAACATTTACCCTACTTCAATCGATGCATAACATTCTAAAGTATCGTTTTTCTTACCATATCGGGCTATCTGGAGTGGAAGAGGAAATATATTGACGAAAAATGTTGAAGAGTTGATCATTATTTTACAAATAACAAACAATCGAAAAGTAGTAGAGCGATTTTGTTCATATTTGGTATGTGAATACTATATATAAGCATGGCACACTGTCTAATGACACTTTTGGTAGAAGGTGGCCATTTTGAAGAATGGCCGCCATTTTAACGTATTTTACTATAACTCGAAAAGAAGTGGAGCAATTTTGTTCATATTTGGTATGTGAATACTATAAGTATGGCACACTGTCTAATGACAGTACTTTATTATAAATAAACTATTTCAAAGCAAGAAATGGGAGGGAGCATTGCTTAAGGCCAGGGTGCATGTGCAGGTACAGGTAGAAGGCAGCCATTTTGAAAAATGGCCACCATTTTAACGTATTTTGCTATAACTGAAAAAGTAGTGGAGCGATTTTGTTCATATTTGGTATGTGAATACTATAAGCATAGCACACTGTCTGATGACTCTTTTGGTAGAAAGTGGCCATTTTGATAAATGGCTGCCATTTTTGCTATATACTTTGTTTGTAAAAATACTAGCCATGGCTGTTCGATGGGATTTGCTACGCTTTGGCGTTGCTGTTTTCCAGTTCAAATTTGAATCACTCCCCCACAACATCTCACACCTTTGCACAACGAGTGCACTGATGTACCTAAAAAAGAATGTAGAGAAGAATGTTTTGATAAAATGTATAAAAAACGAGAAAATTCAAATTTCTGAAAGTTTTCTGAATTTTCTTGTTTTTTATACATTTTACGGATCAAATCTTCTCACCTGTCTTTTCTCGGCACATAAGTGCACTCTTTGTGCAATACTGGAAGATGTAGACAATGTGAGGAAGGACTGATTCCTGATTGAAAAATAGTATGTGACTCAAGTGAGGAATGCTGCAAAATTCCGAACATGCACCCTGGCCTTAAGCAATGTTGACAGATGTTAAAAAATGCTTGTTTTTGAGAATGTGACACTGTAGATCTTTGTGATTAGAATCAGTAGAGGCATTTGATTGTGGAAACATAAAGCTGATTAAACCTGGTCTCGTATCAAGGAGCAAAGCTAATACAAATGACCAAATGTTCAAATGAAGGGGTATAAAATGAGTTGAAAGTTTTGAAAATATGGCTTCCCGTTGATAACTGTTTTTTGTTTACACATTAACTTGTGGTTGCTCTTGATAAAAGTTGAATATAAAAGCACTGTATTTTCAGGTATACTATGCATAGAAACTGTTGGTATGGCAACAGTAAAGAGAACAATATTCGTGCTTGCAGTATCCATGGCAATAGGGTCTTTATTGGCGCTCATATTTGAGTTTCACTTTACCTATCATCCCCTCCAAGAATATTTAATAAAAGAGAAGCCACATTGGATAACATACGCAAGATGGCTGATCGGAAGAGATATATACCAAATAAGGGAAGATAGTTCTGTCCCACAAATACAGGTAAGGCTTTTTAAATTATATTGTTTTTTACTTTCTCAAATGTTTGTATATTTTGTTTTTTGTGACGACATATATTATGAGAAAATAATCATTTAGAAAATCTTTTAAATGGGGTGTTAATGTAGGCCATAGTTATTGATGAATAATCTTTGAAGACCATCAACAGATGGCATAATTGCATAAATTTATTATTAAGTTATATTGTAAACATTTTAAATGTTATTCTAAAAATCATTTGATACAGAAACTCAAGTGTAAACTGAACATTGCAGGAACTCAGGAGTGACTTGCCATTTTTCATAAATATTTTTTGAAAGTACATGTACATGTATATGTTTGATTTTGTGTCATTTCAGGTTGTGCAAGAGTCAGATTATTTAACATCTGAATTCAAGCTGTTGTGTGTGGTTATGATCCACAAAGAACATCTGATCCACCAGGGACATAACATACAAGCCACGTGGGGCAGACACTGCAATCACATGATATTCCATTCCAATAAGAACTATGACAATCTACCTGTGATCTCAAATTCAGGTGACCCCAAGTCCTGGGAAAACTTTCGAAATGTGATAAATACAATTTCTCAGAGTTATTCTCAATATAAGTGGGTTGTCTTTGTTGATGAAGACACATATCTCATTCCTGAAAATTTGAGATATTATATTTCTGTATTGGAACCCACTATTCCGCACTACTTAGGTCATGTAGTAGAGAGACGTAGTTTGTTTAGTGGTGTATATAATACACTTGATACAGGCTTTGTTGTGAATAAACAGACACTGGATTTACTTCAAAAATGTTTTAAAGATGGCAGCAGTTGTTCATGCCCAGCACCCAGTTCTGGAGGTTGTGACATCAGCCTTGGAAGTTGTCTGAAGGTGAATACAAAACATTATAAATATAGTCTTAGCAAATAAGAATTCTGTGATACTGTGTTAACAGAAGAAAAAAAATCACAAAAAACGTGCCAGATTATCCAGTTTTTCTTTTGTTATGGAAGTACAACGTAAGTGATTTTTTCATGAATAATTCTTACATGATTCTCCTTTTCACGTAGAATTCTAAGTTCATTAATTAGCTAGAGATTTAAATAACCATTCAATAAACTTATTTTTTATGCAGCTTCTTGGAGTTGAACCAAAGGACACCAGGGACCATCTAGGCAGGGCAAGATTTCTCCCTTTTACTCCTGAGGAACATCTCACAGACAGCATACGCTGGACATTTACATCTTGGAAAAACAGCTTCTATCCCGCTAAAAATGTAAGTACATGTATCGACTTAGTAGAGTACTCAATTGTAATCACCATCCTTTTATACGTTTTTTTCCCAAACCCTTGTGTATGGTGGAACACGGCATGGACGATACATGAGGATTTGCCAAAATATCCATGGGTAGAATGCGTGCCTAACAACATTGTAAAAACTTAAGTGTGTTTATGATTTCGGATTCTAAACCAGCTATTTCTCATCTGGTGTTAATATTAGTAGAAGTATCTAAATGAAATATATTTAAAATGTGAAAGAATAGAATAAGTTGCACATGTTTGTCAAGCTGGTCAAGGTCAATGCTTGTTATTTAGAATAGCCCATGGGTCAATGGCAATGAATGAGGGGATCACAAAGATTCTAAAACACTAAAAACTGAATAGCATTATACTGTACTGACCAAAAATTCTTTCAAAATCATCTGGGATGGGATAAAGTACTGATAGTACCACTACCACTAAAGTAACTTAGTCTTGCTCAAAGACTGTATCCACACCCCCCCCCCGTCACTTTCACTCTCTTTACCTGGCAATATACAGAGAGAAGGATAAAGGGGGGGGGGGGGGTACAGGGTCTTTTAAGCAAGACTTAAGTAACTCAAATTGAATACCATTATATCCTAGTAATAGTTGTCAACTATTGTAAAGATGTCAGGCTAAGCTCAACCTTGGAGAAAATAATATAATATATGCTCCTCACTCAACACACGACCTCTTCTAAAGGAAGGAAGAAAAATGTGAAACCAGGAAAGACTAAATTATTATTCACTTTCTGGGCCAAGAAATGGCTGGAATGCCCAGGTCTGTGTTTTTTACCTTTACCATAGGGATAGCACTTGGATTTGCCTTCACATATATCTTCATGATGGCCTCACACTCAGACATTAGCTCACATCAGCGAATGAAAATGGTCTCTGAAAACTCAGTTCCCAATGACCCACACAGTCATGGAGAGTTCGACAACCTAAAAGGGCCTGAGAACATGCAGAATTGGCATGATGATGATGAAGAAAATCATAAAGGTAATTCTTTATTTTTAATTAAATCTTTTATTGAAGAACACTTTCACTTATCCCGTTCCCGGACTATGGTCCTGTGAACATCTCAATCTTTTGCCTGTGCGATTACAACATGGGAGAATTTTTTACTGATCTTACACTTCAGATACCTACTTCAATAGATTCCTTGGTAATTTAGCATTCTTTTCGTGTAGTTGAATCCACAATTGTCTGGGTTTATCGGCAGAACGAAGACATTTTCGTTTTTGATCGCAATATTTGCGTGTAACATTTAACTTATTTCAACCGTCAAATTCCTCCATATTGGTACTTCCGGGCTACATCCGGGACAGCCAAACGGGGGATTCCCCTTTTAAATCCAACCGCCATTTTGAAAAGTGATGGAATCTCTCTCGATGAAAAAGAGAAAATGTTCCCGTTCTGCCGATATACCCAGACAATCGGCGGTTCCAATATATTAGAAGTTACATCTTGAGTTCTATAATGCATTGAGGTAGGTATCTTAAGTGTAAGGGGCGTAGATAATTCTCCCAAGTTGTAATCGTACAGGCAAATGAATGCGATCAGTGCAGGACTATAGTCCGGGAACGGGATAAACTTTCACTCACTTGACATTGATGGTCTCCATCTGCGTGATACTGTAGTTATTCGTGCATTAATATTTTAGGTGCCAAAGTATTCTCCCCTGCATTATAGCAAGTGGGTGCGCGTGCAGCACCTACCTGAGATTTTGATAATAGGCTTGCACCCACCTGAGAATCCATTTGCACCCACTTCAAAATGAGAAAAATCATGAAAAATGGGCATATTTTGACGAATCTTGGTTTGAATTGTGAAATTGAGAATTTTGCACCCACTTGAGAAAAAAACAAAAAAACTGGAATGTCTTACGACCTGAAAATAACATTGTTTCATATTCTAATTTACCGTTTTTGACATTTAGATGGAAAGGCAGGGGCGGATCTGGGAACCAACAAGGGGGTGGGCCAAATTTCAGGTCTGAAAAATTCTGCGCATGCATGGAAAAAATAGTTGAGGCCTATTTTCTTCAAAATTTGGCCTAGAATTAAAAAATAAGGCCTTTGAAAGCCCAGATTCTCCAGTGATAGGGGTGGTTCTTTCATGTTATTTTCAGATTCTCCCTCATACCTGAAAATGTTCTGACTTGTTTTTAAAGAAAATTTACAAAATCTTATTAAATTGATGATATAAATTCCTAATTTTATTTTTATAAGTGAGGGGTTGATGAAAAAAGATATAAGAACATCTTTGTATAAATCTTGTGGCCTCAAGTTATGAGATCTTACGATACATTAACTTTCAATTGAATTGCAATCTTGAATAACTGATTACAGGTGGTTACTTATGAATATCAATAAAATATACTATTGTTTGATTATGATTCAAAAGGCAGAAAAGCATATTTGAGTAATGCCAGCTTAATCATTAAAAACACTTGTTCTAAAAAGCACATGTTCGATACTTAGAATAAATTTGAATAGATAAGCAATTAAAGACGTATACGAGGGGTGATCAATAAGTAATGAACGCTTTTTACACAGACACTTTTAATGGACCATTGCAAGTGCTGGGTATATGTTTAATATAACTGAAATTTTGTTTCTTGGTGATTTATTTTTCACAGCATTTAATTGTTGTTAATTGTTGTATTATGAAGGCTTCAGGAGTTCAGTCTATCATTTTTTGGCTCACACAGCCTATGGGATCGACCAGGCGTCTGTCCGTCCGTCAACATTGGCCACACAAATTAAAACTGCTATTCGGATGGAGTCATATCCACATTCATTTAATGCATATCCATAATGCCTATTTGACCTATCATCGCCATTTCCCAAGTTCGCCTGGTTTCCGAGAAATTGCTGATTTTGACATCAAAAAGTCAAATTTTCTGTAAATACTAGACACTTTGTTAGAGTAGAACTTTCAAATAACTCGCAGTAGTTGCTGTATATGCAACTTATGTCCTCTGAAGATTTCAAAGCTCTTGAAATTACAGTTTTTGCTGTTTACCCTATACAATTTGACAAAAAGTAAGACTCATTTTTAGGCAACTTTCTCATGTATAAAGTCAATCATCATTAGCTGCACAAAACACTGTGTGAGCAGAGGATCATTGGTCCTTTATTTATGTTTAACATGGCAGTTACTTTCAGTTCATGAAATGATCATCTGATCAGATCTTAATAAAATCATTTATATCTGTCTCGTCACATTATTATCATAAATAGAAGTGTTTGACTATAATTCAAGATAATAATCCTCATTTGAAACATTTAAAACACTTCAGTTTTAAACCAAACAACCTACTGTATATTAATTTTATTTTGGTATCGCACATGCCTTAAAGATATGGGTCAGTATTCCAATATTTTAATTGGAAAGTAATTTACAGAAGGATTCCACTTCTTTTATGAAGCTTATGGACATTGGAATGACATATCCATTTATCAGGCCCGTAACCAGGGGGGGGGGGTCGATAGATTCGAGCGACCCCCCCCTGGCCAAAAAGTCGTTCAAAATCATGCAGTTTTTCACCATTCTGAGCACTTTTTAAGTGATTTTGGCCACTTTTGGACCAAAATTGTTATAAGTCAACCCCCCCTGGAATATTTTAAAAAGTGAACCCTTCTTGGCAAATCCTGGCTACGGGCCTGATTTATCTATAGTTTTTATATAGACTTGCATTTGTAATAGTATCACCTATAGATTTAAAAATCATGTATGGTTAGTGCCAATCTATGGTAGATTTCATTTATTCATTGAAAGTGCATACAAGTGTTTTACAATCATAGGGCAAAGTCCATTAGTAAGATATTCATTTATTTTTGACTCTCAGTTACTTTAGATTTTAAGTGGTAAAATGTCTAATGTCATTTATATTAAGGAGGCAATGTTTATAGGGCTTTAGATGAACTGAACTGTATATTAAACATGTATCATTTCATGATACAGAGTGTCACAAAAATGCAAACCTACGATCTTGGCACCTTTTCAATTGAATATTCATTCAGTTTCGCTTCTCAAAAGAGAGCTACACCTTCAGTAGTTTATAAGTAGACTATGTGCGCAGATGTATACAGGGTCTTAATTATGATGGAAACTATGAATTTTCTTTTGGAGATTAAAAATGTTTAAGAGACATATGTTAAATCCACCTAGGGGTTTGTTTGTATCACCCTGTAATATGGTACAGTACTTATTTGTTGATTTACAGTTAAGTTATGAATCTCCACTTCATGCAGGCCTTATTTATTTATCTCTGTATTTATTTATTTATTCATTTATTTATAGTCATTTAGTGTAGAATTTCTTTGAATTCTGCCTTAATTAACCCACATAACATATCTAGCCTGGTTCCAAAAGACTGGAGGATAAATAGTACAATTTGAACCATCTTTGCAATATTGATCTTATTAGTTAATTCTACCAAAACCATGGGACTAATACTTGTGTTACATAATTTGCCAAAGCAGATAAATTTCTCTTGTGAAATATCATTTTGATTCATTAGTCATTTTATGACTTTTTTGAATGAATAAAGTGATAGAAAAGTACGTAATTGTGAAATGTTGGCTTTTGTTGAATTAAGATCTTTCAATGAGAGATACCATAGCCTGTCAGTGTTGTTAATGTATCAAGGATGGTCCAGGAGTGGCTGTTATCAGCATATAGCATTTGTATTGATGTATTGTCTCGCATTGACTTACATTTTGTAGGATCATATATCTATATATAACATTGAAATATGAGCTCTCGTACTGTTTGACTCAAGAGCTATTGGTTAATTATACATGTATGACTGTCTTGGATTAACTATTCAGCTTTAGTATATTTAACCCAAGGGAAATCTACAAGGAAATAAATTCTGTTTGCCACATTGTCAATTTGAATTGACGCCTTTGAACTATTAAGAAACTGTGAGTTATCGATTTATCCTCGAAGCTAAAACAAAAAATTACAGTTTAAAGATTCAGTAGTAGCTGGTCAATTTTTTCAAATCCAGTTGTTTTTTTGCAGATTTTAAAACGTTAGTTTTACCTGAAGTTAATTCAGTATATCTATGAATAAGTGAATAGGTGTTAATTGGAGATTCTTATAGAAAATGAAAATGAATCGTGCCCAAAATACACTAAAATTGAAACAATTTTAAGAAAGGTTGCTCTCTAGATCTGAATTGCCTTTAGGTTAATGCAAAAATAGTATGTATGTTCTATCAAATTGTGGGAGATTTATTAGAGAATATTTCAGATCAATGTGATTAATTGGATTTTTATTCTTTGCTGGAGGTTAAGTTATTTTAATGTTATGCTTGTCAGGTAACTCAGGTTCAGTCATATCAAAAACATCTGACGATCTTTCATTCTTGTTTTTCTATAATTCATTTTGATTTATAGATTGTTTTTCATAAACAATCAAATGTTTTTATATCATTTTTATATCACCACCACACGTTGTAACATATTGTTATAGTCTCCAAGTTTTTTTGTGGATGGTGTTTGGCAGTCAGGATTTGGTGACTGGTGTTCAGCATTCAGAATCGATAACAAATGGCACGTTGTGACATTTTGCATGTTAACGCCTTATTATATCCTTGTATATGAGGTAATAATTTAGCTGTTGAATTATTTTCCTTATTATTTTATGGGTTGATACATCCTGTAATAATGATAATATATTATGACAAAGCGAGAAATTATCTCAGGTTCCAGAATTTATTGTTATAACAAAGTATGAATACAGTTAATGAGAAAGATGAATTTCAATGTAAAATTATTATACAGAGATTGTGATAGACTTGATTGCTATATAAACTTCCCACATAATTCCATTAATGCAGCTACAAAAGATTACCTCACATTTTCTATTTTTCTGATAAAAACCTAAAATTATGAAGCTGTAGTTTTACATTCTGTGAATTACTATAGGCAAAATAACTGGCTTTTTATTATGTCCCCACCACATAGTGTGGGGCCATATTGTCG